TGGCTCCAGATCCTGGTGTCTGGTGCAAGCTCATCAGGACAGCTGTGGAGGAATGATCACATGGTGAGTCAGGAAGCAGAGATCCCAGGCTTGAACTTGAACTTGAATTCCACAGAACCAGTCTTTGAGGACAACCCAGGGACCTAAACCCCTCCCACCAGACCCGCCTCTCTGGCATCTCCATTAGATCAACTCTTCACCTTTAATTCATCACCCATTAAGGTTAGGACCTGAGCCTTTTTCTGTGTTAAGTTTCCGAGTCTAGCTCTGCCACCAGGCACCGTCTTTCCTAAAACCATGGCAGCGCTTCCTACCAGCTAGTTCTTACTGATTGCCAGGGACTGCTCCAGCTCTCACGCTCTGGCCCAATTCTCTTAACACCACCAAGAACCAAGTGATACAACGACCTGTTCATTCACTGATGAGAGAACCGAGGCACATCAAGACGGCTGAGTTATGATGCTACGTCATTATATGAAACAACGACACGCCAGGGACGCCTGTGCTAAGAGTCCCTGAGCAAAAGTCAGCAGGAAAAGCTTGTTTGGTTTTTGCCAGAGGTATCCTTATTGGCAGTTAACCGTGTCCCTCCCTATGTTGTGTAACTATCACTCTTGCTCTGGCAGACTTTGGAAGCTCACTGAATCTGTGTGATGAACTAGGAGATGAACCAGGACTTAATAGATGGTTACTTGTACTAATGGTTTATGAACCTACTCCTTAGATCAATGGCAAAAGCATCATTTTGCAATTCGGTTTTTAAAATTCTATTTTAAGGGCCCGGTGAGGTAGCCTAGTGACTGAAGTCCTTGCCTTGCACACGCCGGGATCCCATATGGGTGCTGATTTGTGTCCCAGTGGCCCCACTTCCCATCCAGCTCCCTGCTTGTGGCCTGGGAAAGCAGTCAAGGATGGCCCAAAGTCCTGGGATCCTGCACCCATATGCGAGACCTGGAAGAAGCTCCTGGCTCCTGGCTTTGGATCGCCTCAGCTCTGGCTGTTGCGGCCACTTGGGGAGTGAATCAATGGATGGAAGATCTTCCTCTCTATCTCTCCTCCTCTCTGTAAATCTGCCTTTCCAATAAAAATAAATATATTTTTAAAAGGTATGGGACATCCCTTATGGGATAAATGGGATATGGGATATAGGACCCGGTGCATTCAAGGTGAGGACTTTAGCCGCTAGGCCATAGCGCCGGCCCCCCGTGAATTTTTTGAACATCTCTCATACGTATAGTTTTCCAACACTTTGTTGTCAACACAAATTTCTGCTTTCATTTCATTTTCCAAATTTTGAAGCACCTTTGTATGTAGCTGAGTTAGATTTGGTATTAATGATAAGAGCTACTATGCTGGAGTTTTTAACACTTAACATAATTTGGTGTGACTTCCAGTCAGACTGGATTAGGCTGGTCCGCAATGACATCACGCTGTCTCTGCAGAGCGGCCCGAGACAAAAGTGCAGTTCTGTTTTCTGATTCACTTCTGTCTGAGCTTCTCCTGACTGCAACAAAATCATCGGGGATCCTGACCTTACGAAGACAAAAGCTTTAGGATCAAGAAGTTCCACTGGCTTGGATCTGTGACCATGCAGGGAGTCAGGAAGCAGAGAGGCTGGGTCCCCACAGAACTTAGAGGTGACCCCGTTTTCTCCCAGGGGCACACTGCCAGGGACCTGAAGATCTCCCTTCCTAGGCCCCACCTCCCACTCCCAAACATCAGAATTGACAACATCCCCACCCTCTAAGTTTTGTTAACTTATGACTTTGGGGCTTAACCATCTGCATGAAGTCAGGAGCCACAGTTATGTTCAAAGCATTACAACACGAGTCAAGCCTATATGTCCATTTGGTTAGGGTGACTTCCGTTAAAACTGAGTGATGTAATTCACAAATGTGTGGACTCCACACTCGTCAGCTCCAGACTGTTTCAGCATGTTGAGAACAAGTGACACGTTCCTCGGCCCGTACCGCTGCCTCTTCCCTTCCGGCAACTCCCACGCAGCAACCTAAGTCTGCTGGCCAAATGACCCAAAGTGGGCTCCCGGGAAGCTGGTGAGCGGCCCTGCAGCTGCGTTTCTCGCTCATCTCTCCAGGTCCCTACACTTTGAAGCTTCAAGCACTCAGTCATGGTGGGAAACGGCTTTGCAAAGTAAATCCATTGAAGAAAAATGCGTATACCCAGACACACTTGCATGGAGGTGGCGTCCAGGAGCGGGTGTTGGTTGGTCATTAGAATTCCAAAGTGTCCGAAAGCATTTTACATCCCCATAGTGGAACTGTACTTGGTTGGAGAAGCATCAGGACTTAGCGACCTTTTTATTTTGCCCCCACTGGAAAGTCACACTCACACAGAAAAGCAGAGATAAAAAGATCTGTCCGCTGGTTCACTCCCTAAGTGGCCACCAATGGCCAGAGCTGAGCTGATCCCGAGCCAGGAGCCAGGAGCCTCTTCTGGGTCTCCCAAAGTGGGTACAGGGTCCCAAGGTTTGGGGCTGTCCTTCCCAGGCCACAAGCAAGGAATTGGATGGGAAATGGAGCAGCCAGGATATGAATCAGCACCCATATGAGATCCTGGCACATGCAAGGTGAGGACTTTTGCCACTAGGCTACTGAGCTGGACCAGACCACAAGTCTTAATCAAAAGAAATAACTTCAGAACTCTCGGCAGGTATGTGTTCCCTGTCACCTGTAGGCACTGTAGGAAGTCACTTCTGCGCTGGCTGTTGGGGGCATTCCGGGAATGAATCAGCAAGTGGGAGTCCTTTTTCTATGCCTTTTATTCCCAAGTATGTGCTAGCAATTAAGAAGAATATAACTGAGTCAAGGTGGAGGGAGCGACAAGGAAGAGAGGCAGGGTCCTGAGAGGCCACGAGGTGCAAGCAAAGGACCTGGTGAGGGTTTGGTGGGTGACTGAGGCCAAGAGAGAAGGACCCCAGAAGCTCACCGAAGGAAGTGCACAGCTGGGGAACACACAGCGGAAGGCTGAAAGGTGGGGCTGAGAAACTCATCTGTCCCAGGTGGCAATACCCTAGGTTAGAACTTCTGATATAGCAGTTACCGTGGCGTGGCGTGGCGTGGCGTGGCGTGGCGTGCCATGTGACGCCACCGCCCGCAGTGTCAGCATCCATAAGGGCAGGGGTTCGGTTCTTGTCCTGGCTGCTCCACTTCTGATTCAGCTCCCTGCTGATGACCTGGGAAAGCAGCCGAGGATGGCCCAGATGCTTGGGCCCCTGTGTGTCTACATGGGAGAAGCTCCTGGCTTTGACCTGGTTCAGCCCTAGCCAGTACAGCCACCCTCCTCTTTTTCTGTAACTCTTTCAAATAAAGAAATCTTTGGTGTTGGTTCTCGTGACCGGGCCCTGGGGCCGGCCCTCGCAGCGCTTAGCCTCACGTGCGGGACTGAGTACAAGCTCGGACAGTACCTGCAGGACGCGAAGCTCAGGCACACGAAGCGGGAGGAGCAGGGCCTTGGACGGACAGCAGCGCGGGGCGGGGCGAGGCGGCCTGACAGCCAATCGGCACCTAGTCCCGCCCCCGGCCCCGCCCCGACGCCGCGCGTCGCCCGCCCACCGCCAGCGCCGCGCGCAGCCGCGCAGCTCCCGGAAGTGCGCCTGGAGCCGGCGCCGCGGGCTGAGGTGAGCGCGAGGCCCGAGCGCGCCGGGTCGCCCGCCGGCCGGACGGTGCGGGTCCACTGGGCCCCGCGTCCGTCTCCTCAGGCCCCCTGAGACACGGGGTGGACGGGGCGGCCCGCTCGCCCGGGCGCCGTGGGGGTGGACGGGCCTCGCGGCCGGTGCGGGGGAGGGGCGGCCCTGGCCGCGAGTGGACAGCGGGCGTGGGGAGCCCTGGGCGCCGAGCCTGCCCACCCTGGCCCAGGGCCTGGAGGCCTCGTTGGCCACGAGCGCCCAGGTGGACGGCGATCCCGGGCGTGGGTGACGCCACCGCTTACAGAAAACGTCTCCATAAACTGCCGAGCGTTGGCAGCGCTCCTCTGCGAAGCCCAGGCCTTCGGGCTTGCTGGGTTCCACTGTGGCCGCCCCCCTGCGAGCCTCAGAGGTTCCCCACTGCCAAACGTCAACCTTGCTGGGTGCCTGAGGGTCAGAAAGAGCCTGCACAGGGCCCCCCTCTCCCCCCCCCGAGAGTTGATGCTCACCCAGGGGTTCCTTTAATACGTCACCACGAAAAATGTCATTTATAGCCCATAAACCTTCCCAGTGCACATCGGAAGATATGTAACAGGTGTACTATTTGGGATAACTGTTGACAGTAGGTCTTCCTGAAGTCATTGCCGTCTAAACCCCTAATTCCTGTATACAGTAATCTAATTTTAAATCATAAAGCCATCCCTCTTAGTACAGAGAAGAGTAATTGCCAATGTTGGATTTCAATATTTTGTAAGCTCTGCAATTTTTTTTTTTTCTTAGAGCTCCTTTCTCCTTGGAGTTATGTAAATCGCTATTTTCATTCAGGAATCAAATACATTTGAGTGATTGCAGCCGAGTTCTGGCTCGCTGAAACTTAGCTGCTTGGAAGGGATTTAGATAGAAAAGGATTTGCACAGGTGCCCGGTTTTAAAGAGTTAAGACGCACTTTGGATGATGGTCCCAGAGTTTAATATGCTGTGTTTCTATCAACATCATTCTGGGTAAAAATGTATTAGAATTTTGCGTTGTGATTGCTTCCTTGTGAGTTCACAGTATTACTTAACACTTTCCACACGTTGGGGAGTTTCTGTCAATATTTTACAGATGGAATTTAAAATTTTTTTTTCTTTGGCAAAACAGAAAAAGAACGGGTATGCGTGCAAGCTAGCTGTTTACCTGCTGCCTCACTCCGTAAATGCTCGCAAGCGCTGGAACCAAGGCTGAGCTGGAAGCTGGGAACAGCCCGATCCTCTCGTTTGGGTGGCCAGGACGCAGCGACTTGTTGCCTCTTGGAGATGGAGGATATAAAATGGGCAGGGCCTGGGTGGCTGTTTAAACACCTTGCTTTGTGGCTTCAGGTTGGCAAGCTTTTTAAATAACGTAGTTGGAATAGGGCACCTGTTGAGTTGTTTCAAAAGGACACATAGTTCTTTTGTTTCTGAAACCATGTCCTCCATTGCTCACTCCGCCTTATTCCCCCCTTCCCTAGCATCCCCGGAAACACCTGCTTCTCCTCTGAGACTGTGTGACTTCGGAAGCCAAGCCAGCCAGACGATGCCCATCGACCTGGGGCAGGCCCTGGGCCTGCTGCCGTCCCTGGCGAAGGCCGAGCACTCCCCCTTCTCTGGCCCGGAGGCCGAGCTCTCCAGCCCCGAGGCCGCACGCCAGCTCTTCAGGCAGTTCCGTTACCAGGTGGTGTCCGGGCCCCACGAGACGCTGAGACAGCTGCGGAAGCTGTGCTTCCAGTGGCTGCAGCCGGAGCTGCACACCAAGGAGCAGATCCTGGAGATCCTCATGCTGGAGCAGTTCCTCACCATCCTGCCCGGGGAGATCCAGATGTGGGTGCGCAAGCAGTGTCCCGGCAGCGGCGAGGAGGCCGTGAGCCTCGTGGAGAGCCTGAAGGGCGACCCCCAGAGGCTGTGGCAGTGGGTGAGCAGGGGGTCTCCTCCGGGGTCTCACGGGCTCTATGGGCTTTTTGCTGATACCGCTTAGGTTGCCAAATGTGGGGAGTTTTCCACACCAGCAGCCAGCCAGCTGGTGCCAGCTCTGTGTCCCACAGTTCACTTGACTCCAGTTCTGATGGTATTTGGAGTTAGCATGAACCACAAAGGTTTCGGGGTTCAGTCCCACAAGACAGCCCCCAGCTTCAGATGCCAGTTGTCAGTCTCAGAGACCATCTGTACTTCTAACCAACTGTGCATCAACTTGGGGATCCCACATCTGCCTCTTCAGATTAGATCATTCAAATTCAGGAAAGGATTCTATTTACAGTTTTGTTATATTACAAAGGCTACAACTCAATAACAGCCAAATGGAAAATCCGCCAGCAGGCAAGGTGCTGGGGAAGGTGTGTGGAAAGCACACATCCTCACTGTATCTTCACCTCCCCAAAGATTTTATAGAGGCCTCGATATTTCAGCACGGCTGCTTGAGTCATTTGTTGTTGGCGATTGGAGACTTTGAGGCCCTCCAGCCTCCCCTGAAGTTGGGGCGTGGCAAGCTTTGTTCCCCTAGCAAGCAGATCCTCCTGAAGTTATCCTGGGATCCACCAAGAGCTACCTCATAGCTAAAACTAAATTGTGATGGAACAGGCCTCATTGGGAATAACCAAAACCCTTTATCTCTCAGGAGATGGCAAGAGTTTTAGGCGCTCTGCGATAGGGAACAACATGCGGGGTGATTTCTTAGTCACGCTGTGGGTTCCCAAGTCTTCTCTAACGCTGAGACAATCTACCATCCTTTGCACTCTTTAGCTTTTGGGGGTTGAGGGTGATCTCCCATCCCGGTCCACGCTTACACTGGTACTCGAGCAGTTGTTCAAAAGAGGCCTCATTTGCACTGGTGGATTCTGTCCAGGAGAAACACCTGTTCAGGTCTCAGGTTTGGGTGTATTTTTGGAAATTTATTTCACTGCTTCCAGCCGGACTACGCGTCAAAACGGGTGATCTTTTTCTCCTCTCCATGTCCCTGAAGATTGTCCTATGATCTGTTGTAGAAGGTTGGATTTATATCTTTCAGAAATCCTGGTTCTGGACCCTTCAGGTAACTGGTATTGTATGGCCCCTAGATCAGCATTCAAGTTCTGGGACAGGAAATCTTGTCAGAGAAGATGGAGTCGCCAAGCTGCCAGGCGGGGGACGTGGAGCCCCGGCCTGAAGTGGTGCGTCAGGATTTGGGTCTGCAGACGTCACCCTCAGGGCCTGGGGAGCGGCTGAGTCACGTGGTGAAGGAGGAAGCAGACCCGGAACCGGGACTGGGTGAGGGACAGTCAGTTGCACGTGGTGGCGGGTGGCTCTTGGGGAAATGCAGAGGTTGTAGTTCCTAGTCCCAACTCAAGTTGAGATGTTTTGGTGCACATATTGGGGTACCATTAGAAATCTTAGAAATGAGAGCCCTCCCTGAAGCGTGTGATTGAGGGCCCGGGAGTCTGTTTTAGGCTGGCTGATTAGAGGGGACGGATTTTGCCACGGGGTGGACGCGAGTCCCTGTGGTGCGTGCAAGTGTCTGTGTCTCCGGCGGGTGATGGATGGGGAAGATGGTAGATTCTGAAAACGTGCTCTTCTCACCGTAGCTCTGCCTGCCTCCCACCTTCCCGCCCCTCCCAAGGACGGGCTCCTCAGAGACCAGGACTTTGGAGCTTCGCTTCTCCCAGCAGCCCCGCAGGTGAGCCGGCTTCTCTTCGCCCCACACCAGACTTCAGGGGCAGGTCAGTAGTCAGGGGGGCAAGAAGGGGCCGAGCCTGAGACGGCGACTAGAGAAGAGGGACGTGGGGAAGGATTCTCCCCTTCCATCTGTCCAATGTCACCTAGTTGTTGTCAGGTGTAGTGAAGCCAATGAAGCTAGAACAGTCTGCAGTTGCTATAAAGTGGCTAGTCTTGCCCCCCAGATATGATTGTTTTTATTCTCTCTCTCTTTTTTAAGATTTCTTTCATTTTTATTGAAAAGTCAGATATACAGAGAGGAGGAGAGGAAGATCTTCCACCCACTGATTCACTCCCTAAGTGGCCACAGCAGCCAGAGCTGAGCCAATCTGAAGCCAGGAGCCTGGAGTCTCTTCTGAGTCTCCCACGTGGGTGCAGGGTCCCAGGGCTTTGGGCCGTCCTCCACTGCTTTCCCAGGCCACAAGCAGGGAGCTGGATAGAAAGCAGGGCTGCCGGGATAGAACCAGCACCCGTATGAGATCCCGGTGCGTGCAAGGCAAGCACTTTAGCCACTAGGCTACTGCTCCAGGCACTGTTTTTAATCTCTGTAGTGTATGTAGAGAAGCTGTGATTTAGTTGCCTGGTCTGGGCTACCCACATAGTTGTCAGCTTGAGATCCAGAGCTTGTACTTAATGTGGGACAGGTGAGACGCACAGTTAATTGCACATATTCACCATGTACAGGCGCACAGGCACAGCCGCCACACTCTGTTGGACAGCTTTTCTGATGCCCCTCTCCTGTCCTTCGTCAGTCCCCTCGTCTTCACGCCCTAGAGGCTGCTGCTTAACTCCTGTGCCTCGTCATAGGTTAGACTTTGTTTTGTAGTGTTTTATATTAAATGATACCATGCCAGGTCTAATGCTATCCTTGTTCTCTACAGACACTTTACAAATTGTTAGAGATCATGCCGATCACACCTGTCTCTGCTTGCTCCCCGCACATGTCTGCGGGGCTAAGCACTGGGCCAGGTGGGAGGCAGGAGCCGGGAACCGAATGCCCGTGTCTCACGTGGCTGGGTGGGATTGCCGTACTCGGGCCTGCCTGCGCCTCCTGCTTCCTTAGCACGAAGCTGGAATTCAGTTGTGGGAATTCGCCGTGTGTGGGACACAGTGCGGGACACAGCAGGCCGGGTCCTCACCCCTCGCCTCGCAGCTGCGATGGGAGCCGTCCTTCCCCTCTGCTCAGTGTTTGCGGTCTTCTGGCCGGCTGCTGGAACACAGGGTGTATTTGTCGGGTCCGAGTCAGTAGCCTAGTCTGTGATGATCACCTCTCTCAATCCTGGGTCCGCTGGTTGGAGCGAGGTCTTTGCTGTGACGTGCAGTTTCCTGTTCTCCGTGTGCCTGCTAGTCTCTGATGGTCAGGCGTGCTGAGGCTCACCTTGGCACGGCTGGGTGTTGGTGTGTCCTGCACACGTTCTGCGGACTTGCTCTTGAAGGTGGTTACTGTGTAGACAGTTTCTGCTACCAGGATCTTCGCCTTATTTAAGAGGGATTCATTTTTGGCCCCCTAGTGAATTCTGGAAATCACGGATGATACTAAACTCCCTATGGTTTTGTTTTTTTTTTTTTAAGATTTATTTATTTTTATTACAAACTCAGATATACAGAGAGGAGGAGAGACAGAGAGGAAGATCTTCCGTCCAATGATTCACTCCCCAAGTGACTACAATGGCCGGTGCTGTGCCAGTCTGAAGCCAGGAGCCAGACACTTCCTCCAGGTCTCCTATGTGGGTGCAGGGTCCCCAGGCTTTGGGCCGTCTTCGACTGCTTTCCCAGGCCACAAGCAGGGAGCTGGAAGGGAAGCGGGGCTGCCAGGATTAGAACCGGCGCCCATATGGGATCCCAGCGCGCTCAAGGCAAGGACCTTAGCCGCTAGGCCACCGTGCCGGGGGCCCCCCCTGTGTTTTTTCCCCCCCAATATATACATACCTAACTATACTGAGAATTTACAAGTGCAATAAGAGATCAACAATAGTAACTCATAATAAAATGGAATTGCAACAATATAGCATAAGAAAAGCTACCCAGTTGTGGTTTCTATGGTCTCCGAGTCCCTCTGAGCGCTGTTGACCGTGTGGGATGGGCAGCTGACAGGAGGCCGTGGAGAGGAGCGACTTGGCGCTCACCCCACCCCGTGACCACAGCCGACCATTTGAAGTGCAGCAGCGTAGGTAGTATGCGTTTCTTTCTCCTTCATAATGTCAGAGATAGAAGGCTTGTTGTTACTATAAATCTTACCCTCAGGATACAAGCTCTGCTCTCCTCTTATTAAATTGAGAACTCAGGTGTTTTTTTCACTTTCACGGCGTCACTCACTCCCCTTGCACACCGGGGGCCGTGGCTAACCTGAGGCTAAGCACTGTGCTGCTGACACGGTGGCTGTGAGCACGCAGGCAGGTCCCAAGTGACTGCTGGGTCAGGAGAGTGTACGCTGGGGATGGGTACAGTGGACGAAGGACGCCTCACTTCCCAGGCGGGAGGGTGCAGGATTTCCCTCTGTTACCAGGAGTGTGTGCAATTGAAAACTCATGAATTATTTATATCTGGAATTTCCCATTTCATATTTTCAGGCCCCAGTTGGCTGCAAGTACCTGAAACTGTGGAAAGTGAAACTACAGATAAGACTGCCGGTGTCACACCTGAGACACCATTTCCCTAGGGCAGGTGGATGCAGAAGGCAGCACAGGAAGGGCCCGCCCGGCCAGGGGGTGCCCCGGGAGGCCTGGGGATGGCCAGGAAGGGGCCAGCCTAAAGACCGAGGGAGTCGTACACGGAGCCATGTCGTGCTGGACACTGCATTTCCACCAGCCGAGTGTGCATCCTCTGCGTTTAACTTTTTTTTAAAAAAATTTTATTCTCATTTATTTATTTTGAGAGAGTTGCAGGGCAGTGGGGAATGGGGCGAAAGAGGGAAATATAAAGAGATCTTTCATCATTCACTCACTCCCAGATGGCTGCAACAGCCGGCATTACGCCAAGCCGAAGCCAGGATCCGGGGGCCTCATCCGGGTCTCCCGGATGGGTAGCTGGGGCCCAGACACTTGGGCCATCTGCTGCTGCTTTTCCCTGGCCATTAGCTAGGAGCTGGATTCCGAGTGAAGCAACCTGGACATGAACCCTTATGGAATGCCAGTCTTACCTACTATGCCACGCTAATGTTTTAATTTGGGGACCTCGGGAATGATGTTAGTATAACGAAGAGGCGCTGTCACCACACAGCTATGCTTTGTTATCAGAAGGCACGACTGAGTAGGGACCCTCACCCGGACCACCATTCCTGAGTCAGCCGTGGTACTATCACATAAATCCACAAGATGGGGCTGTTTCCACATTAGAAAAAGTTATTTCCACATCAAGCCCCACCCTTCTCCCTCTTTTTTTTTCAAATAGAAAAAAAAAAAAAAAAGACAGCAAGCTAAGCTGGCTGCTGTTTGTTGCCTCCCGAATAGGGACTGGCTGTTCCTTGAGCGAATTTGTGTCTTGAAGCTGCGGGTACCCTGCTCAGACTCCTAAGGCGCCTTCTCTGATTTTGAGTTGGAGATTTTGGTGGCTGGGTTTTTGTGTTTGTTTGCCTTGTACTGTGGATGGTAGCTGTTCGGATGCCCATGGAGCAGGCCCTGGACCCAGCGGGCCAGCAGCCGGTCACTGTTGTGCTCAGCCTGTGCTTCCCTGGAGGGAGGGAGGGAGGGAGGGCTGCCGTGCCTGCAGTGTTTGTTCAGGCTGCTTGTTTCCAGGGACATGTCAAGCTGACCTCATTTGAAGAGGATTAGCGAAATAAGCAGCTAGTAAGCCGTGCTTCAACGTTTTAAAATTAAACTACATATTAAAATGTGTTTATAATTAATAGTCGAATATAAAGCTAAGTTATTGAGTTCCCCTTTTGATTTTTGTGTGACCTTTCTACCCTAACAGTTCAGCCCCTCCTTTCTTGCTTCCTGCCTGCTGATGGGAGAGCTCCGTGCGTCCTTTCCCGTGAGCCATTTCCACCTCTCCTGCGTGCTCTGTGGAGCAGATTTAACTTAGGACTTAGCACACACTCCCCGGTGGCGTGCTGCATGTAACAGGAAGGCAGCTTCATAATTCGCGTGCTTGTTTATGCTCCCCGAAGGCTGGCATTTCATGGCATCATGCGTGGCCATCAAAGCCCGTGAATTCATTGTGAAAAGCCCTGCAGAGCGAGTCTTCAGAGATTGCATGTGGTAGCAAGAATGGGTGTCATCTGCGAGGACCACTGAGGACTCAGCGCGAAGGGCTTTATTTCTGATAGCATACCCTGTCCTGGACAAGGCCGTGAGAACAGGGGAAGCACGGTGGAGCTTGTGGCGATGTGCCAGGGGAGACAGCCGTTCTTTGTGTGTGTGTGAGGGGTGTGTGTGTCAGCGTGTATGTCCGTGAGTGTTTGATTACCTGCAGTGAGGGCTGGGTCTGTGAAGAGCAGTGTGCTGTGACAGCAGGGAAACCTGACGCTCTCTCAGTCTTTCTAACAGTATTCTGAGTTCAGTGCTGTCAGTCACTCAGCCAGTTAGTGGCAAGGCGGAGGTTTAAGACCTACTATGGGCCGGTGTGATGACTCAGTTGTCAGAACCTGCCCTGAGACGAGGCTGCTGGGCCCCGTGCTGTCTACTCTGAGTTGCTGATTGTCATCTACACAGTGGCAAGTTTGAAATTCGAATTCGCACACAGAAAAAAAAAAAAAGACTGATGTCTTAGTACATTTTTAGTCGTTATAACAAAACACCTGTGGCTGTACATTTTATAAATATTTGTCTTGGCTTACAGATCCAAGAGTAGGTGCCAGCAGCAACTTGGCTTCTGTGCGGGCCATGGACTGCTGAAGGTGGAGTGGACAAATGGAAGAGGAAGTGACACCTGAGCAGGGAGGGGCAGTGGAGAGGCTGAGAGGAGATGCCCTGCTCGCAGGCTGGAGGACCCCACTCTAGCACAGGGATCACAGGCCCTGAGTGTCCCCTCTCAGCTCCCTGGCACTGGGGGGCCACGGCGCAGCCTGAGCTTTGCTGGGGGCCAGCTTCATTCAAACCTGAGCACCCTCGCCAACTGAGAGCATCCCTCCGTGTGAGTCCCTGACCCGGAGCTCCAAAGGAAAAACCACACTCCTTGGGGGAGATGATGGAGGGACAGCTTGCTCAAGAAAGCCTGCCAGCGCCCTGCTGATCAGGGAGAGAAGCGGGTACAGAGCTAGCAGGAACCTGCTGGGGGTGGGCTGTGACATCAGCCTCTGACGGGGGTGGGCTGTGACAGTCTCTGATCCAGCAGTGTGCGTTTGAGGCTAAGGTTTGCACTGCACTCGGCTTTAGTGTTGGTTTTCTTCACCTTTTTACTGACCTGAACTTTGTTTCTAACAAACTCCTTTACGATTTTCTGTCTTTCCTCTCTAGCATTTCTAAGTGTTTGATAGAGTTAAGGAGGGGGGAAAAAAAAAGGACAGGGTAGACAAGACTCCTGGCTTCTGTGTGTTCTCCTCCCTAAAATATGTGTAACTTAAGAAAACGAAACTTAAAGCCTACACACTTTGTAACTCTGGCAAGAAAAAAATGGTGTGAGGACTTTTTACCCTTGGCCCCTTCCTCCCTTGAATGCCCGTGCCCTCTGACGGCCAGGATCCCACGGCGCATGCCTCTTGTCACTCCTGTGGGCAGGGGAGGCAGCTGCCAGCCCCACGTTGCAGTCACCATGTTTTATTTTTTTCCAGGAGCAGTGGCGACACCTGGACACCACTCAGAGGGAGCAGTACTGGGACCTCATGCTCGAGACCTATGGGAAGATGGTCTCAGGAGGTGAGGGCACGACTGGAAAGGCCGGAACATGGATGGGCATGTTCCGTGCCCTCTAGGGGCCTCTCTGCCCAACTCCCAAGTTCTCCGGGCTGAGGAAGCCACCGGGACGTGACTGGAGACTGGGCAGTTTGGTAATAGATGAGTTACAGCAAGAGCTTCCTTGTACCAGGAACATATTGCCTGCCAGGAACCTGGGTGGGTGTGGTACCTGTGGTAACTCCTTTCACTGTGAAACAGGTGGTGGTGTTCTCATTCCAAAGATGAGGCAGAGCTTGTCATGCAGAAACTTGTAAGTGCTGAAGGAAGATGGAAATCAGTTGGGGCCAGCTCTGCGTCCCAGTGTGCTTTCTCTGCTAAATGACACTGCTTCAGCTGAGCACTGCTAGGGTTGCCAGCACGTGCCTTGTACCACCTTTCTAGAAAGTCAGTAGGCCCTTCTGGTCACCTGCGCAGTGTCTTGTTTTTGTGGTCCTCATCACAGATGAGCACCGAGTACCGTGTGCCATTCTGGGTGAGTTCCTCCTGAGTGACCTGTGGAGCCCTCGTATTTCTTTTCATGCTCAGTGAGCTCCTCTGAAAGACGTGACTCGAGCGCCCAGTCTGCCCGGCTCACCCAGGTCCATGTGCTTATTTCTTTGCGTAGCAGGCAGTTGTAGTTCCAAACCAGACCTGACTAACTCAGCAGAATATGGGGAAGAGCTGACAGGACTGCGCCTCCATGGTGCTGAGAAGATGCCGAGACCCCCCTGCCTAGGTGAGTCACCTCTCAGGGGTCCTCGGCCACGGGGGGCTGGGAGGTGTTGGGGCTTGGGTTTTCTATGGCGTTTGCTACAGCTGGCCACGGTCTTGTCGGTCCAATCTGCATGCTGACATTGGTTCTCCTCATCTCTGACTGAAGGGCTACTGCCACATATATGTGACCATGAAGACTACCCATCGGGTGGGCTGGCCTCAGTCATGTCTAGCAAGTGAGCTTTTTATTTTTTTGTTCCTTGAGAGAATTAGGATTTGAGACCAGTAAAGATGTGCATTGAACTACATTAAAAAAATAAAAAAAAACAAACCTACAGCAGCCATTTGTGTCCTTCCTTGAAGGAAGGGTCCAGTAGCTCCATGCTCCTCTCTCTGGTTTTCTGAATGAATGGTTACTGACGTGTCCTCAGCAAAGCACAATAAAACAGAAGACATACTTGATGTCAGCTTTATGCACTTTATATTCATTAGACAACAGCGTAACCGACATGTGTCATATAGACCACCTATTTGAAGACTAGAGAGGGAAAAAAATCTGAATTTGGCATTTGCTCCTTGCTTTTTGAAACATTACACTGTGCACAATGTAGCCGTAAACCTTCCCGTGCGTGCACAGCGCCCTGTCACGCACACAGTACACCTCAGACCTCTGCAGGAATGGCGGCCGTGTCATAAGCCGTTCTTTTCTTCCCAGTGGGATGTGGTGAGCTATTCAGCCTTTGCTGATAGGACCACAAAGAAAACACACAGCAGCTGAGACATACGATTTTCATTCAGAGCCGTGTATTTATTGTGAGACTATTTTATAAGGGAGCCTTTGGAGCAGTATTTTTCAAACTGCGTGTTGGGCCAATTACTGAGACTTCTTTTTGATAGATTTAATTTTTCAGAGCAGTTTGAAGTTCACAGCAAGGCTGGCTGGAAGGTACACATTTCCCAAATGCCTCATTGCAGCAGGATTTTACTCGTGATTTATAGCTCTTTATGTTCCCACTCATCCTGTTTATTTGCTTTTCCATTTTTTTCATCTCACCTGCTAACACAGCCACATTAGATCCTGCCTTGAGCCATACTGTGGCAAGTCTGCAAGGTCAGCTCGCTTTGCTGAGCAAAACATTGCAGTTGTAGGTTCTTCAGGAGCACAGAGAGATGCAGGAAGATTAATATGGCAGTAAGGTGCAGGATAGATAGGAGGGGAGCCCACGGAAGTCATAGCGACAAGCTGGGGAAAGGCAGTTCAGAGAAGACAAGAGAATCAGCCAGTCTCCCAGATCTGAACGGATGGCAGAAATCACAGGAGACGTGCTCTCTCTGTTCGAACGCATGCAAGAACAGCGAGTGCTTGGTGCAGGCCAGCGAGAGGAAGTCTCCAGCAGCTACACATCCTTCTCATCAAAATCCTAAGGAATTAAAAAAGCTCATTTGAAGATGATTCTTACTAAGTTCACTTGGAAGAATACCATAGGCGAGAATAGTAAAAGCTAGTTTTAAGAGGAGAATGTTTTATGAGAGATCTGTAGATCCTGAGACTTTCCTATCCAGGTAAAAAATCACTAAAGGAGTGTGGTATTGATGTAAAAGCACAGGGAGCCTCGGGCGAGATGCTGGCCCATGTAGGGACTGGGCACGCTGGGAAAGCAGCAGCCTCGAGCCACAGGGTCAGGAAGAAGGACTCCTGGGGCGACGGCACGATTTGGATTTTACGTCTGAAATATACTAAAATAAGTGGAGCAGGGGTTTCAAAGGATATAATGTAAAAATAAACATGGGAAAAGGGGGGTATATTTTAATGGTGTGTGGATATGGCAGAGTTTTGTTCAGTATTAAAGCAATAGAAGAATCATTGAGGAAAGGCTTAACAGATGAGTTTTTTATTTGGATTTTTTAAAAAACATTTCTTTATTTTACTTTGAAAGTCAGAGTTAAAGTGGTGGGAGGAGACAGAGCTCGTCCATCCATTGGTTCACTACTCATGTGGCCGCAGCAGCCAGAACTGGGCTATTCCAAAGCCAGGAGCCAAGAGGTTCTTCCAAGTCTCCCACATGGGCACAGGGTCTCAAGGACGTGGGCCGTCCTCTGCTGCCTTCCCAGGCCACAAGCAGGGAGCTGGGTTGGGGAGTAGCCAGGACACAGACCAGTGCCCATATGGGATGCTGGCATAGGCGAGAGGATCAGTCTGTTATGCCACAACCCTGGCCCCCAGGTGAGTGTAGCTTTTTTAAAAAGACACAAAAGCTTTGTATAAGATAACTACAAGCAAGATTACAGTAACAAAATTAATGACATTATTTTTAATGAGCATGACATGTGAATGGCTTTTTAATATCGAGATACTAAAAACAAGTTGATAAGAAAAATGATTTTCCCAATAAAAATGTGACAACACATTTCCTAGAACATGAAAATACCTCATAAATGTGAGAAAAGATCCATCCTTTTATAACTAAGCAGTTAAAGCTTAAAATAATGAAAAACAATTTTCACCAATCCAAATGACATATACTTTAAAAATCTTCAATACTTAAATATTGTATATTCACCTCTTCTGCCCATATGTTTCCCACCTGAGAACGGATATCAGGTTGCAGGTAGGTATCAGGGCCTTACTGCGCATGGCCACTGATGTCGTGGTTCCACCTCCCAGGAGCTCCACTACATTACTGGTCAGAAACTGGGGCCGGGCCGAGTGCTTAGGCGCTGCCTGGAATGCCCACAGCCTGTGTCATAGCCCCTGGGGGTGAGTTGGGCTCCACTCCCAGGCCCAGTGCTCTGCTCATGTACACTGTGGGAGGCAGCGGGGGACCATTCGAGGACTCGGGGCCCTTCCCTGACACCTGTGGGAGACCCAGCTGGGGTTCCCACCTCCTGGCCTCAGCCTGTGCCAGCCTTAACTCCTGTGGACATTTGGAGGGTGGACCAGCATATGGGAGATTCTCTCTCTCCGTGTGTGACTCTATGTCTTTGCCTTTCAAATAAATAAAATTTAAATTAAATGTGGAGAAAAACTTAAAAAGCAGATGAGATGTTTTTAAAGATTTCATTTATAGCATAGGCAGAGTAGAAAAAAGGGAGATTTAGTAGGAGCATTCTTTTTTATTTATTTATTTTAAATTTTTATTGGAAAGGCAGATATACAGAGAGGAGGAGAGACAGAGACTCCCCAAGTGACAGCAACAGCCGGTGCTACTGCCGATCTGAAGCCAGGAGCCAGGAGCTCTTCCGAGTCTCCCATAAGGCTGCAGGATCCCAAGCCGCTGGGCCGTCCTCAACTGCTTTCCCAGGCCACAAGCAGGGAGCTGGATGGGAAGCAGGGCCGCTGGGATTAGAACCGGCGCCCATATGAGATCCTGGAGCCTGTGAGGCGAGCACTTTAACCACTATGCTATCATGCCGGGCCCCTTAGTAGGAGCATTCTTAAATCAGTTTTGTGTTTCTGATGACATCTCTTGAGGGGTTATTAAGTCAGTATTGGTAAAGGCCTAAAGACGAGAGACAGTGCCATTGGCTCATGTACCAGCGTGTGCTGCAAGGCTCTGAAGTAGGCACGTCAGGTCAGGTTTGCTGACAGATGCCTGAACCTTCAGGAGGTGATGAGAAGACACCGGTGTATGTAAGAAAAAGTTATCCATACCAGTGAAAAACACATGTTGCCACCAAAATAATAATAAACACTTGTTACGTGCATCATCAACTAGTTAGAACCAAAAATGGAGTTCTAGTTAGAAAAACGAGCTGTTACGTGCTCTTGTGGGTTACCAAGGCCCACGTCTGTGCCGAGCGCAAGCGCGGGCGGGCAGGCTGCCTGTGGCGTTCCTGTGGCTGCAGAATGAGTGGGCTGCCTGCCAAGGGGGGCGCACGCGCAGCCGGTGCCTTCACAGCTGAAAGTGCCATGTGGCCAGATGCAGGGCTGTGTGCACGCTCCGGCGTCAGTAATGTCCGCATGGCATGCGCGCGCCTGGAGGGCACGTCAGACCAGAGGCAGTGTGTGCCGGTGAAGTTGGCGCTGGGTGCTGTGGTTCACACTGATTTAGCCAGCTTTCTCTCTCGCATATAACCAGATACTCTTCTTTAAAAGCGCTGCTCTGCTGTGAGAGCCCCCCGCGAGTCCCCTGTGCCATCCAGCGGTCCTGGGCTCCGAGCTGAGCCTAAAGCTTGGCCCCATCCTGGGTGGACAGGGCGCGGGCAGCTGGGGCTGAGTGACGGCCTTCTTCCCTCGCCTGTGCTCCTAGGTAAAGGAGACGGGTTAGGAAACTGGCCGGGACCCTCATCGAGCCACTTCAATCCCTCTTTTTCTTCTTTCAGGAGGTAGACAAGAGAATGACAAAGAGAACCTGAACTTGGAAAACCACAGGGACCAGGAGCCTCTCGCGGGCGCCTGTCAGGCCTCAGGCGAGGCTCCCGTGCAGGCTCCTTTGAGGGGCTTTCTCGGTGGGGAGGAGCCTGGGTGCTTTGGACCTGGAGAGACCCTCCCTGCGGCCCTGGAAAACCTGCGTGCGGGAGGGGCGGAAGGACAGGTGTCTTCTCCGGAAAGGAATTCTGGGAAAGCATCAGGCCAGCCCTTGCCCCTCGCTCACCCAGGAGAACTGCCCGCCACCGTGTGGCCCGAGGAGAAGAGGGAGGCCTTCCCGAAAGCGCAGCCCAGAGCCCCGATGGCCCAGAAGCTGCCCACCTGCAGGGAGTGCGGGAAGAGCTTCTACCGGCACTCGCAGCTCGTGTTCCACCAGCGCACACACACCGGCGAGACGTACTTCCAGTGCTCCGTGTGCGCAAAGGCCTTCCTGCGGAGCTCCGACTTCGTCAAGCACCAGCGCACGCACACCGGGGAGAAGCCGTGCAAGTGCGACTACTGCGGCAAAGGCTTCAGCGACTTCTCCGGCTTGCGGCACCACGAGAAGATCCACACGGGCGAGAAGCCCTACAAGTGCCCCATCTGCGAGAAGAGCTTCATCCAGAGGTCGAACTTTAACCGCCATCAGAGGGTTCACACGGGCGAGAAGCCCTACAAGTGTAACCACTGTGAGAAGAGTTTCAGCTGGAGCTCCAGCCTGGACAAACATCAGAGGTCCCACCTGGGCAAGAAGCCCTTGCAGTAGCAGTTCTCCTACCCCGGACAAGAGAGAACCTGGATGCGGCCTCGGGCTTGGGAGCGCTCTTGGCATCTGGCTGGAATTCGATGACGCTTTTCCATCAGGAAGAGGAGTCCCCGCGCGTCAGCTCCTCTCTTCTCTCGTACCCGTGGGATGGAGCGTGGCAAGTGCTGCCTGGGTGGGGTGAGCCCAGCTCCAGGCCCCGCTTAAAGGAAGGACGAGGCCATCCCGGGGTTGGGGTGCTGGAGCAGGTCTGCTGCCGCAGGGGGCACGCACAGAGGGCTGGTCAGCTCGCGTATGTTCCTTGCCGGAGGGGTAAAGACTTCCAATGTCCCTTGCTTAAAATAAACTTACTGGAGTCGGTCTCTTACTTGTGTCTGGATGGTTCATCTAAAGCACTTTTTTTTTTTTAACCCCTGGAAAGTACTACATGGTACTTGACTTCTCGATTCAACCCAGATAACACACAGGTGCATAACCCAGGGCCAGTGGTGCAGTGGGTTGAGCCTGGCTCTCAACACCAGGATCCCGTATCGGTATGCCAGATCAAGTCCCAGCTACCCTGTCTCCCATTCAGCTCCCTCGTACTACATACAGGAAAGCAGCGGAAGGTGATTCAAGTGCTTGAGCCCCTGCCACCCGCTTGGGAGACCCCAGATGAATTCTGGACCGCTGGCTTCAGCCTGGGTCAGCCTGGGCCATCGAGGTCAGTTGATGAATGAACCATCCCTCCCTCCCTTCTTCCCCCAACTCCTGTTTCTCTGCCTTCCTAATGGACACGTCTCTTATTTTGAAAATAAATGTGTAATGCGGCAGGGCAGAGATAGGAAAAGTGCTAACACAGTGTCCGGAGTGGGAGAGTGTGGCCAGTGCTGGGCACACTTGGATCTCAAGTTCGGGTTGGCATCCTCTTTACGGCATGCCTCCGGCTGCCCCTCCTGCCTCTCGCTGGCCACAGCGCCCTGTGCTTTAACGTGATCCTTAGCTCATGTTGTAGGCAGGGATGAGGAAGGAACCAGTTCTGCAGTTGTTGATGCCATGTGGAAGTTCAGTGCACTGTTCTGTCCCTGTGTCTTCAAAGACGACATGCCTCGAGTGTACTGCTCTTGTGGACTCGGAGCCCGAACCTTTCTCCATCTTGGTCTTCTTCCTGGGCCTTAGTGTTCTGTTGTGGTAAGGGTCAGGATGAATACTGCACATGCATGGGGCAGAGCCGCTTGACTCAGTGACCGGTCAGTAGCGAGCTGTAAATGTTGGCAAATAGGAGCCAGCACAGTGACAGAGCTGACCAAGGCTCCACCTGTGGCACTGGCATCCCATATGGGCACTGATGCGAGTCTTGGCAACCGCACTTACAATCTGGCTCCCTGCTAAGGGCCTGGGGAAGCAGCAGAGGATGGCTCAAGATGGCCCCTGCACCCACGTGGGAGACCCAAAAGAAGCTCCTGGTTCCTGGCTTTGGGACTGCTCAGCTCTGGCTGTTGGAGCCATTTGGGGAGAGAACCAATGGATGGAAGGTCTCTGTCTTGTAATTCTGCCTTTAAAATAAAAAAGGAGAGTGCACAGTGCAGTGGCATAGTGAGTTAAGCCTTCCACCGATGGTGCTGGCATCCCATGTGGGTACTAGTTCGAGGCCCGGCTGCTTCACTTTTGATCCAGCCACCTGCTAATAGCCTGGGAAGTCAGCAGAGAATGGCCTGGGTGCCTGGGCCCCTGCACACCCACGTGGGAAACTCAGAGGAAGCTCCTGGCTCCTCTTGTCTAACTCTGGAGCAGTCTATAACTCTGGCCATTGAAGACATCGCGGGAGTGAACCAGCAGTTGGGACATCTCTCTCTGGTTCTCTTCTCTCTGTAACTCTGCCTTTCAGATAAAAAATAAAATCTGAAAATGAAAAGGGCAGTTCCTGAATACCCGGAGAAATGTGTTAGCGCCCTTATGGCATGGAGATGAGGAGTTAAGCCCCCACTGATGGAGACACCGGAACCACGGAGAGGGAGATAGGAAAATGCTGCAGGAATTGGTGCGAGTCTGCAGCACTGTGGCTTGATGTCAGGTGCCCGGCGTGCCCTCCGGGTCAGTCACTCAGAAAGGCTCTCTGCTATGGCCTGGCAAAGCAGTGCAGGGTGGTTCAAGGCCTTGGGCCCCCACACTCACGTGGGACACTGGGAAGAAGCACCTGGTTCTGGACAGGCTCAGCTCTGGTTGTTTGTGGCCATTCAGGGAGTGAACCAGCGGCTGGAGGATCTTTGTCTGCCCTGTGAATCTGCCTTTCCAATAAAAATGAATAAATATTTTCAAAAGTCTTAAGGTGCATAGAGTAATGTAATGAATGAAGCATCAATATGTAATTCCCTTACTCTCCACATGGCCAGTGGCTTTGTTTTTCTAACTATTGAAATCCAGCTGCACTCACTCCGTGATGCATTATCTAAAGCTACTTTGGGGGCAGAGATTGGTATTTGAAAGAGGGACGGTATTGTCTACAAAGCCTGAAATAATTACTCTATTTTTTTAAAGATTAATTTATTTTTTTTATTGCAAAGTCAGATATACAGAGAGGAGGAGAGACAGAGAGGAAGAGCTTCCATCTACTGATTCACTCCCCAAATGAATGCAACGGCCAGAGCTGTGCCATCCGAAGCCGGGAGCCTCTTTCAGGTCTCCCATGTGGGTGCAGGGCCCCAAGACTTTGGGCCGTCCTCTCCCAGGCCACACAAGTAGGGAGCACAATGGGAAGTGGGGTTGCTGGGATTAGAACCGGTGACCATATGGGATCCTGGCCTGTGCAAGGCGAGGACTTTAGCTATTAGCTTACCATGCTGGGGCTCAAAATAATTACTCTGACTACTGACAGAACAATCTTGGTGACCCCTGGTCCAAGGTGGTTTGTCTCCTGTGTATACCAGTTGCCCCAGCAGTTGGTTCTAAGGTGGAGATTCAGACTTGTGGCTACCCCGGTCCTGGGCTGAGGACCCAGGCTCAGTGCTGGGTGCTCGGCTCTGGGCTCAAGTATTTGTGATTTGTTCCTCCTGACTTTCCTGCTGATCACTGACAGCTCTGCGACTCTCCAAGCCTGCGCCAGACCTGCTTGATGGATAAATCACTTTATTAGGAAGGGCTCGGGACTGCAAGACTCTCATCCCTTAGTGCGTGGGCTCCCACTTGAGTTCAATCCCACTTTATTGCTCTCCAAGATGCCTGGTGAAGAACCTAAGGAATGAAGGTACTCCTCCACACCCACCCAGATGCCGCAGGGGGTTCCCCGTCTGTGGAAAGCTAAATTTGCAGAAGCAAGGCCACTCCGGCCAGAACCCACTTGGATGGGCTTTCTTTGGTCTTGAGGTTGAACGTCCACACGTAGGTGGGTCCCCGCTGACTGGTCTTGTACACGGGGCAGGAGTAGACGCTGCGGGAATCCTGCTTGTCCACGGGGACGGCTTTGAGGAACATCACGGGCATGGGGGGCGCTAAGTCCTTCAGCTTTGCCTCGGTGATGATTCCTGCCTGCACGTAACAAAGAAGAACCGTCTTAGATCAACTCCAGAACCCAGCCCGCCTGCCCTCTCCTGTCCCAACAGCCAGGGGATGGGAGAGCGGGACGACCTGGCCGCCCTCTGTCTCCCCTTCCGGGTCCTCCCGACAACCAGTGATGACGTGCACTTGGAAAACACATTTCTGTTACTGTTGAGGTGGATTTCCCCAAAGCTAATGTTTCTCACTGGCACATGAATCCCTTAGCAAGCTGCCTCCTAGCTTTGCTTCCCACTCATTCATGAGCAGATAGAATGCCAGCTATTGGAAAGACCTCACGCCAGGTGCAATGGATATGAAGATGCGTAAGACAACGGTGCCGACAAACACCATAGATTTTAAGGTTTTGGCCGTGTCCCATTTCTACCTTTTTTTCCCCTAAGGGAACCTCATTCACCCCTCAGAGAAATTTGAGTTGGAGCAGAAAGAGTTGGAGCTATATCCTGTCTTGGCTCCTCTCATTCCTTTCCCAAACTCGGACCATGGGGCCATTTTCTTTGCCATCTATTGATTTCCTATGACATCAGTGCTTTCTGGAACATACTATTTGGGAATCGCTGTTTAGGAACATATTGCTTGGGAAACCCCGATCCACAGTGAGTCACAGATTTCTTGCATGGGCCTGGTGTGAATGAGCCCCCTGGGGCTTTATTTCCATGAATTGTTTTATGATGATGATTTTTGGAAGCTGACAGGAGGCAGAACGAGTAACAGATCTAAGGTAAGCTACGAGAATCCTCCTCCCCAAACAAGTGTGGTTGGCCAGAAGCAGCAGTCGGAGCGGAGCCCTCCGCCCTCCGCCCTCCCTTGACATAGCACAGATGCAGCCATTATTAAAGTGTGCAATGCAGCGGCTTCGAGTGTGTTACAGAGTTGTTCAGTGGTCGCCACAGTTTCATCTCTCCAAAAAGAAACTTTGTAACTGTCAGCCACCCTTAGCAGTTAAGCTGCTTGTAGTCCAAGTTACTCTATTTATGTCGTTGGTTTCTTCTTCATGGCCGTTTTCTTGTTTCATGGATTTTGGCAGCTGTTTTGTCGGGTGTGTCTACGTTAATTTACTCATGATGGGTCTTTTTTCTTTTTTCAAATGTATGTATTTGAAGAGCCCCAGAGAGGCCTTCCATGTTCATTTCCTGGATGACTACAGCAGGTAGTGCTGGCCCAGGGGAAAGCCAGGGACTTGGAACTCCGTCTGGGTCCCTCGCGCAGTGGCAGGAACTCCAGTGTTGGAGCCGTCACCTGCGGCTTCCCAGGCGCGTGGGCAGGGAGCCTCGTCAGAAGCAGTTGGACACGGGAGACACGCATCGCCGGAGCGCTGAGCCTGTCACAGCACCACGCCTGTCCCAACACATCCTGCTTTGTCTCCAAAATATCTCATTTTTTTCCCCCCCAATGACAATTTCTGTCTCGCCAGGTCTATTCTGTCTGGGATTAAAGCGCTCTCGGCTCTCTTCTGGTTCCTGTTTGCACGACGATATCTGTTTCTGTCTGACTTGTGTCCTTCGGGCTACGAGTGTCTTTTGTGGAGATGTAGCCGGATCAGCGAGGAGTCCTTGCTTGTTAGTTTCATTAGTTTCCCAGCAGTTCTGTCCGTCGTCTCTGCCTTTCAATTGTGGTGCTTCATTCATAGACGTACCGGGGATGGAGAAGCATGTACGCCTGCCGCGCTGCTGTGTGCTGTCCGGCTCTGTCCCCTGCGTGCTCCAGGACTGTCCTGCGTGCAGGTGTGTGCTAGTCTCATGTGCCGTTAGGTCTTTTGTTTTGTTTTGTTTTACTGCACTTTTAAAGCTATTTTCTTAGCATTTACCCTGAAATTACAAGAATCATTTTAATATATAGCAATCTACTCCAAATCAGTTCTAATTTGATAGTACACAAAATGTAATTCTTATTTCGTTCCTTCTCTCTCCTTTCTGAAGCTGTTGTCATTCAGATGACGTCTTTATACATTTTATGCCCATAAACACGGCCTTAGAGTTATGGCTTTATGCACTTGCCCTTTAAATCAGGAAAAAAGCGTTGCCAGTAGAAAGCGCATGTACACCATGTTTTATATTTACACATATAATTACTTTCGCTAAGACTCTAAGTCACTATTCAGTGTTTTTTCGATTCAACAGCAAATATTCCCTTTAGTGTTCCTTACAGGGCTGGCTTATCAGTGATGAATTCTCCGTCCCTTTTTCTCTCTCAGACGTGGAGATGTCTTAATTTACTTCTGAAAGAAAGTTTTGCTGGGTCGAGAGTTCCGAGGTCACAGTATTTGAATGTCAGCACATTGGCTGTGTCGTCCCACTGCCTGGCGGCCCTCACGGTTTCTGGAGAGAAACTGCCCGTTCTCTCACGGGGGACCCCTTGTGGAGGACAAGGGGGACCCCTTGTGGAGGACGAGTCTCTTCCCTCTCGCTGCTTTCCAGAGTCTCTGTCTTGATGTTTCATTAGTTTTGAAAGGAGATCATCGGCAGGCAGGCAGTGCACCTGCTGAGCTGGAAGTGACAAGGCCCCGTGGAGTTCTATCTGCCTGTCCACCACAACGCCCCCTTTCCCTGAGACCCATGCTAAGGATACAGATGTGAACACTCAGCTCTTGTGGAGGTGCTGCACAAATCCCGGTGGCCTCGCTCCTGCAGGGGAACTACCCTGACCTCATACAGGCACCAACGTCGGGGCTGTTATCTCTCCCCTTACTTTTTAATTTTTTTTTTTAAAGATTTGTTTATTTTTGTTGGAAAGACAGATTCACAGAGATAAGGAGAGACAGAGAGAAAGATCTTCCATCTGCTGATTCACTCCCCAAGTGGTTGCAATGGCTGGAGCTGAGCCGATCTGAAGCCAGGAACTTTTTCCGGGTCTCCCACTCGGGTGCAGGGTCCAAGGCTTTGGGCCATCCTCGACTGCTTTCCCAGGCCACAGGCAGGGAGCTGGATGGGAAGCGGGGCTGCCAGGACACGAGTCAGTACCCGTATGGGATCCCGGTGCATGCAAGGTGAGAGATTTAGCCACTAGGCTATCGTGCCAGGCCTTCGGGGACATTTTCTTTCATTGGCTTGGTACCCTATGTGTGAATCATTTCTTTTGTTTTCTTTGAACATTTAATATTCTTGGTTGTTGCCGAAAACTAAAATTTTTACACAATGTGGCCTCTCTCAAAATCAGATTCTCTCTTGGGGCTCAACTGGCTAATCCTCCACCCGCAAGTGCTGACATTCCATACAGATGCTGGGTCATGTCCTGGCTGCTCTACTTCCAGTTCAGCTCTCCTGCCTGTGGCCTGGGAAAGCAGCAGAGGATGATCCGAAGCCTTGGGACCCTGCACCATGCGGAAGAAGCTCCTGGCTCATGGTTTTATCGGCTCAGTTCCAGGCATTGGGGGCCACGTGAGGAGTGAAATCAGCAGATGGAAGATCTTCCTCTGTGTTTCTCCTCTTTCAAAATCTGCTTTTCCAATAAAAAAATCTTTTTTTTTTTTTAAATCAGGTTCTCTCTGTTGCTTTATTGCTGTTATTTTTGAACTCTCCTGAATTTGTCCCTAGTCATGTCTGTTCTCTGAGGTGGCCTCTGGCTCCCTGGCTCCCTGGCTTAGGGCTCAGCCAGCCCAGTGAGAGGACTGTGCACCTGCACGCACACGTATGCGTGTGTCTGCCCAGTGAAAGACTGTCTTAGCTTCATTTCCTTTCTTTTTTTGTGAGATTTTAAATTTATTTATTCATTTGAAAGGCAGCGTTAACAGAGAGGGAGGGACAGAAGCAGAGAGAGAGAGAGAGAGAGAGACAGAAGTCTTCCAACCCCTGGTTCACCCCCCCAGATGGCCACAATAGCCAGGGTTGGGCCAGGACCAAGTGACAAGTCAGGAACTTTTTCGGGGTCTCTCAGGTGGGTGCAGAGGCCCAAGCACGGGGCCATCTTCTGCTTTCCCCGGCACATCAGCAGGCGGCTGGTTTACAAGCGGACATGAAGCCACACGAGATGTAATGACACAGGCAGAAGCCTAACGTGCTATCCCCCAGCATCAGCCCCTGGCTTCATCTCCTTTCCCAGAACCTCAACATTAGCTGCAGGGGACAGGGTCTGGCCCATGGCGGGGGGGAGACCTGAAGGAAGCTCCTGGCTCCCAGCTTCTGACCAGCTCAGCTCTGGCCACTCTGGCTGCTTGGGAGAGTGAACCAGCAGATGGAAATTCCTCTCTCTCCCAATCTGTAATGGTGGCTTAAAATAAATACATCTAAAAAAAAAGAAAGGAAGAGAGGGAGAGAAGGGAGAGAAGAAGGGAGGGAGGAAGGGAGGGAGGAAGGGAGGGAGGAAGAAAGAAAGAATTTGACTCAGCATGCCAGAGCCTCTCTGGCCCACCCGCCTTTACCTGTGTGTCCCAGCGGGCGCCCTCCATGAAGAGCCCGTGGACGTAGGCCCCTTCCCGAGGGGGACTCCTGAACTCCTCCCTGGTCTTCTTTGTGACGTCGCATTGCAGGGCCATCTGCTCCAGGGGCCACTGGTTCTTGCGAGCCGTTGACTGCATGATGGCCGTGAGGAAGGACTGGGGGTTGAAGAAACCCGTGAGCCACACGGTGGCAGGCATTGCCAAGTCGCCCGTCCACGTCTCCAGCTCCTTGATTCGGCTGAGCAGGTCCAGGAACCAGGCTGCCAGGCCTGCTGTGGAAGGATAGGCCCGCCTGGCCCAGGCCTCGGGCACCGTGTCTAGGTACAGGGCATTCTGTAAGTTCTCCATGTCACTGGTCATGGTCAGCTCCCCCTGAAGAAATAAAAAGCAAAATGAAAGACACGATGGGAAAGAGGAAGGGGGTGCAAATTCCTGCAGAGAACAACCAGCTGCAGAGACTTCAGGCGCCTGGGATCTGGACGGACGGGAGAGGATTCCAGTAGGGGGCAGGCGGGAGGGGGAAATGTTTATTTCCATATCTCCTTCTCTCTGTATAGCTACCTTTTCAAAAGAAATAAATATAAATAAATGTTAAAACAAGAACATGCCAGGATTTGCGATGGCTCAGTGGCTAAATTCTCGCCTTGCATGTGCCAGGATCCCACATATGGGTACCTGTTTGGTCCCAGCGGCTCCACTTCCATTCCAGCTCCCTGCTTGTGGCCTGGGGAAGCAGTCGAGGACGGCCCAAAGCCTTGGGACCCTGCATCTGCGTGGGAGACCTGGAAGAGGCTCCTGGCTCCTGGCTCCTGGTTCTGGTAGTAATTACTCTGGACCCGGCGCTCTGGCTCGCACAGAAGGACAGGCCTGGGGTCCCTAGCCTGTATAAAATGGAAGACCAGCACCATGGAATTCCAGGTCCAAACCTTTCTCTTCACTTCTGAACTGTTAAGACTTGGGACCCTGCACCTGCATGGGAGACCTGGAAGAAACTCCTGGCTCCTGGCTTTAGATCGGCTCAGCTCCGGCCGTTGCAGTCACTTGGAGAGTGAATCAACAGACAGAAGATCTTCCTCTCTGTCTCTGTTCTTCGCTGTATATCTGATTTTCCAATACAAACAAATGACAACAATTTTAAAAAGAAGCTGAGACGACACCTGGTCTTCCTTTCTCGTCCCTGTGACCTGGAGCCGAAACAGCAGAGGAAGAAGCAGGAGATGGGACAGAACCCTGTCCCCTGGCCCAGGGCGCTGATGCCCACGTGCCCACCTGGGAGGGAAGCTCAAACAGCTACCAACTCGGGGTTCCTGTTTCCTGAGTCAGGCTCAGAAAAGAACGTCACCAGAGTGCTGCATCTGGGGTGGGCAGACAGGACCTGGGTGCCCGGGCCCCTGTTGGCTGTGATGCAGTGGGGAGACCTGCTTCCCCTGGCACCTGAGCCCGAGTTTCCTGAACTTCTGCTCCGTGGGTTTGCACGCTGTGTGTGGACCTGCTCACAGGGCAGGAATCCACTAGAAAAAATAACCACTTTCCCCTCGGGGCCTGGGGTGCGCTCCCTAGGGATTCAGCCCTGCAGGGACAGTGGGACCAGCTGCAGGCTGGCAGCCCTCAGGTCCACCAGCTAGGACTGTAACGGCTTGGTGGGCGCATCCCTGTAAAACAGGTACTTTCCTAACCTTTCTTTAGTGAAATACTCAATAAAAACCACATTTTCCTTGAAGGCCTTCTTCCTTCTCATTCCAAGTTCGGATTCACGGGCTCCCTCACAAAGCCAGGGGCTCCGCCCGGCCCTGGGAAAGGGGCCCTCTAAGGCATGTTGGAAGCCAGCTCGGCATGGGTAAGCTAAGATCACAGCACACCCACTTAAGGCAATTCCTCCTGGTCACCTGTGCTTCCCGGTGACCAGGGCCACGCAGTGGGGCCAGGCAGCGTCCTCAGGGGGTCTTTGAGATGGTGCAAACTCAGCCACTGTTGGCCTGGGACATGCCCTTCCTGGCTCTTCTTCCGTGTCACTCCCCTCTCTGACACTGGAGGCAAAAAGGAGCGCAAGGAGCGAGCCGTGTCTGTCGCTTTTTAAACCCATTCCTCTGGCTGTTGCGGCCTGTCTCATAGCTTCTCTGAGTCTGTGTGTGAAAAACCCACAAGGAATTCTCCTGTATCCTCAGGGTCATGGTGAAGCTAAAAGGCTAGCTTTGGGGGCGCCTCCCACTCCTGGACCCCCAGGGGCTGGTTTAAGTTTTCAGTCCCAGCCACAGCGCTGTGATTACAGTTTTTTTGTTTTTTTTTTGGTTTTTTGTTTTTTGTTTTTAAATCAACAAGCCAAGGTGGACAGCCCCCCCCCGCCCCGCCTCATCTCTAAAAGTAGGACAGACTTCCTGTTGACCTTGACATCCAGGTGAGCCAGCATACCCTGGCCTGGGTAATTGGCAGTAGAACCAGCCGACCCTTTTCTTGTTGGAGAAGGAAGTTGGTGCTTGTGCCTGGGGGTTGATACCTGGGGTCGCTGCAGGACACTGCCTGGTGGCACCCGGTTCCCTGGGGTCGGTGGGTGGTCCCCAGCAGCTCCAGCACCTGCAAATGTCACTCACCTTCAAGCCGAGGTCCAGCTCCCTGAGCGAGCGCCGCATCTCCCTGGTGAGGCCGTTCATCCGCTCGCACTCCTGGAAGGCGACCACCAGGTACGGGGAGCGCTCCTCCGCCCTGGCCATCAGCTCGGCGATGTTGAACTCATCCGTCATCCGCTCCAGGAGTTCTTCCAGGAGGGCCTTGACCTGCCCTCCCGCAGAAAGCTACGGGTTAGCGGGGAGCTGTGCTTCCCCACCAGGACCCTGTCCATCCCCCTGGAGGGGCCGCCCGCCTGTGGTTAAACAGCTGGCAGCCAGCTCAGGCAGTGGTGGGCACCAACCTGGACAGCACCTGGTAGACTACCATGCACACTCATGAATGCATGTACACATGTGTACAAACACACACCCACGCACACACACGTACACAAAGCACACATTTACACACACTCATACACACGCTGTTAGGCACACAATCCATACACCTTCATATATATATTGAGACGCATACTGACACACACGACACACAAACACACATTCATATGTACATATTCATACACTGACGCCCACGCACACACATATACGCTCACATACAAGCATATACACTCGCGTACACATATTCACATACTGACACATAGGCACACACACACAAAATACACATCACACATACATGCATGCATACACACGAGCACACAAATGACACACGCACACACACACGCTGGCGTTTCTAGGATGTGACACTGGGTTTCTAGCTCCGAGATGAGCAGGGCAGCCCCTATCCACGGCACAAGCCCCGTTTCCCACGCCTGCTTCCATTCCCCATCCAGACCATCAGCTAAGCAGACCTGGAGAGCTACAACCACTGGGATCTGTCTTCTGGAAAATTGGAATCAAAGTACAGGATTCTGAGCCATTCTGGGCCAAGTGCATGGAGGCTTGAGTTGGCCATCCTGGAGTAAATGAGTCAGCCTGGGAGGTCGGTCAGCTGAGGAAGACAGCTGCGTGTGGCCAGCACACGGGGCTGGAGGGAGGACGGAGGCTGGGCGGGAGGGCTGAGCCCTACTCTGTGCCTGCGGCGGGGCCCAAGGCCTCTGTCGCCATCCTCTGCTTTCCCTTCTACAGGGACAGGTCTCTGGTCCTCTCTTCCTCATTGTCTGTCCGTCTGCTCGGGGGTGGGGGGCAGTCACTGGCCAATCAGATGATCTTCACCAGGGGCCCAGCCCACCCCTTGTGTTTCTCTGCCAGACCCTGACGGGCCCCGGTGGTCTTCTCTCATCTTAGCCTGACGCCCTTGACACGGTGAACTATTTATTACTTGCTGGGTTCAGCTAAATCGGTGTCAGCAGGGGCCTCTGTTTTCCTCATCTACAAACACTTCCAAGAGCATCCTGGTCTGCCCATCCCCTGCACCCCAACTCCCAGATCGGCTCAAAGGGGCTGATGAACGTGGCAGCGTCTGAAAGCCTTGAAGAAGTGTGAACACCTGGTCCGGCATTGTTAAAAAACCAACCCAGACCCCTGGCGAACAGCTGATATTGGGTGGGAGTCGGGAGCACGACAAACCCCATCCCCCTGTCACGAGTGGGTCTTCTGTGCTGTCACAGCAGGAACCTGACTGGCATCTTAGCGGCGCCCCCAGAGCTGCTGCTGAGGGCAGAAGACGAATGGCAAAACGGACACCATATTTCTGTCTGTAGCGTGGAATTTGAAGAAACAGCCCTTATATCAAAAAGCTGCCATTTGAACATTACTCAGAAATGGAAAAGACAGTCTGGAGAGATTGTTCCAGAACACACTGTGTGTGGGCTCTGTGTGTGTGTGTGGGGTGGGCACAGAGCTTTTTTCCATTGCTGATATGTGGTGTGCAGGGTGTGGGGACCACAGAAAGGAAAGGCATGCTAAAGGAAGTGGGGTGGGGTCCACAGATGCATGAGGGTACCTCAACAGTCCGGGAAAATGGGATTTGAAGCCAAGCTGGAGGGCAGGTGCTTGGTCTGGGAGTTTAAGTGCTGGGCCCCCCACGCAGGTTCTCTGGAGTACACGGGTTCTGTCCCTGCCGTGGCTCCTCATTCCAGCTCCCCACCACTGCAGACCTTGGGGAGCAGCAGCTGATGACGTCACTGCCACCTGCGTCAGCCATCTGGGTGGAGTTTCCAGCTCCTTGCTTCAGCCCCTTGGTTATCCCGGGCCTTTGGGGAGTGACCCAGAAGGTGACAGCCTTTGCTCCAGCGCGTGCCTTCTCTCCCCACATCTCCCACTCGTACCTACTTACTCTAAGAAAAAAATCACCAGTCCCAGGCCCATTCTTCCTAAACTCTGGCAGGTACATTAGTCTAGCTTTGGCTGGACCAGCCAGACCCCAAGGGCTGTGCCCCGAGGGCTGCGTGGGAACGGGAGCTGGGAGGGTGAGTGTGCCAAGGCTGGAGAGGAGGGCTTTGTCACTCTGTGGTCAGACAGCGCAGCCGATGGCGGCGGGGGATCTCTGCCCACCAGTTTGGGTCCAAGCAAACCCGCACCCTTTATCCCCCACCTTGTCTTCCCTGCTGGCGGCGACTCCATGCCCCGCTCGGCGGTCCCTGGGCTGCAGCTCCAGCACCGTGCGGAAGAGCTTCTCCGAGGTCTGGGTCAGGAAGCCGATCTCCGCGTTGGGGTGGAGGCCGTAGAGGTAGGGCGATTCCGGGGGCAGCTCGGCATCGATGTACTGAAAAAACACGCAGGGCCGGCTAGCTTAGAGGGCAAGGCAGGGCACTGACCTTGGTAGCACAGACAGCTAGGCTGCAGCCTGCAGCGCCGGCGTCCAATACGGGGTGGGTTTGAGTCCTGGATGTTGCGCTTCCGATGAAGCTCGCTGCTAAGGTGCCTGGGATGGCAGCAGCACATAGACCAAGTGCCTGGGCCCGTCCCACCTAAACGTGGGAGACTCAGGAGGAGATTCAGGCTGCTGGCTTGGGCCCCGCCGTTGCCGGTCAAACCTGCGCTCATCAACCGCCCCAACCTGTTCCAGCCGCTTGTCAAAATAGCCTATGGACACTAGGGGGCACTCTTGCTCTATTTTCCAGAGTGAGGCCGTGCCGCCTGAGCCAAATAGTTAAACAAGAACTTCTTTATTTTCCTTAAAGAGATGTATTGTTTTTAATTTCCTCTGATAGGTCAGATTTTCCAGATCAAATGACTTTGAAGACTTGCACTTAGGTTTTGTTTTTTAAAAAGTTAAATTCTGCAGGTAAGCTTGCTGTGACCAGCATTTCCACTTAGTACTTAAGGCATTTTTGTTTTAATACATATTTGTTCTCTACCTTTAGATGCTCTAGCTCCCAGGACCTCATTCTGCCTGATGACTTTCAAAAAGATCTATTTATTTATTGGGAAGGCAGAGTGACACCGAGAGAGACACACAGAAGGGAAAGATGGTCTTGCACGCACTAGTTCACTTCCCAAATGCCTTCAACAGCCAGAATTGGGCCAGGATGAGATCGGGAGAGCCTGGGGTTCTGCCTGGGTCTCCCCCGGGGGTGACAGGCGTGACAGGGACCCATGTCCTCAGCCATCCGCTGCCTCCTTCTGGGGGCGTTAGTAGGGAGCTGGGTGTGAAGAAGAGGTGGGCCTTGGTCCCAGGCACTCGGACACAGGCTGTCGCTGACCCACGGGGAGGCATCACCCACGGTGCCACGCCACTCCTCCGTGGTCCTCGGACTTGTTCAGGCATGTTCTGAAGCCCAGTTGAAAAACTTTTCAAAAAGAGTCTCTTTCAGTATATGTTCCATGGCAGGTTAAATGGGCACAGAGGAGTGTGTTTCGGAGGCTGTAGTAATAGCATGGGAAATCAAATCAAGAGTAAGAATATCACCCATGAGACAGATTTTCTCAGCACCGGTGGGGGTGTTTATCTGTGTTGACAGATAACAGGGCAAAGGCAAGGTGAGTTCCCCGGGCCACCCGGGACAGACTGAACCACCACCGAGGGCAGTCTGATTTAAAATGGGCTGCGTTCTTTACTGAGCTCTTTCTCCATTACAGCTTTTGTCAACATCCCGGAGGAAAGCAAGTGCCTGCCAGGATGCTGTCTGTAGGAAGAGTGACAGAACCACGGAGAACAACCGGGTCTCCCCAGCCTCGACGTTATCCTAAGCCTGGGGGCCACAAGTCCGGTTCTTCCAGCACACAGCAGCAGGTGCAATGCCGGCATCCCGCACAGGCGGCACTCCGGGGGGGGCTGTATCTCTCGAGCTGAGCAGGGAGCCTCGCCTCACCTCATGGTAGCCACTGTAGTCCATGTTGCCGGGCAGTGGGAACCCTGGCGCCAGAGACAGCTCCCCTGCCAGCATTTCTGGCCTAATGAGCTCCTCCAGGTACGTTCTGCAGAGCCTCCTGTCCCAGTCATCTGTGATGTGGCCTCCGTACATGATCTCCCCGAACAGGTAGCGCAGGTCGTCATAGGGCACCTGCGGGCCGGGGCACAGAGGGATGCTGCGTAAGACACCTGACAGGTGGCCTCATCTGCATACGCCCCTCCCACCCCACCCAGGGCGAGCTGATGCAGGCACGTTCCAGGAGCACTCGGAAAGTCTTGAGGAATCGTACCATCGGATCAAGAGGGCCCGTATGCCACCCTCTCCTGCATGGTCAACAGTTACGACCATATCATGCTCCACATAGCAACCCCTCAGATGTACATCAAACCGACGAAAATGAAGGCCAGGGAACCTTCCTACCCCTAAGGGCAAAATCCATTCGTTATTCCTTGGGGCGGGGGGCAAGTTGGGAATGAAGGGCCGGCAGCACAGAGCTGTGACAGTAGCCGAGGGAGGTCCTCTAGGGGAGGCAATGTGGACCGTGGGCTCCCTAGCAGGCAGAAGAAGGGCTGCTCAGGATAGCTGGGTCTGATCGACCCATTTCGTCCCCGCTGGTAGGATGTGGTGGCACTGCCCATGCTGTTGTTTGACTCAGGAAGTAGAAAAGCTTGGGTGGCGTGAACAGCCCCTTTGATGAAAGCACACTGATGGCTAGTGAAGGCGTTCTTGGAGTTGAGAATATCAGAGGAGAAAAGAACCAAGGGTTCTTCTCTTCTAACTTTGGCAAAGACCGCGCCTGTGTATGGGGAGCCAGCCACATTGCGCAGGAGGAGGGCTGCATCCTCGGATAACGGACTTGGAAAGGTCACGTCCCATGAGTGTGGGGGTGTCCTCTCCCTGCCGTGCTGCAGCCTACCTGCCTTGCTGGAAGCCGGTGGCACGGGGGTGGTGTTCTTTGTGGGCACTGGGACACCCTCAAAACCAGGGCCTAAGCCATTGGTTTCCTGAGCTTGTGGCCTCATGGTGGCGCTGTTTGCAGCCCCCCGGGCTGGTCCTGGGTTGGTGATGCCAACTCCTGTTTGTGTGAGGTAAATACTCCCGCCAGCGCACGCCCCCTCCGTGGATGTGGGCACAGAGGTGTCCCTTCCCAGCCTCCAGTCCCGCATCCATACTTGCTGCCCCCTGAATGCCCATTTCTTTTACCTTGGCGTTGGCCTCCAGGAAGTTGTAGAGCACGTTCACGGAGATAGTGAGGTCCCCGGTGTTAAAGGGGTACGACCGGTTCCACCCCTGGGGCCCAAACTTGCGTCTCTCCGCCACCACCGCGTGGAAGTAGCAGAGGGCAAAGAGAATGCTCTTGAACTCGGTCTCGCGGGAGCACAGCTCCAGGGTGTCCTGGAAGGAGAGCATAGCTGGGGAGCTTCCCTCACCCAGGGAAGGAGGAGAGGGGCTGACGGAACACAAGGTCAAGGGCCACGGGCTGGTCCTGTCTGTCCTATCCATGTCGCTGTGCCCAGCGTGTGGGTGGGGACACCCACAGATCACGTGGAAGGTCTTCTCTCATACCCTGCACATTTTGTACATCACGGAACTTTAGCTAGTATCATTCCTGCCCATGGGACCGAGGACTCGTTGACGTGGATGCTGGGGGTGTATGTATGTGGTGGCGGAGGAGGAGGGCAGTGCTGAGACGAGGGAGAGGGTGGGAACCAGAGCCCGAGAGAGCAGGCAATGTTGTCCCCCTTAGGTTGCTTGCTGCTCCCCCAATCCTGAACAGGAGGCGACCAGAGAGAGAGAGAAGACACAGAGAAAGGACTTCAGCAGGGTTGCAGGGAAGGTGTGCCCTGGTCACAGGACATGAGGGTCTTGAAAGAACGGAGAAGCAGGAGATGGTTCCAAGAAGGCAGTGGCGCTGGCCTTGGCTGAGCTGAAGGGGGAGGGTGGTGGTGGAGAGGCGGAAGGTCCAGCAGGGAGGGAGGCTCAAGGTGTTTGCCACTGTCCTCTTGACTCTGCCCAAGACCCTCGAGGCAGGACAACTGCGAACGGCCTGCCTCTGGAACCTTCGATAGACTCAGGTGCCCACATCCTAACACCTGCTTTCTCCCAACTTTTGATGGAAAGAATTGTTATCCATTCCATCTGGTATCCAATGTACCGTGTTCACCTGTTTCAGGTTGTGCACCCCATGCTTCACTGTAAGAGCTTGGGCCCAGCTCTAGCTTCCCACGGAGAAGGTTGCTGATTAAATACTTAAAGAAATGTATGCTTTGGGCCCAATGAAATAGTCTAGCAGTCTTTAGAGTTCTCACCTAGCATGCACCGGATCCCATATGGGTGCTGGTTCATGTCCTGGCTGCCCCACTTTCCTTTCCAGCTCCCTGCTTGTGGCCTGGGAAAGCAGTCGAGGACAGCCCAAAGCCTTGGGACCCTGCACCCGTGTGGGAGACTCAGAAGAAGCTCCTTGCTCCTGGCATTGGATGGGCTCAGCTCTGGCAGATGCAGCTGCTTGGAGAGTGAATCAACGGATGGAGGAACTTCCTCTGTCTCTCCTCCTCTCTGTATATCTGACTTTCCAATAAAAATAAAATAAATCCTAAAAAAAGAAATGTACGTTTCCACATGACAGGGAGAACTTGCAGCGTTTGAGTCTGGCTTCTTTCACTCAACGTGATGTTGTCTCTAATATGTGGGAGTTAAAAAACTAAAATTTAAAAAAGAGAGAGAAATGCCTATGTGGATCAGTTTTGTTGCACTTTCAGCATTTGTCAAACTTTGCTTTAAATTCTCTGTCAAGCAAATTGTTAACAATTACAGCCTACCGTAATTATAATGAGCGTGCAGGTTATTTTCAAATTTATGATCTATGAGGGAAGTTGAGCATATTTAGATTTCTAGTCCTGGCCTATTTCCCTGCTCAGCTATGCTTATTTGTTGACTTTTATTTTAGCTTTTTCTTTGTTGAATTGTATTTAGTTCTTTGATTATTACGTAGATGAAACATGTTATCTCAAAAAACAAATTAATCAATCGATGTTAAGAAAATATGCATGTTTCTATGAAGTGGAGATTTTTAGAAAAGCCAGAAAATCTGGGAGTGTAGAGACCTCCCGGTCCGGAGGATCTAGGAGTTTAGTCGAAGCTGTGTTTTGGAAGAAAGCGAACAAAGAGGATGCATCTGTGTTGGAGTGTGCCCCAGCGTCCACCCCTTGTGGCCGTGCTGGGGTTATCGCTCCGCTGGGAGAGAAGCTCTGGGTCTCCCGGCGGTCTCTCTTGATCTTAAGATGTGTGAGCTTTACAGGTGTGTTGGGAAGCGGATTCAGAAGGCAGTTTTGAACTCCCTGGGTCTTGGCATTAAGAGCCCCTCTATGGAGTATACCTGTAGTGTACTCAAACTTGGCCATGGAGAATGACCTGGACAGCCTGTTAAAACGCAGATTCCCGGGTTCCATCCTGCATTCTTTCTTACTAGGTCTAGGGTTGGGCCCTGTCTCAATCGTTTCTGTGAGATGCCCAGCCTGCTGGCCTGGGGGGGGTGGCGTCCAGACTGGCGTTAAGAGACAATGTCCCAATCATCCTTACCAACCCACTCTCAGGTGACTTGAACCCCTGATACTCAGTGGTAAGTGATGGCATCGGAAGGACAGCATTTCCTTGGTCCCCGGCCTAAAAATGGGATGCTGAGCTCCTACATGCGTGACCCGCCACATCCTTCCCAGAAGCGTTACAGCAACCCGGCATGTTCCACCCCGGAGTCTCCGTGCACAGGAGACTCACAGGAAGCAGCCCCGCACCTTTTGCCGAGTGAAGGCTTGGCCAGGTGCAATGTGGGAGCTGCGTGGCTCAGTCTGGAAACTGCTGGGGGTCATTTGCACAGGGAGTACACCGGACACAGGCTAACGTTGCTGAGCAGGGCTTGGCTGGCACCTGTCTTCCTTCATGCTCCCACCCCATGTTTGAATGGACTCTCTGTGAAGTGGGGATGTGAGGGTGACCCTTCCCCTCTCCCCCAGGCCAGTACCTGGCTGAAGTTGTCCAGGGCCTTGTGCAGGTTGGCGTGCATGCCAGTGGGGGGCTCGTTGGTGATCTTAATGGAGTTTTCCAGGATGCCCTGGGGGATGATGTGGCCCTCGGGAGAGGGTGCAGGCTCAGCACTCATGAAGACCCGGAACTCTGGGTGGCTGGCCTCACTGTGCTCCTCCAGCTTCTTCTCCAGGGTGCTCAGCCACTTGGCCACCAGGTGGATATTCTGATGGGAAGGAAGAAACCCCACCCCACCCCCACGCAGGCAGCTGTCAGCAGGAAGCCTCAGCATGGAATGACCTTCAAATTACGATCAAATAGGCACAATCTGAAACTTATCTCAACCAAATATATGCACGCTATACATTATCTATGTTTCAAAATTACATACATAACTATGCTTTTAATTTGAGGAGCAAAGATATAGACATCTATCTATGGATTCATTTTTCCACATGCCAGCGATGGCCAAGACTGGCTCAGGACCAAAGACCAAAGTTGGGAGCTGGGAGCGCCATCCAGCCTTTCCATTTGATTGGCAGGTACCCAACTACTTATACCATGCTCGCTGCCTCCCAAGGTGCGTGTGGGAAGGAAGGTGGAGTCAGGACCCAAGCCCTGCGGTCAAACCTGGGTACTTCAGTATGGAAGGTTACCTTAATCGCGAGGCCAAAAACTGCCTTCCCCTTATTATTTTAAAATGTAGGATATATATGTTTAAGTCTTCGATGGCGTTGCATGCGCTTAGAGCGTTTAAAACCTCATGCTGTTTAATGGTGTGAAACATTTTCAAATCGCAGCACAGGAAGAGTCCTGGGATGCCTAGGAACGTGGGCCCTCCTCATAGCTACGATTTGACCCTTGTCTCTGGTCCCTGAAGTCTTAACAGTGTCAAGTTCTCTGCCAGCACGGAGCATCCCAGTCACAGGCTCCCACCCTGAAAGCGGGTCTGGGCTGGGTTTGCATTTCTAACCAGTTGCCAGCAGAGGACGCTGCTGGTCCAGGGACTGCACTTGAAGAGCCTCACGCAGACCCGCATCGCAGGTCCAGTCGCCCACCCCGCTCCTCGGTCCCCGATATCTGGATGACTTAGAAGCCTTGAAAGTCAGAAGGGAGGGTGGGTATAGACCAGCCTTGCTGGTCTGAGCAGAGAGCCCGAGAGACAGGCAGCATCCTTGCGCTCTGCCCAAGGCTTCCAGCATCAGCACATTTTCTGCCATCCAGGAATTCACACCCGGTTTAACATTTGAAAGGCACTGATTTAAATCTTTCCTCCTCTCCAAGCCATTCTAATTGTTGCCAAACTTGTCTTCCTAAAACACCCCCAATCATTGCTGCTCCGAGAGCCACACAGCCTCCCGTCCGTGTGCTCCTCCGAGTGGTTTTTGAGCTTGTCTCCTGTCTGCAATTGGAATCTTGCTTGTTGGTGCATCTATCTGTTGGAAGCCTGCCTGTTTGCTCAGCTCGACTTTGCACAGCGCCCCCTGCAGGGAGGACACTCACTCGCCCTCATTGCAATGTATTCCATCCTGATGGACAGCTCCTTGGCAAATATTTGAGGTAGCGGGACTTGCAGAGCCTTAAATATACACATCCACACTGAGCACAGCACTCCAATCCACAGTCATTTGGTCTCAGTGCTATTTTCCTCAAGAAGAGCCATCACGATAATGTTTGCCATACTGATGTATGTCACAGAATTGCTGCAAAGAGCCAAAGGCACTGTGTGTGAAAGGGCTTTGGTGTGCTAAGGTCGGTAGCGGGGGCGGAAATGAACATTTCTTAAAGTATTTGTGTGTCATCGGCCCAGGAGAAGAGAGCTGAGCGGGCTGCCTGGAAGCTCCGGGGACCTTGTGAGCTGGTGGCTCCAGTGGTCCGTCCCTTCAGGAACTGTCCTGCCTAGTACCAGCTGCTGGCACTAGGCAGGACACGGCTAGGAGAAGACCTCTCTTACAAGGGGATAGGATACTGGGATGGAGATCTCTGAGGCTGACCTTCTGGGTTTGGGGGTCTGGCAATGCTAGGGCCCCAGGGCCAGGGCCTCGGAAACTCACCCCTCAGGGGCTCCCACAGAAAAGGTGATGGGAGAGCGCCTAAGTGCTGGTCCAGTGCCCAGGAACTAAGAAGCCAGCTTTTGCAAGATCTTAAGGAGCATTTCCCAGTAGGGTGCTGCAGGGTGTTAACCGATGATGCCAGACTCATGTGAGAGACACTGGGTTGAAGGAGATTTCTGTATCATAGGATTGCAGGAGCCATCAACCCATGGATAGTATTTAAAACCTTCTCCGAAGGAGAGAGTGCATGCAATACTTTCCAAATTTGGGAGAGGACTTGTTAGCTTTTCTATTTTTCCCCCCTCACAGATTCTCTCAGGTTCTGAGCAACACTGTCCAAGGGAACTCCATGGCAGTTTTAGTTTGGTACTTCAAGGGGATGCTTAGAATCTGGGTAGCTACACGTTCCAGGAGGAACAGCACAAACCAGCAGGGATCCTCCACTTGCGTCAACATTTCACAGTGGGGACAGGTAATGTCTATTCAACACTCAAACACCTCGTCCCTGGGCAAAACAGCTTCCCTGGAGATGTCCAGGCACCCGAGATCAGAGGGAGAGTTTTGAGCTCAGGCTTTGAGAGTTCTCAGAAACTACAGGAGCCCAGGATATAGGGGTCCTGGGTTCCAGCAGGTGCAGGGGGAGCTGGTGGCCCAAAGGGACTACCAGGAGGCAGGGCTGTGCTCTCAGAAACAGGTTGTCACAGCCAAGCTGAGCATCTGGGTCCCTGAAGCACTAGTGCCCGTTAGAGAGCTGAGCCAGACAGCTGAGGGAAGTCCCCCCTGTGCTGAGCCACGTGGGAGGAAATAGGGACCCTGGCTGTCACTGACTCTTCCTTCTGAGATTCATGCAATTTCTGTAAAAGGAACAGCAAAGAGCAGCACATCTGTCCGTTGGCAGGTTCTGAGCCAATGACAGGATTGGTCAAGGATGTATCCAGTCTCAAGATGGGGGACAGTTGGGAAGGAGGCAGAGGTAAGGGCCAGCAGGGCCTCGCTTTGTAAACTTGCATCGTTTTCCCCCTTAATTTCTTCTTAGATTCAACAGGACATGAACACAGTGTCTGTGTTCAAAGCAGTGGACTGGGTGAGAGAGGCAAATCAGAAACATCTCTTTTCCCAAGATTTAGTGACAAGCCAGTCAGATAATCAATCATGCCTGCATCGCAACGGGTCTTCCAACAGAGAAGAGTATTACAGGAGAAAAGGGGAGAAAGGCATGAGTCCTGTCACAGTCCCGGCATCCAGGTGAGTGCGTACGAGAGGGTGGAGAGAACAGAGCAGGACAGGAGATGGGCAGTTTTTGGTCCTTGGTAACTACTTCTTTACAGTAGCTTTTGCAGAGTCCCAACACGTGAACTCTCCATGTCAATACTAAGATTGTTCCCACGTGCTTACCACACCTGTAACTAAAAGCATACAGCCGTAACACAGCGGACAGGCCCAGCAGACGAAGGTTCCATGGAAGCATGGAAGAAACCAGCGGCAGAAAGAACTCAGCTGGCATGACCTTCACTGGAACTTCCTCACAACACGCACCTACATGGGGTCTACTTCCTTTGGAAAACAAAGGTATTGGAGAAGCCCAGAGACCACAGAGGGAAGCCCAAAGAGGTGTGGGGTCCAAAAGGATCCAACTCGGATCCAGAGTTGGGTGTACCTGCAAAATAACCCAGTGCCCCTTCTTGGCTGCCAGGTCCAGCGCAGCCTCAGCTACCACTTCCTGTCCTTGGCCCAGAGACACGTTGTGCAAGTTCCGGTTGTTGAAGGTATATCCCAGTTTCCTTCCTAAAAGGAGTAGGAAAAGTCATGGTCATTTGCTGCACATTGTGTTCCAGACTGCTCATCACCAAATACATCCCTCCAGGCCAGCTCCCCAAGCACAGGTGTTGCCAAAGCCACGCCTCAAGTCCGAGATACTGACCATCTCCTACACAGAGGGCTGCCTTGTCCAGCTTTTTCATCAACAGACAGTTGCCCATTCCAACACTGTTTACTCCCATCCCGCTGCCTGCTTCCTTTCTTCCCAAGCATGATTTGAAAGGCTGATGTGCTTCCGAATGGCTCCCCTTTGGAGAGCAGGCATTGGTCTGCTGTCTTCCAAAGCACTGACTTGGAAAAGTATGGCTAAAAAGCAAGCATGAGGGTGCGGTCTGTTCTCTCTCTTTCTCTCCAGATCCTCTCTTCTCTGTAATGTGACTAGGCCACTGGGCCACGTGGTCAGGAGGATCGGGATTCAGCGATCGGGATTCTACGAGGTCTAGTGTGTTGAGTATTTTCATCTCCTCATTTTGCAAGAATGAGAATGAAGAGAGCAGTAGGCAAGGCAAGAAGGGTGCGTGTGTGTGTGTGTGTGTGAATTTTTTGCTGTGTGTATGTTCATAAGGTCTGCTAACACTGGAAATGGAGGAAGGGGATGGCCCCATGGACAAGTGTCTCAGCCATGCCATTGAAGCAAGGTCCGTGCCAAAGAGCTGCTCTTCAAGCTCAAGGAAAACAATAGGGAGAAATTACATAGCGGACCAATTTCGCTCAGGCATTAGCTATTAGCCCAATTCAATAACGCTTAGAGAAATTATGTAATATTCTGTAGACGAAAGAATCATAAAAATACCATAAAGATGTCATCGGGCAATTTTTCTAGGAATGCAAGGAGAAATTGAAAAAACAGAAAATGATTAAAAATCTGTACTTGGAAGACAGTCATTTGAAGAGGAACTAAAGTTGATGTAATTGTATACTTTCGCAAGAATTTCTCTTGAAAAACATTGCTAACATTGGGTATTTTTTTAAATGTCAAAAGGTATGGAGTCTCCTTCAAATGTGTAGAATAAAGCAAGACGATGATTTTCATAGTGAGACATGGTTATTACAGATTCAGCTGAGATGAACCTCAGAAACACCTTTATTAAACTCTATAAATCCTGCCTGGCAATAAATTTGATGTCAGCTTTAGAACTGGGAGATAAACAACTTATTCCAGAGAAAATACCGGGATAAAATGTGCTGGCCTTATTAGATAGCTTCTGTGACACTCGGGCTCACAAAAGAGCCTATTTATTTTCTTTATTAGGAAGAGAAGGGAATGGGGGAAGAGGTGCTTAACAGAGATTAGCTTGAAAACCACAGACTGGAGGGTTCAGAGACGGCCTGCAAATCCTAGCCCTGCAACGGCCAGCTGAGATGAGTCTGTGTTAATCTAGGCTAGAGGCATGCGGACAAAGCTGAGAAGAAATGCACTGGGGGCCACGCTGAGCACGGGAACACTCTCCAGGATTCTCACACGGTGGAGAGGCCCACAGTAGCTATGGGCCTCAGAGGGCCATCAGACCGGCCTTGCACAGCCTCTCATCACCCTCAGATGGGAGTCCCAGAGGAACCTGCATCTTCAGATGGTTGTGTGCTACTACTGCTTCCAGGCCTGCGCCTGTACCCTCTGAGGTCCATCTCGCTCTTTCCACTCACAGCTCTCTGTAGGGTGCCAGCTCCTGGAATCAGGCTCTGATGTCAGTCTCACGTAACACTTGGCCAGGGTGCTTCCTCTCTTGGAGGATGCTGTGACCCCTGGCCCTGTCCACCTGTTCACCACTTTATAAAGACCCTTTGTCTTCCAAAGGGTATGCCAGCTAGAAATCTTATTCACCAGCTCTCATGGTCCCTGCCTTCCACCAACTTCCTTGTGGGATTTTTCTTACGGATTTGGGAACCTGATTGCCAGTTCGTCCTTGTCTTGATAAACCTTCGTGATTCCCTGGATGACTCAACCAACATCCAGCTACATGCTTCTTCGTTGTCTTCAAAGGACTTAGCTCCCTTCCTTTCCGGCTCCTCATTCCCAACAGCTGTATGTATACACACATAGATATATATGGACCAACAGAGAGGCTTAAGAAAAGCTGCAAGGCCCCATACGGTGGCTTAACAAGCTAATCATGTGGGTGTGATGCTGGCGTCCTATCGGGACACAAGTCTTAGGCCTCACTGCTCTACTTTTGATCCAGCTTCCTACTGATGGTCTGGGACAGCACCAGAGGATGGCCAGTGCAGCTCTGGCTGTAGCTACCATTTGGGGAATGAACCAGTGGATAGAAGATCTCTCTGTGCATCTCTTTCTACAACTTTGGTGTTCAAATAAAATAAATAAGTCTTTTTTTTTTGTTAACTTGGATCTGGTGCGGCGGCCTAGTGGCTAAAGTCCTCGCCTTGAATGTGCCGGGATCCCATACAGGCGCCGGTTCTAATCCTGGCAGCCCAGCTTCCCATCCAGCTCCCTGCTTGTGGCCTGGGAAGGCAGTCAAGGACGGTCCAAAGCCTTGGGGCCCTGTACCTGTGTGGGAGACCTGGAGGAAGTTCCTGGCTCCTGGCTTCAGATTGGCTCAGCACTGGCCGATGCTGTCACTTGGGGAGTGAATCGTTAGACGAAAGATCTTCCTCTCTGTCTCTCCTCCTCTCTGTATATCTGACTTTCCAATAAAAATAAACAAATCTTAAAAAAAATCTTAACTAATAACTGTTACAAATGAAAGGAAGACAGACACGTAGGCATTAAGTTCACACATCAAATAGCCAAAGATGGGGCAAGAAACTGAGCCTTTTTTGAGATTCTAAATGGAATCTCAATTGTCTGGTACAAGACTCTGCATAAGCAAAGAGACAGTCAATTTACTTAATAAACTGAGGTGAAATAGGGGGAAAGCATTTGGGTCAATCATGTGGATCCTAAGCTTGGAAATAGTAGCCCATCAGACAAGCTGATTGGATTCAAGGTGCGGGAAGCAAAGATATTACCAGAAGATATGTTCTAAGTGGGTAAATTAGAAAATAAATCAAGCCATCAAGGAGGCAGGGACGAACACAGTGAGAGAGCGAGGCCCAGGTGCCCAAGTCATCTCCAGCTGATGAACGCAACATTGCCTCTGGTGAGGAAATATGCATTATGATTAGGCCAAGGGCAAGGCTGAGATAATGCATTCCGAGCTGAATAACCAAGACAGCCCAAGGAGGGGTCAGTGTGCCTGAAGTGACAGAAAACTCCAAGCTACATGATGGAATAGTTAGAGGTCAATTGGCTCAGAACAATAGGAAATTGCTCAGAAACAGGATATGCGAAAGCTTCCAAAAGAGAAAACCCTGAATAAAAATAAGGCAACTCAGTTGATCAGAAAAGAACAAAGCCTCCAGGATATGGGAAGGACACAGGACTCTCCAGAAGTGTGAAAATCAGGAATAACTTGGCTGTGAAGCCAGTTCTTGTGATGTTCATTCATTCATTTGTTCACTCATTCAGCAAAAACTTAATGAGCATCTTCGCTGCACTTGTAACACTGTTGGCACAGAAAATAAAATGATGAGTAGGGTGACATGGTCCCTGCTCTCAAGTTAGTGACAAACAGTCCAACAAACATTGGGATAATTTTGTCTAGTGATTAAAATTAGGATTGGGGGCCCGGCGCAGTGGCGCAAGTGGTTAAGGTCCTCGCCTTGCACGCCCGGGATCCCATATGGGCGCCGGTTCTAATCCCGGCAGCCCTGCTTCCCTTTCCAGCTCCCTGCCTGTGGCCCGGGAAAGCAGTCGAGGACGGCCCAAAGCTTTGGGACCCTGCACCCGCGTGGGTGGGAGACCCGGAAGAGGCTCCTGGCTTTGGATCGGCATAGCATCGGCCGTTGCGCTCACTTGGGGAGTGAATCATCGGACGGAAGATCTTCCTCTCTGTCTCTCCTCTCTGTATATCTGCCTTTCCAATAAAAAAATAATAAAAATAAATCTTTAAAATTAGGATTGGGTTAGCGGATCTGAAGCACGTATGGGTGAATTATACTAGAGCAACAGACCCGGTGAGATGGATACTTTCTAAAATAGTTCACACAAAAGGATGTGTCTGCGAACCTTCCCTGGGTTAAGAAGACCCACAGTATGCTTTAGGACCCTCCGAGGGCTGTGTGGTTGGAGAGACGTGAGCATGGGCTAAGATTCAAAGCTGGACAGAAAGACCAGGCCATACATGGTGGTCTAGGCCATACAAGGATGCTGGATTTAACCTTGAGCATGATAGGAGGCTCCCAAATCATCTCAAGCAGGAAAAGGAATCACTTAGATCTGAGCTTGAAGAGGACTCCGACCAGGGACTGCGACGGAGAAAAGCAGAGGCGAGTTAGCAGGCTGTTATGACAGTCCAGATGATCATGATGATCCAGACTAGGTCCAATAACAGTTAAAAGGCAACTTAAAAGGCAATTCAATGAACTTGATGCATACTTAGGAACTAGAATAAATAGGAATATCTGTATCTGTATCTTTATTATCTGTGTATGTTAGGTGTTGGAGGTACCTCATATGGTTGATTCTCACGTGTCTGCCATGAACAACTTGGTAAGTAGTGCTGGTTTCTAACATAGACAGCACCGTGAAATTTCTAGAGCCAAAGGAGCTGTGATTCTTCCACTTGAAGGGGTATGCTGGAGCTGAGCAGGTGACTGAGAAAAGAAACCACGTGGAAACAGAGTTTGTGGAATTTCAGAGTTACCCTAAGATTTCCAGAGGACAAATCAGATCACCAACCAAGAAACAAAGGGAGGAAATAATTCTATGGGTGTATGATTACTCGTGAACAAAATGGATATGCAGAAGACAGTAAGACTTCATGTCCAAACCTAAAAATTATTTTGAACCAAACAAAACCATCAAGGGGCCGGTGTGATGGCATGGCAAACTAATCTTCCACTTGTGAGCTCCAGCATCCTTTACGGGTACAAGTTTGTGTCCTAGCTGCTCCACTTCCAATCCAACTTCCTGTTCGTGGCCTGGGAAAGCAGTGAAGGATGGCCTAAGCCTTGGGACCATGCACCCATGTGGGAGACCTGGAAGAAGCTTCTGGCTCCTGGCTTTAGATGAGCTCAGCTCCAGCCATTGTGGCCATTGAGGGAGTGAACCATTGGATGGAAGATCTTTCTCTCTGTCTCTCCTTATTTCTGTAAATATGCCTTTCCAACAAAAATCAATAAATCTAGAAAACAACTATCAAATAAGCATCACACAAAATTGAAACATTTTTAGAAATACAAAGGTTTAGAAATTTTATTTCTCATGATTCCTTTCTGAGGATTTTTATGCCTGCAAAATAGGCAATGAAAAATCATAAAATGAAAGATACATGATTTACAGGCAACTGGGCTAAACCAGAATATCAAGACAATAAGTCTCAGGATGATAGCTTCTTAGGATTACAAAAAATAGTTTATCTGTGTTAAGACAGAATGCCCACGGGCTCTAAGACATGTAACTTCAAGAATAAACCAGATTCTTTTTCTATACACAGAATGAGTAAGAAGATAATGGTAAATGGGACATTTATTTCCCTTCCCAAGAAAAATAGAAATAATTGGCAACCGCAGAAAGAACTAAAATTTAGCGAGGAAAATCGTAACCTACATAGGAAGCGAATGGGAATCTGACTCGATGTTGAACTTGTTCCCTGTGCTGAGGCCAGTTGTAGCCTTCTCTGAGAGAATCCTGGAGATGACTGAAGACATTGGATCAAAAAGAAGATGACCTGATCCTAGACACGAGTGGCCTCCAAAGGCGATCATATGATTTTATTTAGTAGGATATAACAGAGAGCTTAGTGTACGCTGGTTTTCAAATTTAAAAATTAGTCTTAGAATAGGCAGGCATAAAATTAGTGCTGGTCCTAACAACACTGAGTATGCATTTATTCTTGCCTATGTAAACATGAAAGCTGAGCTGACACAAGTGGGAAAATGGAAGCCTTAGTTCACACAGAAATCAACAGAACTTATCTGATCATCATGGACCAAAAAATGAAATATTCGTAACAGTTACAACTTATCTCATAGAGGAACTACTCATCGCTATATGTCTGTACGTATATTGGTGCTATTTGCCAGGAAACTAAACACCACAAACAAATGGACAAAGTTCTAGAAAGAAATTCCTGAAACTGACTCAAAAAGAAATAGAAAACCTGAATCGACATAAAGCTAACCGGGAGATTGGATGAGTGATGAAAAGACTTCTTAGCTAGGGAAAGAGCCCTAGAAGGCTTCATCACTGAATCCCACCACGCTCTGGAGAAACCATGCTGACTGTGCACGAATCTTCCAAAACATTTCCTAACTTCCTACTTCCTAACATTTCCCAATTTGTTCTGATGCATAGATTATTATCATCATTGTAATAGCAAAACCAGACAAAGCCGTAACAGGGACAACAAAGCAGGTCAATATTTTTTTGCAAATATAAACACAAATACCCTTCACAAAATATTAGCACATTTCACCTGGTAGCAGCTGAGAAGGGTTTATGCACAGAACTCGCTGGGATTTCAGGAATATAAAGTTGATTTAGTTTCCAAAGGTAAATTGATGTAGTACGATGTATCAATAGAAAGAAATTAACAAAAATGTTCACCTCAGTGACAAATTTTACCTTTTCAAAACAAAAGTAGACCTCCACGAACTAGGAATAAGCGTTTCCTTAATATGATACAAGATACAAAAAGCTTACAGCTAATACCATGCTTTTGCATGAAGTCTGAATCGTCCCCTCCTAGATAAGGAATGATATAAAGATATCCAGACCTGCCACTTCCATCTAATATTGAACTGGACATTTCAGTCAGGGCAATTAAGCAGGAAAGTGAAATAAAAAGGAAACCAGATTGAAAATAAGTAAAAACTGATTTTATCTGTGGATGACATAGCCTTATATCTAGAAAACAGTATGAGGTTCATTAAGATGATTACTGGAACTGACGAACAAGTTCAAAATTTTTTTTAGGATAGACGTTCAACATACAAAAATTCACTAGTCATGAAATGGGAATGAAGGAAACAACTCCATTTGCAACAGGATCAAAAAGAAAGCGAGAAGAAACAAATCAACAAAGGAAGTTCAAGACTTGTATATTACAAGTTAAGAAAAATGAAGAACTATACTATAGTAATGACATAGGGGAACTCAGTGAGGGGGGAGGGAATTATGGGCAATCCTGGGGTCAATGGAACTGTATCATAAAATGATAGTAATGAAAACAAGTAAAATTAAAAAAAGATAAAACATCCAGGAAAAAAAAAAAGAAGCCTCAAAAGATACACAAAAGCTAAAAAAAACCCAAAAACCTGTGAAATAAAATGTTCAAAGAGTAAATAAGTATTTAAAATCACTAAATTCAAAAGCAGCAATAGAATGGTATCGGCAGGAAATACAGAATTTTCAGGCTAAATTCATCTGGTGTGTCTTTGGGTGTCCCTGAGCAGGAAGCTAGAGCAGAGACAAGACTTGAACCCAGGCCCTCCAAGATGACATCAGCATGTCCCCAGTGCAGTCTTAACCACTGAGCCCTGAGCCAGCCTCTTGTCCATTTTCTCTAGACAAATTACTTTCTTTCACCTCCCCAAAGACACGCAAGGCATATGCTGCGTTTTTCTTTTTCATTGCATAGAGAATAATAGCCTGAAGGCGCATGGAATTGTAGTCCACTGTCTTCCTTCTCTATCGGCAAAGAACTCCTTTTATAAAAATCTGCTGAACTTTCATATTTGCAGTTTTGTGTAGTCACGTCATTTCTTCATTCTTTCGCCAAACATGTCTGTTTCCTGGGTGCTTTCACGGGGCAGGTGCCATGCTAGGAGCTTGAAGTACAGTGGTGGAAAGGGATTTCCAAGGAGCCATCACTCTTACGAAGACACAGGAGGGACTCAACAGTAGCAGGGTGTTTCAGCAGGATTGCTCTGTGGCTGTGGGGAGGGGAAGGGCTGGCCCGGGGTGGGAGAGGCCGAGGACTCAGCACGGAACCGCTCCTGGAGATCTGCGTTTGCTTTAGCCATGACCCTGACATGTGGACGGCTTGTCAAGGCTGAGTACTGTGTGAGGAAAACTTGCATCTGGGAGAGAAAAATCAAGGGACTCAAAGGACGCAAGAGCATGTGACAAGAGGAGGCTTCGCTCACCTTGGTTTTCCACGTCCTTCAGCGGGTCCACCCCTGGCGACAGGATAAAAAGCATGGGAGTGGCGGGTCCCGACTCTTCAAACGAGGTTGTAAAATCGAGTGCCCTTCCCACCACGTATTTGCTCCCTAGCTTCTCCTCAACAAAATCTCTGCCAGAGAAGGTAAAATAAATAAATAAATAAATAAAATAACAATAATAAAAAAAAGCACACTTATCGTGTCATCCATCACAAAAACAGTACCAGAGGAAGAGAGGCCTGTGGAAATGAAATGGCAGATTCCAGGTCGCCGGTTAGACAGTTACCATGGACTGGCTCCAAGTTCACTACATTACAAATCAGCAATTAACAACCTCATCAAGGAGGGTCCCCTAGACTAGGGCTCCCTCGGACACCTGCCCGCCCCAGCCATTGCGGGCTCTGATGCCTCTCCTACGCATGAGGAGACTGTTGGGACTGACCCTTCTGAATGCTTGTGGAGACCTAAGTCTTCTCTTTGCTATTTTCCTGCTGTCTCCCATCCCTGCCCAAGATTTACGGCCCCACAGGACTCTGCTCTCTGCCCGCATCATTCTCCTTCTGCTGGTGTTCCTTCCAAAGGGGTCCGTTTCATTCTAACCAGACCCTTTAGCTGCTTACTGAACATCGCCTTCAAATCTTAGCCTTAACAGAGGCTTCCATTCTCCCTGCAAGGTGTTAAGCCTACTCAACGTGGCTCCTTCCTTTACCTGGCAGACCTCCAGACTGGCAGGTGGCATCCGAGTCCTGCTCATGCCTGTTACTGTTTCCAAGCCATCACCCTCAACAGCTCCATGGAGGCCCCTTTCCCTGTCTCTATCACAGCTATTCCTGCATGTCGGTGTTGTCTCTCATCCCACTGGACACTGCCCTCATTCACCAGATCCACTAAACACTTGGTCCCCTGCACCTTCTTTTCTCCCGCCGGGGTGACATCAATATCCAGGTGGACGTCCTCTAGCTTCTTCATGGCCTTGACTCAAGTGATCTTCGTCATCACCTCCTCCTCCCTCCCCGCCCCCACCCAGTCATCTAATGGCCATGGTCATGCCCTTCCCCCATGCCATTACTAGGGAACTTGTTCCGTGCCTGAAAAGATAACTGGAAATATCTCCCTCTTGGACGAAACTTTCTATTTTTACATGCCTTTCAGCAATGTAGCCTTACTTCACAGACTCTGTTGTGCCGCTGCTACAAATGCAGGGGTTTCAGGATCTTGATCTCCCTGATCTATTTTCCATGAGCCCCTAAACTTTCTTTTGCCTCTGTCTTACCCAATAAGGATTTCACAGCTCCTAACTTATTGTTAGAAAATAAGTTCAGTGAGGTTTAATCAGAACACCATAAAATGTACCCATTTTAAATGTAGCCTTCAATGATTTATAACACGTTTACCAAGTCGTTCAGTCTTCAATATGATCTAGACTTAGAATGTTTTTATCACAAGGGTAAGACTCATTGTCTCTATTCCCCACTTTGCAGCTCTGGGCAACCACAAATCTGCTTCCTGCAGCTGCCGAGGACCCTGCCAACATCTTGACCTCTTTTGCCTCTTAGCCCAACAACAACTTGAAATGAATTGAGCTTTCTGGAACCATTCATCCAATTCAGTGCCACAACAAACATATGCTCTAGAAAGAGGTGTGGTTCGAAACTGTGTCTGGTCAGCCTTCTTGCCTATTGTATACAAATGCTTCCTCAAATTTTCTCTGTTCTCCTTCACTAGGCAATCCCATGCTTGCCCTTCACACAAACTCAATTGATGAACTAACTTCCTACTTCTCAGAGAAATTATGACCCTGTGCGCAAAATCCTCAATTTTCTGCCACATCCCAACCACCTAAACTACAGCCACTCACATCACTCTCCTTGCGGCAATCTTTCCACCCATTCTTATGATTCCAATGGCCCCCACCTAGACAAATGTGATCAGTACTCCTTCTGGTGCCAACTGTGCCCACCACCTATTTCCAACCTGCTCACTAAAGATGTTAAAACACGGGTATATTTAGACCAAAGTCTTGGATGTTGGCGCAAAGGCGCTGGCTGCTTGTAGACACAAGGCCTTTTTCCTGGTCTGCCCGGCCTGACACCGTTCTTGCCCTTAGCCCATCGAGAACCACTCAGCACCCTGCTCCCAACTCCACCCCAGCTCCCTACCGCATGGCATAGGTCATCCGGTCAGGCCGCATAACTCGCATCATGCAGAGCCGCTGTAGTGCTGTCTTGTTCTTCCACTCCTGGGGGAACTTCTCCTTCTCGGGACATTCTGACTCCACAAACTTTCTCCAGCTCTTGGCAGATCCCTCGATGTCCCGATCCAGGTGGGCGAATTCTTCCATCGATGAAAGCTCCTGGAAATGCGGGAGAAATTTGGCTCTGGATTGTTGCCTCTGTTTAGAACTGTCACGGGCATTGAGCTGGGGCTGAGGGCCAAGCTGGCATTACAAACACAAGCCTGCCTCCTTTCTGCTCTTGTCTGGAGTCCTGGCTCTTCCCCCAGGGGAAATCAAGGAAGAAGAGGGATTTTAATCAGTTTTATTCTCTTTAAACTGCCTCGAGTCACATGTTTAGTAAATACAAGGACTGGGATATTATTAGCAGCCGAGACACACTGGCCTGCGGAGAGTTAGATGGGAAAGGACAAGAAGGAGGCAATGTGAATATTCTGGTCATGGAGCCTGGACTCCAACATATCACTAATATCTCCCTTTCAACCCTCATTCATTTTGTTTGCAAGAGTTTCTAACCTCACGACTTTGCATTAATAGCAACTCTTGGGCTGTCCATGGGTTGCCTCTTTCTAACAGGATTCAGTTCATATATATCTAGGTCACCGATCTCTTTGTTCAGTGCTCCCTTCCAGCCCATCCAACTAACCAGCGGGCCTATTCGGTTCTCCTGTGCCCGAGCTTCTCGGCAGCCGGCCTTGGAAATGTGCCCACCCTCTTCCCAGCACAGCTCTGTGTTCATGCTCCTTCTGCGACGTGCAAGGTCCTGCTCTGCTTACCAAATCCCACTCATTCTCTCCCTCACATCGCTCAGGAATTTTTTTTTTTCTTTAAATTTACTAAGCTTCTGCAAGTTGTTAGATGTCCAGTCCTAAAACAGCAACTTCCCTCAGGGCATGGCCTCTCTCCTGGACCACTGAGAGCTGCTCACAGAGCTTATTTCTCATTGATAAAGGGTTTGATACAATTTTTCAATAATTAACTGCTGATACCATTGTTTTTGTAAAGATTTGTTTATTTTCATTTGAAAGGCAGATTTACAGAGAAGGACACGTGCGCGTGCGCACACACACACACACACACACACACACACACACACACACATCTTCCATCTGCTGGTTCACTCCCCAAGTGGCTGCAATGACTGGACATGAGCCCATCGAAAGCCAGGAGCCAGGAGCTTCTTCCAGGTCTCCCACTCAGGTATAGGATCCCAAGGCTTTCCCAGGCTATAAGTAGGGAGCTGGATGGGAAGTGGAACAGCCAGGACACCAAGTGGCACCCATATGGGATCTCAGTGCCCGCAAGGTGAGGATTTAGCCACTGAGCCATCATGCCAGGGCATTCTCCTCCACCTGTTCCCCACCCCGCCCCCCATCTCCCCATGGCTTTGGTTCCTACCAAATTCCTACCTCCCCTTCTGTTCTACAACTGAGCAAATAGTCTTATTATTAAAGGCCTGGCACTTCCTTCCTTGGCGCTAGAGGAAGGTTGGAAAAGGCAAATCCCAGGACACGCACAGGAATCTGCACCCTGCCCTCCCTACCCAGATGTCACAAAACCTTCCAAATCAATTTCCTGTCTGGCTCTCTCGAGTCATTCCCATGAGTGGAGTAACATGCAACATGCAACACCTTCTTAGTATGTGTGTGACATCCTCAGGCTTGACATCAAAAACAAATTTTGGGTGTGCATGGGGCTCCCTTCCATCTTTTCAGAATGCCCACGTGGAAGTGGCTTAGAGTCTTAACCACCTGCATGCCTGTGAGTGTTACTCCGCTCTGCCTGCATGCTAGGTTTCTGCAATGAGACTGAAAGCAAGACTGTTGATCTACAGCACGCATGTTCAGGAACTCAGTATCTTCTTGTTCTTTGAGTCGACTCATTTCTCCATACATATTTCCCCCCAGGTTGTATTGAGGGCCTCCTACATGTCAGGGACTTGGGAATACATTGACATGAACACACACACACAGAGACCCATGTTCAGGGAACTTACATCCTCAGGGCTGGGGTGGCCCTACGGAAGGGCTATACAATTCTGGTGGACAGAGATGGAGGCAGAGAAAACAGGAAGGGCTTTCGTGGAAAGAACAAGAAAAGCCGGAGTGTGGAGGAGCAAGCATGTGGGGCATGGGAGAAAGCAGGGGGTGGAGTCTCACTGGTGACAAGCAGGTATGGGGGGGGAATGCTGGAATGGGGCATACGTATTTGACCTTGAAGGCTGACAGCTTTCATGTGTGCTTCTCCACGTCCCTTGACCACTTAGGGCAGGGAACACACCTTTATTCACACTGAAGAGTAGAGGTTATAGGGTGGTGTGGGCTGGGGAAGGAGACATGGGGAGATGGGAGGGTTGACCCTAGCACTGCCACAGAGGAGACACTGGCCTTGGAGCCTGTTTTTAAACTCTCTTTGGCTTTGACTCCTTTCATTTGGTAAATGGTGCCAAGGAATCATCTTCTGCCATCCTTGAATGTCACTCCAAGTGCTTTGAAATCTGTCCAGCCCTTCCTTAACTTGCCCCAGGAGCTGGACTGTGAAGGCCTCTGGGTTGTGGTGGCTGCTTCCCCTTGTCTGGGACTCTCACAAGACTGTGAGTTCCCTGCGGCCAAGAACTTTCTTAGACACAGCCCAGCACTTTCTGAAAGTGCTCAATTAATAAAGTCTGACATCTGGGCGACCAGCAGGAGGGCTGTTGACGGGCAGACAAAAAGCTGCAGCTGCTGTAATTATTTCTCCCCATGCTGAGGATCTAACTTTCATCTTCTTCCAGGAAACCGCTCACCCTCTTCCCGGCTTGCACCGTCGTTAACCCTTCTGCCGGCCCCATTACCCCCTCTGGCGTCTCCGCTAAACTGGGCAGATCACCCTGCTGTCAGTGCCCCCAACTGCCTGGGCTGAGCCTGAAACGCACTTTCTTGAAGCTCTGGCTTCAGCACAGTTGCAACGTTTAATCTTCCAAATGAGGGAGAGAGATTTCTAGTCATCTAATAAGCTAAATGGAAATGACTAATTAACCTAATTACTTTGGACTGTGTAGCAAAAGACACCCATGCTAAATTGGCAGCCAGCATGGTAGTCAGGGGCCTTCTGAAAGGCTAACAAAGAAATTCATCACAGATGAGGGTTTTTTTTTTCCTAATGAAGAACGGAACATGCCCATTATCTTAAAGTTCAGCATTTGATGGAATTTAAACAATTCCTACAAAGGAAGAATAATAAAAGCAGTATTTTTTATCACAAAGATTCTATTCATTACCTGCTTATTAATTCTTTTGGTCAAACACGGTCATCAACCTTCCTCATCAGAATATTTAGCAAAAAAAAAAAATTTTTTTTTTTTTAGCATGTCCCACTTGATTATTTGGCTTATTTGGCTTATTTGGCTTCTTCTAGGCTGCAATCCAGGCAAACACTTTAAAAAGAGCATCCATCAAGGGCTCCGGCAGTGTCTACTCCACATCGCACTGCTTCACCTGCTCACATCCTGTGCTGTGTGCTTCAGTCGGATGCAGCTGGACTCGGCTGCGCCACACAATAAACTTCTACAAAAGAGACAAAGCCTCACTCATTTGCAAAAAAGGCTTTGAGCAGTCGGATGAACAGAGCTCACAAACCAAGACAACAACAACAACAAAAGCAGAGTGAAGCAAAGCAAAGCAAACCAAACAATCTACTCTGTGAAAAGGAGAACTGAATTGCACAGCGCCTTTTGAGTGGAGCTATGTAAAATGCAGGCGTTAAAGAATGATTTCAGCTGTTCTTTAGGGCTGTTCTTGCGGAGGGCTTTGTGGGGGTAGTGAAGAGAAAGACAACTGGACTTGGCCCAAATGGGCAACTCTCCAAGTTCCCAAGCTTGTTCTTTTAGGAACAAATTCTAACAAGCACAACTCATAACAGCCACAGTGTACCTCTTCTAACTGCAGTGAACAGCCATCACTGTTCTGGGATGGATACACTGAAGTAGTAAACTCTCAGTCTTGTGAATGTGGTCTTATTTGGAAATAGCGTCTTCCTACGTGTTTTCAGATTTATGTATTTATTGATGAGCTATAGCGAGACAGAGGGAGAGACAGAGAGAGATTGTTCATGCACAGGTTGCCACCTTGAGTGTGCTTAAGTTAGGAGTCTGGGACTCTATCTGGGTCTCCACATGGGTGGCAGGGGCCTAAGCGCTTGGCCCATCTTCTGTTGCTTTATCTAGGATTTAAACAGGCTCACACAAATGCTGGGTTCTCAGTAGGCAGCTTAAGTGGCTGTGACACAATTCTGGTCCTGGAAACAGGCTGTTTGTAGGTCTGAACAGGTCAGGATTGTGTCATTAGCGGCAGGTCTTTGGCACAGCTGGGATCAAGTACCAGCTCTGCTTCTGATTCTAGCTTCCTGCTAATGTGCATGCCGGGATCAGTGGAGATGGTTCAAGTACCTGAGTCTGTGCCTCCCGTATGGGAGACTCAGCTTGAGTTCTTGGCTTCTGGTTTTATCATGGCCCAGCACTGGTTCTTGTGAGCATTTAGGGGAGTGGACAAGCGGATGAAATGTTTGTCTCTGGGTGACATCTCCAGGATTGGCTGTAATCTAACGGAATGCACAGCCTTTCTAAGGGGAGGCGAAGAGGCACACACAGGGAAGACAACATTGTTAAGACTGTGATGATGGAGACAGGCAGGGTTAAGTGGCCACGGGCAAGCAATGCCATGGACTCTCGGTAGCCAGAAGAGGCAAGGACCCATCCTCCCCAGAGACTTGGGAGAGCGCACGGCCCTGCTGCTAACAGCTTCATTACAGATGTCAGGCCTTCACGGTGGTGACGGATCTGCTTCTGTTGCTTATGCGGCTCCTTGTTGTTGGAACTGTCGCGAACAAAGGCAGTTCTCAGCACTTGTCCTGAGCTGAGGTGGGCTCTGACTGGCACAGCCCCGGGAGGGTGGTTTTGTTATGGTCATTTTGCAAGCCAGGAAATGAAGGCTCAGAAGGCTCACATGCCAGAAGCTGTACAGGCACAACCTTGAACTTGAACCCACCATCGGCTCTTGTTCCGCTGATGAATTCATTCAGCACTGCTAGCCTGAATTGATTTGCATGAGGCCAGCAGACTGTGAGTCATTTTTTAAAAAAAGATTTATTTTTCTTTATTGGAAAGTCAGATATACAGAGAGGAGGAGAGGCAGAGAGGAAGATCTTTTGTCCACTGATTCATTCCCCAAGCAGCTGCAATGGCTGGAGCTGAGCTGATTCAAAGCTAGGAACCTCTTCAGGGTCTGCCATGCTGGTGTAGGGTTCCAAGGCTTTGGGCCAACCTCATCTGCTTTTCCAGGCCACAAGCATGGAGCTGGATGGGAAGCGGGGCTGCCGGGATTAGAACCAGCACTCATATGGTAGCATGCAAGGTGAGGACTTTAGCCACTGGACTACTGCGCTGAGCCCAATTTCTTTTAAAAAAAATTTGTATCAATTTTATTTTTGATAATTTTTACATATTTGATTAGTGTGTAAAGGGTCAAGGGCTAGAGGAAAGTGGGTGAGACCGTTGTTTTGACATTCTCTTTTCTCCTTCCTGTATCTGGGGAAAGGGGAAAGATAAGGGGAGAAGCCACACCCAGAACCGGTGCCCATATGGGATCCTGGCATGCCCAAGGCGAGGACCCCAGCCACCAGGCTATTTCGCCAGGCCATCGAGCCAGGCCCTGAGAGTCATTCTTAAACTCTGGGCTCTTGCTGCTCAATGAAGGAACCCCTGGCCATGAATGACCAGTTAGCCTCTGAAATGTGGCTCGTATGATTTAGGGACTGGATTTGGAACTGTTACTTCATTTTAATGGTATTAAAATTTAAGTATAGGGAATGGGGGTTTGGTCCAGTGGTTACAATGTCTGTCTCCCACATTGGAGGACCTAGAATTCATTCCTGGCTCCAGATCCGGATTTTAACACAGACCCCAGGGGACAGCAGTGACGGCTCAAGAGCTGGGTTCTTGCCACCCACAGAGGCTGTGGCTCGCAGCTTTTGCTTGTCTAAGTCCCAGCAGAGGTGGATGGGAACTTGCTCTAGCTCTCTGTGTCTGTCACTCAAACACACTTTCTTACAAACAAACTAGACACTGAAACTTGTTTTAGGAATCAGAAAACTTTCAAATACACATGGAACAAACTTGGAAATATGAAACAATGGCTCCAACCCCAAGTTTCATGGAATGTAAATACAGATGTTTCTGTCGTTAGCATCAGAAATGAGTGCACACAAGAGTGAACTAAGGCCACGTGTTTCTAAGGCACTCAGTCAATGTGAGCAGTCTCTGACTTCCGGGGGTCTCAGGCCAGTGCTAGAAGCCCGAGTTAGGACTTGTACACAGATGCTTAAACAGAGCCCAGGCATGTGTCTTTGTCATGGAAATGCCATGGCAGCATTGCCACCTAAGTGCCAGGGCCTACTCCGCAGTCTGTGCAGCAGCTCTGAGCCTTGGCAGGGGAAAGGCAGCTCGGCTGACTCAGAGGAGCTCACAGAAACTTCCTGTTCCCTTACGCCCTGGCAGGTGGGACTCCTGCAGGTGGGGTCTTATGTGGCCTTGTGCACCTGCTGTTCCTCCGCAGACTCAGCAGAGTGAGTACACGGTGGGGAGGCGGGGAGGAGTTGCATCCTTGTGTTGAACACAGCTCCATGCTTGAACTCCAAAGGAACAACCCTGCTGAATGCATGGAGACACGTGTCAGGAGGAAAAACCAAGAGAGGAGGGCTTGTACTGACCTTGATGCCTCCCCAGGCCTGATCCGAGAGGAATTCCACTGGGCTGCAGGTGCCTGCCTGCACTGGAGAGCGGAGCAGGAACTCCAGCTCAGCTGTGTTGGCTTCCTGGTTCATCAGGAGAATCTGTAAGGTGGAAAAACAACATCATGCTTTCTTGGTTTGTGGTAGCCACCATGTGCTGGAGATCTTAAGGACTGTCACTCATTGCGACTATTGCTGACTTTATTTTATTTTAAAGATATCTTCCTTTTTAAATATATATATTTTTTATTGCAAAGTTAGATATACAGAGAGGAGGAGAGACAGAGAGGAAGATCTTCCGTCCGATGATTCACTCCCCAAGTGACAGCATCGGCCAGTGCTGAGCTGATCCGAAGCCAGGATCCGGGAACTTCCTCCAGGTCTCCCACGCTGGTGCAGGGTCCCAAGGCTTTGGGCCGTCCTCGACTGCTTTCCCAGGCCACAGGCAGGGAGCTGGATGGGAAGTGGGGCTGCCGGGATTAAAACTGGCGCCCATATGGGATCTAGGCACGTTCTAGGCTAGGACTTTAGCCGCTAGGCCACTGCACTATTGCTGACTTTTAATGGTAGGGCTCATCTATAAATTTTGGTTGTTTAAAGAGGGCAAAGTGGAAAAACTGTATTTATGTAGTTTTACTTCTGTGTGCATCCGTTTTCACCCCAAATATTAGAGTGATGCAAATGCACACCATACAGGACCGGTTAGTAAGCATTTATTACTTATTAATCCTAAATGCCACTGCATAGTATACTGTAATTTAATTGAGCAGATGATGCGGAAGGGAACATGACTGGAGGAGAGTATTTAAAAAAACACACGAACAGTGAAAAGCGCAGGCGCACATATGAATCAGACTTGCAAAAGTGGATCCCAAACACTGCAGTGACCAGCCAGGGAGAGGGAGGGCAGGGGGGACCGAGAGGACCTCACTTTCCAGAGTAGTTTTGATTTGGGTGTTGGAGAAGCTCAGAGATGGGAATAGCTAGATAGGAAGAGAAGGTTTTCCAGGGAAATAACAATTGCAGAGGTTTGGAAGGGAAACTAGAGAGGTGTGTGCAGAGCAGGGAAAAGCTGTTGGTTTGGTCAGAGCCATGGAAAGGTGGCTCCAGGTTTCTTTGTGCAAGCCACGCAGTGCTGGGATGGGGACTCCGGAGGGCAAAGGGAACAAGGCCGGTTGGCACTCACTGGGGTTACAGGCTTGGGAGTGTACAGGGACAGCACACTAATGAGGAGAGCCCATCTGACTCTCAGATTCGGAAGTGGCTTGGAGATAATCTGTGTTTGCAATTTACAGATGGAAGTCCCAGTTCTAAATAAGTGCGAGGTAGCGCATTTTGATGACGTTTTGATTGTGAGATTAACTAGAAGACAAGTTTCTTTATTTCTCTTCCTTCCTTCCTTCCTTCCTTCCTTCCTTCCTTCCTTCCTTCCTTCCTTCCTTCCTTCCTTTCTTCTTTCCTTCCTTCCTTCTTTCCTTCCTTCTTTCCTTCCTTCTTTCCTTCTTTCCTTCCTTCTTTTCTCCCTCCCTCCTTTCCTTCCTTCCTTCCAAGGGAAGCAGCAACACTGAAAGCCCCTGACGTTCCAGGCCTTTGAGAATCAAAGGTGTTGAAAATCTTTTGAGGCCAAAGGGTGAGATATGGCTAGAGGAAGGACTTTGCAGTCTCTCATCTAGGAGAGAGACTGATTTGGCAAACTGGCACTATAAAGGTAGATACATGATATAATACCCCATTAAAGTTCTTCGGACATTTCAAAATGCATTGATATTGGCATAGCCATCCAGTTGCATCTTCAGTGCCAATTTTGATTGGTTAGCAGTAGCTCCTGGAGGGTTATTATCACAGAATCAGCAGTGATTGAGCATGTCTGCTGGAGCGTGAAGATAGTGGAAGGGGGCAGCACGCTTTGCATCGTTTCAGACCTTCTTATTGGATAGCTTTAACAGTCTACCAATACTATGGGGGGATTTTCTGGTTGGACGCTACAGAGGACTCATTCTCTGGAAACAGTGTTCGTCTACTCGTACCTGAAGAGTGAGCTGGGTGAGGTAGGTCAGCTTATCGCATTCGAAGAGCCCGCGGGTGGTGTACTGATACACTGAGAAGGTTATGCTGTCCATGAGGTTGGTCACACGCTCCTGGAGGTTCTCACTGGGAGTGGCCCTCTCCACAGCCTTCTGGAAGATGATACTGAAGGCCTGGGGACAGAAGGTGGCACATTGGTAACGTACATAGCTTACACACTGCATAGATCACTGGCCCTACCCTATGATGAATATTTTAATTTTCCAGCCCATAGAGATATTTTCCCATCATCTCTTGCCAAGAAAGAATAATAACAGGACAACAGGCTATTAGCTCTCTCTTATTTTGTCATACAAATTATGATGCTTGTTATAGGGCAAATAGAGAGGAATCTGAAACTTGTTTTTTTAAATATTATTTGTTTGAAAGGCAAAGCTACATAAAGAGAAAGAGAGAGAGAGAGAGAGAGAGAGAGAGAGAGAGAGAGGTCTTCCATGTCCTGTTTTACTTGCAGATGGCTGTAACATCCAGGGCTGGGCCATGCTGAAGCTGAGGGCCAAGAACTTCTTCAGCGACGCCTGTGTGGGTTCAGGGGCACAAACTCTTGAGCCACCACCTACTGCTTTCCGCAGGTTCATTAGCAAGGAGCCAGATTAAAAGTGAAGCAGCCAAGACCCCAACCGGAGTGTATTTGGGATGGCTCAGTGCAGGAGGCAATTTTACCCCATATGCCATAGAGGTGTCCCAAACCTGCAGTTTTGGTCAATGGAAAGTAAATATCTGCTAGTCAAAATAATGAAACGATAACTGCTGCTGAATGACTACTTCAATGACAAGTAGACACACACAACAATGACCCGCTGGCTGGATGATGTTATCCAGATTATTCTTGGGAGCAGGCATAGCATATTGACTGTTGTATGTAATATGGGCTAGAATATTTATTTACTTGAAAGAGAGATGAAAGTACAGAGTTAAGAATCTCACTGGTTCGCTAATCAAATGCTCACAATGTTTGGAACTTGGCCCATGTGAAGCCAGGAGCTGAGAATTCAACCTGGATCTTCCATGCGGGTGGTAGAGACACAACTACTTGAGTCATTATCACTGCTTCTCAGGGTACACATTAGCAGGAGGCTGGAGGCAGGAGGTGGAACCAGGCCTCAAGCTCAAGCACTCCAATACAGGATGCAGGCCTTTTAATAGGTAGCTTAACTCCTAGGCTAAACGCCCATCCCAGAATGTCTTCCATTTAGTGACTTTTTTCCCTCTCTGGGGCATCTTTGCTTTTTTTCCTATTAGAGCATCAGCCATTTGATGTGAGCTGACAGGTGACCTTCCCTCTTGTGCAAACATCTTGCAGTGCTGGAGGTGTACTTGGGATACGTTTTCTTTGGAACTGTATTTTACGGGTATATATGAAATAAGTGTTATCTGAGCCAATTTTCCACTGATTTAATGTACGTAGTGACCATAAGAATAAATATTTAGAATGACATACTTTAAATTTTGTCTGACGAGAACAAATCATGAAAGAAACTGTGCCCAGGACATCTTTGGATCTTTCTGATGACCTTCTCTGATTTCATTTTGTGGCTTCAAGAAGAAGGGGAAATCCTTTGCTTTGTTAGCAGCAAGTATTTGAGCCTCAGTGGAAGTCATGTAAGACTTGTGTTTCATTGTTTCTTCACTGGAAAAGTGGGAGTCAGGAGAGAGGAGAGAAATGTGAATTTCTCTCTCGATTCTGTGGTTCCATGGTGTGCTTCGCTGATTTTAGCAAAATCCTCTGTCTGTCTTCAGCCCCACCCATGGCGCTGTTTGCCATCCCTCGGATGCAGACATTCGAGGTAGAGGGTGTGACTCCGTACCGCACACAGTGAACAGTTTGGGAAGCTTCCAGCACAGAAGCAGTCCAAAGAAATGGAGCGGTCACCATGACTTAGCTTTAAAATTCAACCTTTACCAAAATGATAACAGATCTTTGTTTACTAAGTTTCAACAAAACCATTCACAACACAGGAAATGCCTTTAAGAAACATAAAATTCCTGGGTACGTTTACCATTTTCTTTATACTAAGTTAATTTGAGCTCTCTTTCTCTCTCTCTCTCCTCTTAACTCTGAAAAGAACTTTCTTCTTCTTTTTATTTCTGGCATTACAGCAAGGCAGCACCGGTAGTGGGTCTAATGCCCACTTTCATAGCTTGTTGAAGAATGCCTCTTCTGTTGCCCATGTGGTCTTAGTGTTAATTCAGATGAGCTTGTAGTTAACCATCAGCTTTTGCAACCTCTTAGGGCCCTTGTATCTTTGGCACTTTTTCATCTTTTCATTTAAAGCAGATTAAGCACACAGTGGGATTGATGGCAAGACCCTGCTCACTTCTTTATATTTTGCAAGTTCTAGTCCCAGTCGTCACATAAAACAGATACAGAAAAAATGTTTGTTGAACAGACTGTTTATGCTCAAAAGCACATAGGCCAGGTATGAAGGATGTCTTACATCAGGGGTCTCAAACTCAAACAGCTTCAGGGGCCGGGTGGATGACACTGCGCAGGGAGAGATAGGGTCTGTAGAAGTGCACGGGGATGGTGCTTGTATAGGGAGCTGCCACACTCAGCTCCAGCCATGCATGCCAGGCTGAATGTAAACTCAGTGTTTCCAATCCTCTAGATTTTCATGTAAAGCCTCAAACTGGGATTTACAAAACTTTTCCCTAGTTTTAAGTGTTAACAGCCGGTTGAAGTCTTTGGAAAGCTCTGTGAGGACCAGTGCAAACAGGTAAGCAGGCCCTGGAAGCCAGTGTTCTGTGTTTCTTTTTTTCTTTCTTCCTGCCTGATGCTTCCCTTGCTCATCTCCTTCAGGAATGTATCCCTCCAGCCATGCCTCTGTGCACATCAGACACACAACAGAGCAAGTGAGGATGTGCACCAGTATGGAAGACACCAAGGAATGTTGGGTCCAGGAGTGTGTCACCTCAGCCCTTTCTTCCCCAGCCTATTGCTGAATCTCAAAACCCAACAAATAAATATACTTTGTAATCATTAAAGGCTCCTCCTTAACCACGAGATGGTTTTTCAAGTTTATGCAAAACCTAGCCCTTAAAATTTTTTTTTTTGCATTGCATAAGAGCAAATACACACTTCTGACATATTCCTGCTGCAGACTCCAATGCACACCCTGTCCCCTGCCCCAGTGGCCAATCTGCACTTGCCATGCTCTGAGAATGCCTATCTGCTCCCTACCAGCAATGGGTAGCACTCTAAACTTCAACCCCCAAAGAGAGCTGAGACCATGAAGGTGTGCAGACAAGCTTTCCTTCAGCTCATCAAAGGCTTTTACGTGCACTGCTGCTTTTGTAACGTGGGAGAACTTTCCTTCAGTTCCTTCTCTTTAGTATTTACATCTTATACCAATGATCAAGTTAGCCAACAAATAGCTTCCCTAGGGACCCAAACTGCATGTCCCTGCTTTTTCAAATGGGGTTTCAAAGCTTCCTGTATCTGGCTGTTCCTGCTGCAAAAGCAATTTACTACACAGTTTTGAACACATATTTTCAAAGATTTGATCTGATTTCTCATTTTGGGGGGAATAGTCGCTATGGGAGGCTCCTGATAAATTCCTATAGCTGTTTTTTACTTCTCGGAATCGACAGTGGTGGTGGTGCTGTTGGTGGGATAGTCCTGTGGCTACTGGGCTTACTATGTTAACCTCTTTGTTCTTTCAAAATAACTCCTTCCATAGGTTGTGTTGACCTGAATATAAGACCGAGTTTTGGATTTCTTTTAGAAACATACAATATGGTAAATAGAATCCACTGACCAAGTAGACACTCTGAGTTAAGGGGAAAGGATTGGAAAGGGATGAAGCACCATCTGTTTGAGTGGTCCCCAGGTAATGAGGCCTCTCTGGCTGCTCAGCTGCCCAGCTCCAGCCCCTCCTTTTGGCATCCAGAATACTTAGCTGGAAACATTGCACAGAACGGAGCCATTTTCCTTCTCTATGCACAAAATCCCTGTGCCCATGTTCTCTCTGTCTCTCCTATTTCACTGATTAGGCCTGTGTCCTTTCTGTCGGATCAAACCAGAGGAGCTGTTGGGAACTGCTCCACCACCTCCTAATGCCTTTTTAATTGTGGTCTTTGGGTGAATGCTCTGCGGGAGAAAGATGCACTTCCAGAGATGTGCTTAAAATTTATAGGTCATTATTTTTTCATGAACGAGATAGAGTTTAGTCAGCACTTATAATCTGCTAACATCTTGGGTTTGGGGAATATTTCAACAACCAGAAAACTGCAAATTGGCCTACTCTTATGGCCCTGTGTTGGTTTTTAATCTGCACGGATGTCACACATATCTGATGGTCCCTGTGTCAGTTTCAACTCTGTTTCCTGGGTATCCTCTTCCATATACGCAGGAAGGTAAGCACCCACTGTCTTGTATGTGTTTTAGTGAATGAATGGGGATGACACTTGCCTGGCTCCTGGCTTCTGTTCCAGCCCAAAGTCACCAATAAGTCATGTAGACCCAACTAAAAAGATGAGGCATGGGCTCAGTGCGGTAGCCTAATGGCTTAAGTCCTTGCCTTGAATGCTCTGGGATCCCATATGGGCACTGGTTTGTATCCCAGCTGCCCTGCTTCCCATCCAGCTCCCTGCTTGAGGCCTGGGAAGGCAGTAGAGGATGACCCTTAAGCCTTGGGACCCTGTACCTGTATGGGAGACCTGGAAGAGTCTCCAAGCTCCTGGCTTTTGATCAGCTCAGCTCCAGCTATTGCAGATATTTGGGGAGCGAGTCAGTGGATGATCTTTCTATCTTTTCTTTCCTATGTAAATATGACTTTCCAGTGAAAGTAAATAAATCTTTAAAGAGGGAGAAAGGGGGCTGGGGGAGAGAGAGAGAGAGAGAATGAGGCTTGTGATACAGCTCAGACTGCAGTGCAGCTGCTGTCCTGGTATTGATTTTAAAGATCTCCCATGGCTAATGAGGCACAGGACTGTGTGATACTGCTTTGTTAGGATTATCACCTTGAGAGAAAATCACCTTGAGAGAAAACTGGTACATGGGGTGGATCTTGCTGAGGTCGCTTGTGATGAAGTAGAGCAGGGAGGCTCGGGCAGCTGCGGGTCGGTAGTGCTCTCGGGCCTTGTTGATTTTCACTTCGGTCACCTTGGCCTCCTGGACCTGTGGGGGAGATGAAGAGCAGTCCATGGTTCAAACCAGCCAGAGCTTCTGAGAATCAGCCTGGCCTGTCTTCCTGAGCAGGCAGGTGACTGCGTGTGTGTGTGTGTGGGTGTGTATGTATGTATGTGTGCATTGTATATCTGTATGTGCATACGTCTGTGTGTGTTTGTGTAAGTATGTATTTGTGTGCATGTGTGTGTGTAGAAGGAGTACAGTGGATTGGGCTGGAGGCAGAGGGCAGAGTGTTGAAAAGTGACTGTGGGTTTGGACATTTATGGCACAGTGGGTTACACAACTGCTTGTGATGCTGGTTTGCCATATGGAACTGCCGGTTTTCAGCCTGGCTGCTCTGCTTGCCACCCAGCTCCCTGCTAACGTGCCTGGAAAGGCAGCAGAAGGTGACCCAAGGGCCTGGTTCCCTGGCACCCTCCTGGTAGACTCTCGGTTGGAGTCAGGCACAGATCCGGCTGTTGGGGCCCTTTGGGGAGTGAACCTGGTTCTCCCAATCTTGTCTTATCTCTCTGAATAATGTAAAAATAAAGCAAAGCCAAACTCAGCAGGAACGGTGAGCGTGATCATTTCTCACTAGAACTTGAGTGAGCAAGGCGTGAGAGAAGGTACAGCTTCCGGGTGGGAAGTGTGAGCCAGACCAGCACCCGAGCTGCTTCTTTAATGAGAGAGATTTCAGGGAGATGCCGAATAACACATACTACTTGAAACTCAGCTAGCATTCCAAGCAGTGGAATTTCAGAAGAAGAAACATAGCATAATTTCCCTCTTTCTTATTTTTTTTTAAATGAAATAGTATGTGAATTCCCCAAGAACATGTTTTCCAATAAAATAGTATATTTTCCGAAAGTTTTTTTCCTAGGGAAAATCAAGAAGAAATCTCAGCATGAGAGACAAGGATTTCCGTGAGAATATGTCGCTCGATACAAACCGTGGTGTGTTCTGCCTGTATGCCGCCAAATAGAGAGAAGGCCTTGAGGATTTGCAGGAGACTTAAAGGAAAAACCCAGAATTCTGTTGAAGGTCTTCTTCAATACATGCGTAAGATTGGAGGGCATGCTTCCAAAGGGGACAATTAGAAGGTACCTTACCAGACCAAACACTAGCCCAAAGCAAAAGCCAACCAACCCATCAGAAAAAGGAAAACCCAAACCTCAGAACCAACCTCTTGAGCATTATGACGGCTGAGTGAGCAGAAACTCACTAATTATTCAGTGTATTTAATAGCAGTAGATAGGAAAGAGAGCTTAAAACAAGGGCAGTATAAAAAAAGGACAGGTGCAACTGAAAAAGAACTCATTGGAAGGTTGTGGAATAGACTAGAACTAAAAAAAAAAAAAATCAACAACGTGAAAGAGAGGCCTGATGAAATTGTTATGAGAACATTCCAAAGAAACAGAGATGGGCCATAGCAGACAGAATGAGAAGATTTCAAGGACATTCTACAGGAGTAGGGAATGGAAAGAATGAGGAAGAGGCAGGTCTAAGGATGGCGAAGGGGATTGGTGCAAAGTTCAACTGTTTTCCAGGAAAAGCTGAGGAATTTGGCCCCCTGCCCCTCTGGTAAGTCACTTCTTTTAGTCCCCCATGAGGAGGAGGAGGACTAAATGCCTGTCCAGTGTTGTGACAAAAAGGAACGCAGCTGCAGAACTGTAATTGTTTCCCTGGATGTTACCGTTTCTGTGAGATCAATTTCCTGGGATGTTTTTGAAGTTTTCTCATTAAAATGAGACCTGTGAGAAATTTGCCATCCAGTGGGTTTTCCTGGAGTGCAATGGTGCCTGACAATCAGTCAACTGACAATACACTAGGTCCCCGGCACCAGGACAATTGCAGACGCCGTCTGTGGCATTAAGTCTGAGCTCCTATTTCCCTAGCCACAACACCAGACCCTGCCGAGACTTTAGGGCTCAGCAAAACATCTGTGGAATTGAGACGTTAAGAGCCTTTTCTAGAAGGTGGGGATTCTGAGATACTGAAGGTGTCTTGAGAAATCCAGGCCAGCTGGACTTTCTAGAAGAAAGGTGCCAAGAGGGCTAAAGTCCTAAGACTCAAGGACTGGCCACAGCGGGTTTTACCTTTGTCTCCACCTCGGCAGCAGTCTGCTTGGTGCTCTCTAGATTCTCCACCAAGGCCGTCTCTCCCAGGAAGTTCCCGGAAGCAGAGGAGAGGCGTGAGAGCAGGTTGTCTTCCAAGGTTTTGAGGGTGATTTTGAATCCATTCTGCTGCTTTGTGAGCTCCGACTGCAAACACCAAGTAAGGGGGAGTCAGGGCGAGACATCGGAGTATCCTCCTCCAGGGGCAGCTCTGAACAGAAGCTGTGGGGGTAGGTGTTTGGTGGAGCAGTTGAGTCACCTCTTGAGACACCTACAGTCTGTGTAGGAAGGCCCGGTTCTGATTTGGCTTCCTTCTAATGCACACCCTGGGAGACACAGGCAGTGGTTCCAGTACTCCCCTGCCACTCACGTGGAGACTTGGGCTCCTGGCTTTGGCCTGGCCCAACTCTGGTTGTTGTGAGCATTTGGGGGATGAACCCATGGATGGGGACCCTGTTTCCTGCACTCAAGAAACACAAATGGAGTCAGAGTCCTTTTTCTGAGCGAGAGTAATCTGGAGAATAAATAGTGGAGTACCTGAGACCCTGAGCACGTCGTCCATCCCAGCCACACCATCACTAGGCATGTGACCTTGGGCCAATTTTTCCTCTCTGCATTTCAGCATTGCTTGCATCCACCCCCCCAGCACCCCATTGCCTCCCAGAGGGGTCAATCCTAGTCCTGACTTTAGGGCTGAGTTCAGCATATGCTAAACAGAACTTCTTTCTTTAAGGAGACAATAAGAGCAACTCCCAGTTTTCTAGAATATTCTATCATCACTTTACTACTCCGAAATGGACAGCTCTCCTTTGAGATTTCTTCTTCTTTTCTTCTTTAAAATAAATATTAACAGGCACTGGGATAGTTCAGACAAGCCTTACCTCCCCTTTCTGAACTTTAGGCTCCATAGCCTAACACACTGGACAATTTGTTGTTAGAGCAATCTCTTTGGGGGTGGGACACTGGGGGGCTTAACTTGAGGAGACTGGAGCTCCCCTGGGTCCTTGTGTAGTCACAGGGTCTGTGGAAAGACAGGTGCTGCACTGGAGACTCCAGCCATGCCCACAGCTGTTTGCTGTTTCCTGATAACACGCAACTCTTCTCCCTTGAAGAGCAGAACTTACTCTTCTGTCCACTAAGGGATCTTCTGAGCTCAGAGACCCTCAAACCATTCAAGAATTAGTTCAAATGTCAGTTTCCCATGGACTCTCAGAACATCGTTGTTTAACCGAAGCTCCCTGACTTTCCCATATAACCTTTGCCTACTTCTCTACAACCGTGCCTATCCCTGAGATGCCATGCTTCGTCATGTCTACCATCTGCTAGCCCGTGTTCCTCCACCGGACTGTAAGTCTGTTAAGGACAGACACTCAATTTCCCGTGTTTACTGATGAACCCTCCGTACCTAAACTCTTTGCCCGGCAGAGAGCTGGTGCTCCACGAGGGTTTTGTTCCACAAGGGAATGACTGCAGGATACAGTCCTGGATAGCTCTGAAAGCAGTCTCCCATGCTCTGTCATTTGGGGGTTGTCTGATACAACCAAATCTCTTCTTCTTTTTTGAGGAAAGAACAGGTCATCTGCTAGCTGTGGACAGAATCATGTCCCTATCATGCTAAATCGCTATGCTGAAGCCTTAACTTCCTGTATGGCTGTGTTGGAAATAGGACCTTGAAGGAGGTGATGGAGTTGAATGAAACTGAAGTCCTGGCCTAAGGGACTTAGTGCTGTTATAAGCAGAGAATCAGGAGAGCTCAATCTCTCCCTCTCTCCCTCTCTCTCTCTCTCTTCCTCCCTTACACATCTCCATGCATTCACAAAGAAGAGGCCATATGAGGGTGACCAGGAGTGGCCTCACCAGACACTGGGTATGCTGGCATCCTGATCTCAGACTTTCGCCCTACAGGACCATATAAACATAAATGTCCACTGTCAAATCACCTACTCTGTGATGTTTTGTCATGGCAGCCTGAGTGCATGAAGACACAACTTAATATAATAGAGCGTATTGCTATTTCCTTTGCAGAATTTAATTCCCCTTGGTTCTGAGTGTTGGTATGGGAGCCTAAGGGATCAGACGCCCCCACGGCCAAGGCCCTAGACGAGACCTTGCTCTTGGTTATAGGGCTGCCAACACTCCAACTGTCTCTTCTGTTTCTCAGCTCTTATTCTCCCTTCTCCAGTTTTCTGTTCCCCAGCTGGCAAGATGGATGGACACTCTTCCAATGTCTGGCATAGCCAACTTGGTTCAATTCCTGGATAAACAGCAGGGGGTGCTGCAGGATGCAGTGGCAAAACCTTTCTTCCTCCCCTCCTCACTGTACCTTGAGCTGCTCCAAATCTGGTCTTTCCATGTTGACCACGGCAGCCAGCAGCTGGTCTTCCAGGCCATCCCTGGTCACGGTGAAGTTGATCAGAGTAGCCTGAGCTTGCAGCTCGGGCTGGTAGTGAGGATTGGCCAGCTTGGTATGAAGGATGAGCCGGAACCTGGGATTGTATTCACACTCTTTATCTCCAATTTTAATGAATCTGGAACAAAAAGGCTTATGTGAACGTGAGGGGTACCTTCCTGGAAGAACAGATCAGGGTCAGAATTCTAGGGTTTGATTCCCACAAAGTCAAAGCAAAAATGACCCCGCACTCGATAGATCTCTCTGGAGCACGCTTAGTATGAACCCAGGGATCTTGTTTGGCTCTCATGTGGGAACAGGGATGCAGCGGGACGAAGGAGCTTTCACCGCCACCATGGTTGGACGGTACACCACCCAGCTCTAGTGAGAACTGGCATAATATAAGAAAGATCCAGCAGATGGCAGTACAAGGTTTGGCGGTAGGTATGCTTGCACAAAGTTGGCGCCAGAGTGCTTTAGAGGCTAACAGCAAAGGCTACATTTGCTCATGGCTGACAGGGTGCCAATGATTAGACACCTACATGAACATGACCTAAGGACAGGCCAAGACAATTTAGTGCCCAGGTAACCAGCTTAACCTGGGTCAAGCCATCTTTGTGGGAATGGCCACTCCCTATTATGAGGTGCTCACTGTCCCTCTGATTCCCCCCTCATTCCTCTTTGCGTCTCCTCCTCGTGCTGCACACTTGCTTAGTCCTGATCGCTGACTAGCACCCAAAGTAGCGGGGATGCATCACATGGATAAGGAGCTGAGTTCTTACAACTCAAGATGCCTAGCTTGGGTTAAAATGCCCATGCTGAAATGTTAGGCTGCAACTCGACCGGCCGCCTCCCTTCTAAAGTTCCTCCCTCGTTGTGCTCTGTGGCTGTTTGGAAGGAAGTCTGCCAGGATGTGGGAGGCAGAGTTGTTCTAGAACATTTTCTCTAGGAGAGGTGAACAGTTAAATAGCCCTCTGTTGGAAGGGAGGAAGGTGTGCTCCGGGGAGCTGCTTGACATAAGCTGAGCAGTGAGATTCTGGAAGAGCAGGCTTCACCCCAGGTCTAACCATGGCAGCAGCACTGCCGTGTCTCACCGTCCTTTTTTAATGACTTCTCTCCCGAGCAGCGGCCCCAGAACGGGATCCATGGATTCCTCCAGGTTTTCAATCAGCACCACATCTCCAGCTTCCAGGGCATGCTCTATGATTTGAAGGTAGCTGGAGGGACAGGTTGGGCAGTGTCAGGCTGTGGCAGAGGAAATTTAACAAGATAGCTGTAGGGGCTAGCATTGTGGCACAGTATGCAAAGCCACCACCTCTGCTCCTGGCATTGCATAGGAACATTTGTGTCCTGGCTGCTCCAGTTTCAATCCAGCTCTCTGCTAGTGGCCTGGGAAAAGCAGCAGAAGATGGGCCAAATGTTTGGGCCTTTTGCCATCCACATAAGAGACCAGAACGGAGTTCCTGGCTCCTGGCTTTGGTCTGACCCAGCACTGGCCAATAGGCCATTTGAGGAATGAACCGGTGGATGGAAGATCTCTATCTTTCTCCTCTCTGTAATTCTTTTAAAATCAGTCAATCCTAAAGACGAAACAAAAGGCGTCCGTAGCCGCTGAAGCACGGTAGTGAACTTGAAGCCACTGTCACTTGGGATGTTGTCAGTATCACATTTTCCATACTTAAGGTGACAGTTACAAGCCTTTACACATTTCTAGCAATAGGGGGAAGTGACAAAATGCAGAGAAGGGATATGGAAATTTACCATAATCCATCGTTGGTCACTACCAGTCTGATGCGTACTACTACAGATTTGGGCATACCGCCGCTAGGTACCCATGGGGCAGTAGTTTCAGGACCACTTTGGACACCAATAGCTGCAGATGCTTGAGTCCCTTACATTTGGTGGCATGGTTTTTCCTAAAATTCTGCACATCTCCTGTTGACTTTAGACAATCTCTGCATCAATCATAACACCCAACATAGCGTGCGTCCATGTGAGTAGTTGTCATGCCGTATTGGCATAGGGAGTGACGACAAGAAAGGAAGAGCTGTGCCCTGCAGCCCTTGTGATTCAATCTGGGAACGTGGAGCCCAGACATGCAGGGCCAGCCACATAACTTGTTCATACATTTCTGAGCTCCTACAGCGCTTTTATTTTATAATCTGGCTCTTTTTTGGACATAAAACATGTTGAAAGTACTTTCCTATGTCATTAAATATGATTTCATAATCACTTTTAATGACTGCATATTAGATCATATCAATACATTTTATTAATCTATTAATAAAAATCTTTTTAACTTTTTAATGTTACATAGAGTTGAATAAACACGCTATTGGGGAAAAACAATTTTTCCTAAATCAGTTTGTGAATTTGATGTAATTCCAAGCCTAGCAAAAAATAACCATAAAAATGTATGGGATTTGATGGAAGATCCTAGTGTTAAGCTAAAGGAAGATACCAAAGATGCTAAGGAAAAATAAATCTGTTATTACATTTATGGACTTTTTAGAAAATATTTATTTATTTGATAGTGATGGAGAGAGAGAGAGAATGAATCTTTCATCTGCTAGAGAGAGAGAGAAAGAGAGAGAGAGAGAAAAGAAATCTTTAGTTGCTAATTCATTCCCTAAATAAGCTAGGATGAAGGCAGGCTACACAAGAGACCCAGCTCTGGGCTCCCACATGGATGGCAAGAACCCAAGCATCTGAGCCTTTGTCTCCTGGCCCCAGGTACACTGGCAGGTGGCTAGAGGGAAAGCAGAGTAGCCAGTCTGACAGCGGATGCTAGTACCCAAGGCTGGCCTTACCCTGCTGCACGATCATTCCACCCAGTATAGAAAGATGTCTTAAAGGATATCACACACACTAAGCTTAAGGATAACACACAGCACGAAGCTAGCAGTGTTTTTGAATGATACAGGCTTTTTTTCCTTGCTCTTTTGAAACTCTTTCTTGCTCACATTTTATTTTCCTTTTACAAAATAATAATAGATTACTTCTGGAATGAGAAGTATTACAATTAATGTTACTAAATATAAAGCTAGACAAAGTCTGGCTCAGTATTTGATAAAATTGAAAAGAATGAAGACTTCAGTTAGTAAAATTATTTAATATATATTAAATTGAGCAAGTTTAATTAAATGATAACTAATTAGTTCAAAAAAATGATGTAGGATTTAAAAAATGGCATAGGAACAATAACCACTTGTAGAAGTAGTTTGTCTTATACATTCTTTGAAACATACTCAAGGGGCTTGGATTTCAATGTAAAAAGAAATTCCACAAATAACTAAATAATGCAGAAGAGTATTTAAATAATTTCTGTAGAAACAAAGAATTTTCTGAGCATGGTCCACAGACGTGGATGACAAGTCAGACCAAATTAAATGAAAATAAAGTGAACTGTAGCACATCCAACCCTAAAAATTAAATTAATAGACAAATGAGACTTTCCAATCACATGATTAGTCTGTTCACAGAAGTTATGTCAAAATGTTCCTGAAAAAAATGGAATTAAAAGATCAATTTAGTTTAAAGCAATATAATTGCAATCCATGCATTAAGTTTTTCATAAAACTGCATGATAAACATGCATTTCGGGAAAAACTATGCATGAATTTCCAAATGCTTTTGCCTCAAAATAGACTGTTAATTTCACTTTCCATGAACTTCTTTTTTTGAAGTCCCTTTATATCCAGTGAAATACAATTTTTGGATCCAAATAACATGGAACAAATGTAAGATACTGCACAGTGATAAAGTGGCCGGCGGACATGAGCAGGGAACGAAATAGAAGACACATTTATTTGCTGTGGGGCAGCAGCTTTTCAGGGAACAGAGACACAGCACTGAGCAGAAAGAACATGTCTTCAGATCTGAAATGCATTCTTTAATTGACCTGAAAGAAGTATTTCAACCAACATATGGGGATAAAGCCAGGGTTGGATGATGTCACTTCTCAACATGATTCACTCTCTCAGAGGGGCCCACTCTGGTGTGCAGTATTTGCTCTGACTATAACTTTTAGCATTACGTGTTTGATTTAAATACTCTGGATGATCTGGCCCGTCAGGCAGGCATGTTGGGGAGAGATTGTCCGAAGTGGCGGACCTCACCATGCTGCCCATGTGGATCATCTTGAGTTTCTAAATGAGGATAGCCTGGGTTTAAATATTGCCTCCACAAGTTCAAAAGAAAAAAAAACATAATATCTTTTTAAATGAGGCGAAATACACAGGACCTGAACATTTTCATCTTTACTGTATTTTAGGTGTACGGTTCAGCAGCATTCACTGTATTGTTATTGTTGAGCAACCATCACCACTATGTTATATAGACAGGGCTCTTTCTTGCAAAACTGAAACCTCATCCCCATTAAACAACTACTTCCCTGGCACTAACATCCGATTTTAGTGATTCTAGATGCTTCATAGGAGTGGAATCATGTACGAGCTGTCCTTATGTGACTACTTTTCTTCACTTAGTTAAATAATCAGACACGATTTGTTCTTTGGCGTCGGCCATAAAGTCCTCAAGGTTTCCTTCATACTGTAGTATGGTTTCACAATTTAACTTCCTTTTAAGAAATCAGCAGATAGAAGATCTCTCTCTCTCTCTTACTTTCTACCTTTCAAATAAATAAAAGTAACTCTTTTAAAATATTTATTTATTTGAAAGTCGTAGTTACAGAGGGAACACACACACACGTACACAGTACTCTTCCATCCATGGATTTAGTCCCCACAGGCCATCACAGCTCCCTGACTTTCCCATATAATCTTGATCTACTTTCTCTACAACTGTTTCACTCCCTGAGTTGCCATTTAAAACATTGGAAAAGACCTGGCACAGTAGCCTAGTAGCTAAAACCCTCGCCTTGCATGCAACAGGGTCCCATATGGGTGCCAGTTCACGTCCCAGCTGCTTCACTTCCCATCCAGCTCCCTGCTTGTGGCCTGGGAAAGCAATCGAGGACGGCCCAAAGCCTTGGGACCCTGCACCTGTGTCGGAGACCTGGGGGAAGCTCCTGGCTTCAGATTGGCTCAGCTCAGCTCTGGCTTGGGGAGTAAACAAGCAGATGGAAGATCTTCCTTTCTGTCTCTCTTTCTCTCTGTAAATATGACTTTCCAATAAAAAATAAATAATTTTTTTAAGCATAGGAAAAAGGATGACCATGAGGGCTGATGGAAAAGGGTAACAAAGGTGTCATACATGATTTCTGCTAATTGTTATAGAATAAAGGTACATGTTTATATAAACACACACATATATGTACATGTGTGTGTAATATGGAGCACGGGGTGCCAATTCCATGTGTGTATACGCTGTGTAATGGTCTTTCAGGGTCATTAAGATTGCTGCCTCCTTAAACACTGATTTCTCTGTTGGGAATCTTCAAAGTGCCTCCCCCTCTCCCACATACACACTAGTTCTTTTCTTAATACTGAGTGATAGAGAAAAAACAGAGAGGGGATGAGATCTTACATTTATTGATTCCCTTCCTAAATGACCACAGCAGCCAGGCCTGAAGGCAGGCCCCAGGAACTCCATCCACGCCTGTCACGTGGGTTGCTCAAGTGCCTGAGCAGTCACGTACCCTTTGCCTAGGTGCACTAGCAGGGAGCTGGGTCTTGTCCTGGAAGCATTGCCTATATGGGATGATTGACAGTCAGTGATACTGGCCTATTTCTCCCCATTCTTTACTGAGCATACAATAAAACCATGTGATTTGCAGTGACACAGAAAGGCAAAGGCACCGTGCCCAGGCATCTGTGGCTGTGAGGGAGGAGAACCATGGGGGATCAGGGAGGCAGGAACCATCTGCAGGGGCTCACCGACTGCTCATCAGAGGGTTTTCCAGCGCGCACGACAGAAGCAGGGACATCCACGCTCGGTGACTTACCCCTTCTGGCCAATCTGAGTGACTCGGAGGTCATCTCCGTATTTGTTCTTGATCCACTTGATGCCTTGCAGCTGAGGGTCCACCATGAGCGGCCAGCGCTCGCAGTGGAGGAGGATGGTGGCATTCTCCAGGGACATGCGGTCTGCAGGAAGGCCCTCGTTTTGCCAGGCAGCCACGTCAGCATCATCCATCAGCAGCCTCAGGGGATCCAGGCCCGGGGTGACAGGGATGGGGACCTGGCAAAGCAGCAATGCCAGCCCCACTTGCAATGGGAAGTGGGAGCCACTATATAGTGTGTCCTTGTGTACGGTGCGTCCTTGCTACATGCCTGTCTATAGGGCATAGGCGACATCAAGGCTTCCACTCCAGAGAGTGCTTTTCTGGCCATTCAGTCCGTCTGACTGGCTCCTGGTCTTACAGTGGACCCGCCTAGATCACATTTCCACTATGGATGACTGGATGCATATCACCACACACCTAATGCTCTCAGCCATGTTTACAGGCTTACTTCTCTGTTTCTCAGGTGAGCATGTACTGTGGACTTTCAGCGCTCTCTCCCAGCCTCCACAAACCATCTTCACCTCTCGCCTATTTCACTGGTTTACACAGCATCTGGGAAATGTAACATTTCTCCTGTAAATCCACGTACTGGGCCTCCCCTAGGCATGTGCAAGACCCTTTCCTTGAGTCTCTGTTGGCCTGTCTCAAACCCTTTCCATTGGTGGCTCATGCTTTTTCTTTGAGATGGAGGCAGGAGTCACACAGCAAGAACACCAAGCACGTTGAAGTGCACAGTGGCAGTGCCCGTGAGTCTGCTCACAACACATGCAACTCACTGCTCTGTCTCCCTTCTTCTTTTTGTTAATGATTTGTTTATTCTATTTGAAAGTCAGAATTACAGAGAGATAAGGAGAGACAGAGATAGAGAAATTTCCATCTGCTGGTTCAAGCTCTAAATGATCACAACAGCCAGAGCAGGGTTGATCTGAAGCTCCTGGGAGCCAGGAGCCTCTTCTGGGTTTTCCATGTGGATGTAGGGCCCTAGGCCTTGGACCATCCTCTGATGCTTTCCCAGACTGTGAGCAGGGAGCTGGATTGGAAATAGAGCAGCCAGGACTTGAACCAGCACCCACAGGACTAGCCCAATACACCACCTCACTGGCCCCAGCTCTTTCTACTTTGAGAATGTATTTATTCATTCCTCACCAGGAAATCTCCCTGCTGGTTAAACAGTCACTCTCCATTTCTCCCTATCCTTAGCTCTTGGCAATTACTAATACGTGTTCTGTCTCTATGGGTTTTCCTATTATGGACATTTAACGTAAATGGAATTATACAGTATGTAATCCTTTGTGTCCAGCGACTCTCACTAAGCCTATTTTCAAAGTTCACACACTTCCTTTCAACCCCTCTGTCTCCCCACTCTGAGGTTTGCCTGGCCCACTTCATGCATCAAAATCTCTCCAAACCATCTCCTCCCCCTCTGCTTTTTCTCCACGGAAGACACCAATGGCGATGGGTGTCCTATCAAGAAAACCTCTAAAGGAAAAGTAGTCCCTTAGTGTTCTTTTATCCTGGGACCCAAAATGTGTTTCGATATATATATATATATATATATATATTAAGATTGTATAAAATTCTGTCTTCCGTGTTCAAACACAGAATTCTGAGGAAGCATCCATCCTCTCCCAGACTACCTACAAAGACCCTGGTGCTCCTCCCCCTCCCCCCCCAAAGCAAAGAAAACCCTTAAAAAGCTGATACTGGGTGCTGCATTTTGATTTCCTCACTCGGTGAACGATGAATCTTCCTGTGGTTTTCTTTCCCCACAAACATTCAAGATGAATAAAATAACAGCTTTATTTCTTATTTACTAGCACTGGAGCTTTCATGCCACTGTTGAGTGAATCATCACCAATAGGAATTTATGAGCTGAGCCAGCCATTGCTGTATAGAACGGGCTGTGTATTGTAAGAATACAAGGACAGGTGGATGGTGGGATGGTGAGCTTTACGCGTAGGATGTTGGCTGCACCTGGCCTTTGTGACCTTCATCCCCTCAATTAGCCTGTGACCTGCTGAAGGCATCCTGGACTCGGGTGTCTGGTGGAACCTCCAGGATAGTGGGCACAACACTCAATGAATATTGGACTCGGATGACTGTGAGGGGTGTAAAATCGCCTAGAGAATATTGCGAATTACTCTCACTGTTGTATCTGGGTATGGCTGTGGGTCCCCTTTCATTGTGAGCTTGCTTTCCTGTTTGTGCATGTGGAGGGGAGTGGGTCGTAGAGGGGCTAGTTGGAGGCAGAACATGCCCACATGAAGACAAGGTGAGCAGCCTCTATGAAAACCCTCGTGGTTCTTCCTCACAAGAGCATATGTGAGCGACGGATGCAGCTGCTGTGATAAAGGTACCATAAACCATGAGTAGAAACTGCAATCTGGGGGTCTGGTGGCAAAGTGCCATGAAGAATTTAGGAAAAAGAACTTTCCCTTATGCTCCTGTAGAGGTTTGGCTCTGGAGCAGGGAGAGCTGGGAGAAACACAGGGTTCTTTGGTGTCTTGGAGGATGCCAGGAGACAGCCTGCCAGGCAGAGTCTCCAGAGTTTCTAAGAGGAACTCTCTCCGAGATGAGGTGCAGGGCTCCAGTGGCCTAGGGGACGGAGGATGGCCATGCACATCATGCACGGGTGTGCATACCTCAGTGCCTAATGCTCACGTGATAGTGGGTGTGAGTGTGCAAGAGGGCATTAGATTCCTTGCTGATATCTCAGAGAGGACAGCACAAGATGGTTCAAGCCCACAAGGGAGACCTGGAGGGAGTTCCTGGCTCCTGGCTATGCCCTGGACCATGACCCGGTGAGTGAACCAGCATATGGAAAACATCTTTTCTATCTCACTTTTTATCTCTGAGTCACTCTGCCTTTCAAATAGATGAAGGAATGTATGAATAAATAAATCTTTCCAAAGTCACACACATAAAGAGGGTGTTGTATTAGTATCAGGTGTCTTCCCCAGCATCCACTGGCCGATGCGGTCAGCAGGTGTTTGGGCTGTACCTACTTTCAACTGGCTCAGGTAGGGTCTCCAGGTCCCATCCAGGAGGTTCTGCCGGTATTGCTTTGTAAAGAAGCCGAGGTATGAGATAAAAGCTGTAGTAAGTAAGATGTCTCCACACAGCGTGCTTTCCTGCTGTTTGAAGTTCTGCACAGCCTCTGCCCATCTCACGTTTTCTGAAGCCAGTCCTCCAACCTACATCGCAAAGGAGAGAGAGGAGAGGAGGTCCTCATGCCATGGGCTACAGGCCTGTGGAGCCCATCACTGGACACCCACACTGTCCTTTTGTAGCAGGAAGGCACAGGCCCCCAGGCTCTGTGGGGCCTGGCACAGAAGCATAGTGGCTAAAGTCCTCGCCTTGCACACATCGGGATCCCATATGAGCACTGGTTCTAATTCTGGCAGCCCCGCTTCCCATTCAGCTCCTTGCTTGTGGCCTGGGAAAGCAGTCGAGCACGGCCCAAAGCCTGGGGACCCTGCACCTACATGGGAGACCTGGAAGAGGCTCCGGGCTCCTGGCTTCAGATTGGCTCAGCTCCAGCCATTGTGGCCATTGTGGCTAAGTGAATCATCGGACGAAAGATATTTCTCTCTGTCTCTCTTCCTTTCTGTATATCTGACTTTCCAATAAAAATAAATCTTAAAAAAGAAAAAGCATAATAAAAACAAACAAACAAAATAAGAGGCTCTGTGCTGGCTGCCACAGTCATGACCACAACAAGACCCTTCTCTGCACTGTGCAGAAAGGAGATGGGCCGTAGGGAGGGGACAGGTCTGAGGACTCCCAGGCTCTGCCCTCTCTGTGTGTGGAAGTAGACAGCCCCAAAGGGTCCTCGAGAAGGTAGGCTAGGACCAGGAATGTAAATCATTTAGTAGCACAATGCCTGGCTTGTGAGATGTGGTAAAAAGTCGGGCACCTCTCTCCCTGCTCTTCTCCGGAGCCCAGGGAAATGAAAACAAACAAAGTGTAGTTCCTGCACTATAAATAATTCACAGTGGGTGATGAGATAGATGTGGTAATTAATCATGGTGCTGGAAGAAAATGAGTGTGTGCAGGGTACCAATGGCTGTAGAATACACGCCGACTGGCTCGGTCCACTGCATGGTGTGGCATCTCTCTTGTTGGGTACCCGTGTCCTGCCTGGAAGGAGAGCCACTGCTAAGTGGACGGGAGAGCTTAGCTTCTGCGTTAGGACTTGGCCTTTATTTTCCCCTTGAAAGTTGAAAAATAGAAAGACAAAACCCTGAGAGATTTGCTGATGATATGTGTTGCACAAAGACCAGAATGACCAAGAGTCTCCCTAGACTCCCTAGGATGGTAGGAATGGCACTGGCTTTGATGCGCATTTTTGCCGATTCCTGGAACTGTGGGCCATCCTGTTTCCTAAGAGAACTGGCTCACCAGGCTGGGGAGGCTGTGCTAAGCATGGAAACCAAGCAGGAAGTTGAGTGGAAGGTAGGCCGGCCCCATGAATTCTCACGCACCTGCCGAGGTGTGGCCTCTAGAGCACACCTGTTCAGCCATACAGATAATCTCAGTCAGGCAGTGGCAGGCTCAAACCAACAACGGCACAGACACAGGCCAGGGCTACAACCTGTGTCCACCAGGGTATGGCTCAACTCCCTAAGTTAAAAACCAGCCAACCTGGCTTTGTTATATAAATAAAGGGTGACTGGAATCAGTGTGATCTGCTATCAAGGGTGCTTCCCTCACTGGATGAGGGAAGATTCCAGATCAAAGAGAAATTACACCTAGCTGGCAATACTTTGCAACGTTTTAGCAGACAGCTGAGGGCTATTGCTTTTCCTTCCCTATGCTTGTGGCAGGAGATGGCTTAAAAAATCAACTTGAACTTAAAAAAGAAAAAGCCCGTGGAAAAATGGAATTAAAAGGTAGACGTATTCTGATGCAAACTAGGTTGAAACATAGGTATATTAATTTTTTTTCATGATAAGTATTTTTCATGCCCTTTTTGAAGAGCTCATGTATGAATAAAATTTAAAATAATTTGTTGGCATCAAAATAAACAATCTTTTAATGCTGGGTTTTCTTTTTTTTTTAGAGTTATTTATTTATTGGAAAGTCAGATATACAAAGAGGAGGAGAGACAGAGAGGAAAATCTTCCATCCGATGATTCACTCCCCAAGTGAGCACAATGGCTGATGCTAAGCTGATCCGAAGCCAGGATCCAGGAACTTCTTCCAGGTCTCCCACATGGGTGCAGGGTCCCCAGGCTTTGGGCCATCCTCCACTGCTTTCCCAGGCCGCAAGCAAGGAGCTGGATGGGAAGTGGAGCTTCTGAGATTAGAACCAGCGCCCATATAGGATCCCGGCACGTTCAAGGTGAGGACTTTAGCTGTTAGGCCACGCCGCCGGGCCAATGCTGGGTTTTCATGAACATGGGATGAGAATATAAGCCACGGGGGAAGAAAAAGACCTTAGATTCCTGAAAACTCTTCTCACCAAGGGTTGTCCCCTGAACTTGAGATGGCTTGGACAGACAAGCTACAGTACAGGCACTGGTGGTGTTCTGGCTTTCTGCCTTAGGCCTGAGCACATCTCAGACTTATCACTTCTTGTCTCTTGGAGTGCTTGTCTCTGGAGCCCAGAGTCACCATGTAAGGTGTCCGTCTCCCCAGCTGCAGGGATTGTACAGGAAAGTGCTGAGACTAAGAAGGAGAGATACCCAGCGGAACCCACCACCCCAGGCATTGCTACCAGTGTGTCCTCCGCTACCATGTGAAGAAGCTGTTCTCAGACCTTCCACCCCAGCTAACACTGAGTAGGTGAGATATTACCCTGCGGAGCAGAAGAACTGGCCAATTGGGCCCTGTCCAACTTCCCCCAACTGTAATCTCGGGAGATGCGATGCAATGGTTATCACGCCAAATCACTAATCATTTGTTGTACTGCAACAGAGGCCTGCAACATGCCTCCCCTGTCCCTGGCATTTAGGCTAGCATTTTTCTGTGTGTACTCAAGTGCTGGGGTAAGGTCATGCTCAGAAATGCCTAGGGTCAGTAGGTCTCATGTTTTGCTGCTTCTATCTCAGTTATCAGTCCTAGTCATGTCTTTACTATCAGGCCCTACATATATTCAAGACTTCAGAGTTTGCCTACAAAAAATGCTGGCCTTGTCTTTTAACACACTGCCTCCAGTCACTTCAAGTCTGATGGATCTTCAAACATTTGTTGAAAGGTAGAATTAATTCAGATGTTTATTTTGGTGCAGAAAAATGTTGAAATCGGTACGTGGTCTTGTCACACTAAGCATTTTCCACAAGCTTTCTGAATACCCCTTATCTACATGAATTTTAGACTTCTTTTCTCCACAACAAGATAAGCTTATCTTCCTATTAATTCCACTTATTTTTGGTGAACGTTTTCAAGTTCCTTTGCCTATGGAAGTACAGTCATGTTTTACATGGGTTTCTGATGCTCACACTGCTTTTATAAGCAATCCTCAGACCTGTGTGTGCGTCCATTTCTTTACTCAGGACTCGGTCCCTGCATCCCAGTACATTTTAGAATCCCCTCCCTTTCCCTAAGTCACAGAGATGCTGAGTCGTGCTTGTCTGTTTCCCACCTCTATGCACTAGACAAGTACTGTTAATATAATGAAAGCTTGCACCACGGGGGGCTGGCACTCACCAGGCGGTTGGCAAGGGAGATGGTGTTTGCGGTCGCCTCAGCTTCTTGCTGACATTTGAGTTTGTCCGCTGTGGCTTTCTCAAACTTGGCTGTGAGCTTGGCTAGGTTTCCATTGAGGTGCTGTTTAGGAGGGAACATACAGAGTATCAGTCATTCCAGCCAGGTCTCTTCCAGCATTCCGAGACTCATGAGCAGCTGGTTTGGAAGGAAGTGCTCCTCCAAGGGGGAAGCCGTAAGGCACTCGGGAGGCGGGTGGGGGGGAGGAAAGCAGGGCAGTGTAGGACAGGAAGGCAAATAAGGAGTAATCCCTGGTAGAGTTGCAGTAAAAGGCTTCTGTGTGGTAAGGAAGGAGGGGAAGGAAATGGAAACCCAGAGTTGTTGGACCCACAGGGAGAGTGCTGAGCCTCTGCATTGCAACTCCTCTGTCTTGGTTAAAGGCTGTGACGCCTGATGGATATGGAGAAGGGCAAGGGTGCATATCCTGACTTCCCTGGAGTACATGTGGGTCTAGTGACTTGACAAAATGAAGCAGGTGCTGCCCTCAGAGGCAAAGGCACAACCATATCAGGATTGCCAGGGCCTGGGCAGAGGATGCTGGGAAGCCTGGGAGGGCTACTGCCTGTATTTGCTCTTGGCTGGTCTGGGGCTGGTCTCTCTGGAACCTAAGTTTTTCCCTGACTGAAGATTTAAGGAATGTTAAGACAACTCTCTTAACATCATCCTTTTCTCCCATTGTCCAAAGACACAGGGATTGATTTTTTTTTTTAAGTCTAAGTGTAATTTTTCCCCCTAAATGTATTAAGAACTTAGAACCAAAGCAGATAGTTTGTTGTTATTGTTGCTCCCAAGGTACGTATTTGCATACACAAAGACGCATGGGAATACATCATAAACCCCCAAATATCTCTCATGTCTGTGTAATAGTGGGTTTAGATTGCCTTATTGTCCATTAGTAAGACCCAGGACAAATAAATAAGGGTCAAGTTTATATGGTAAGGCACTTTTACAGGCAGGTTGTGAGTCAACCAATTAACGAAAGTGGACTGACCATACTCATTCCTTTCCTCTTCTTCCAGATTTCTCTAAAATGATTATGGAGCAATTGTAGAAGTCCTAAGGGATAGAGGGATTCCACTGGATGTATGGAAAACGATACTGATGGAGGGGTGGAGACTGTTGGAGCAGGGTGGAGGAAGCTGCAGGATCATGTTGCCTACAATTCATCCAAGGGGGAGTGGATTAGCTTACAGAGCCCACATGAGCTGGATTTAAGATTTAGGAACTGTTAGCTGTGACTGAGAGGGGTGATGAAAACAGAGGCTAATTGGACCTTGGCCGATTCCCCTACCTCCAATCTCTGCTTTCTCTGCTTCCTGCCCACTACGCAATGCCATCAGGTGTCTGTGTCACTAGGAAAGGGAGTTGATGCTGGTAACGATCAGACATCGCCTTCTGGCATTTAGAATGTATTTCATCTATCTGATCTTGAACACAAATTCTGCCAGGCAGAATTAGCGCAACTTTTTCCTGCACAACTACAGACAGATTTTCAAAAAAAGATTGTGCTATTTAGTTTACTAAAGGCCTGCATCAGCTAGTGCTAAGCCAGGTCAAAAGCAGAAGGCACAGAAACTCAATCCACATCTCCCTCCTAAATGACTGGGATCCAAGTACCAGAGTCATCACCAGCTGCTAAGGGCATTAGCAGGAAGCTGGACTCAGAAGCAGAGCTGGACCTCAAACCCAAGTACTTTAGCAAGGACTGTCGGTGTCCCAAGCAACCCCTTCACCACTGTGTCTTCCATCAGCTTTGGACCATTACTTTGCAGACGTGAGAGGGTAAGAAAGCACTGAATGAAAGCTTACATAAAGAGAAACAGGAGAAAACAATGACCTGCGACACAAATAATTTTGGTGACAGCAACAGCAGCAACAACAACACAGTTAAAGCCCTTTATAACTTGCTTCTTAGACTCAAGATGCTTCATTCATAAAACAGGACAGAGTATTCTTTAAAAAAAAAAAAGCAGGCGAAATAACTACTGTGGAAATTTCTATTACTGTTAGCATAAAAATAGTAAGTTCAAAGGAAGGGTTGAAAGGTGAATTTGAAGAAATCTTGTAGAATGTGTAAGGAAATGTATAGTAACAAGAAGATGGGAGAAAACAGATGATAAATTGGACCAGTCCAATGCCTAACTTACAAGCATTCCAAAAAGTAAGATTAGAAAGAAAACAGAAGGGAAATTCTTTTTTTTTTTTAGGAACAACATCTTTTCCCACAGCTGAAGATTAAAAAGTCTCTGCATGCCGAGCACAGTGAATAATAAGAATGGCAGCTAAAAAAAAAATCAACGTAGTGTTTTTAGGCGGCAAGAGTAAAGCAATGGTGGAGACTTACAGGAAAGGGGAAGTGGCTTCTCTGAAGGAATCAAACCTTGATAAAGCATTCAGTGCTCAAACAGAAAAAAATATACAGCCAAATTACTCAAAATACTCAGCCAAATTATTCGTTCAACTGAAGAATAAAACACAGACCTAGACTTTAACTATTTAGGAAAATGTATCTCTCCCTTCACATTTCTGAAAAAGCTACTGGAGGATGTGCCACAAGAAAATAAGAGAAGAAACCAGGAAAGGAAAGCAGCAACACTTGCTTACTGTTTCTGAGTAGATTGGAGCTCTTACCAAGGAACAAGGGGCAATGGTCTTAACAAAGGGGACCAGGGCCTGGTGTGGTGAGCTAGCGGCTCAAAGTCATCACCTTGCATACACCGGGATGCCATATGGGCGCCACTTTGTGTCTCAGCAGCCTCACTTCCCATCCAGCTCCCTGCTTGCGGCCTGTTAAAGCAGTTGAGGACGACCCCAAGCTTTGGGACCCTGTACCCATGTGGGAGACTCGGAAGACGCTCCTGGCTCTTGGCTTCGGATTGGTTCAGCTCTGACTGTTGTGGCTGTTTGAGGAGTAAAGCTTGGATGAAGATCTTCCTCTCTGTCTCTCCTCCTCTCTGTATATCTGACATTCCAATTAAAAAAAAATCTAAATAAAAAGGGGGGATTTGATGGAATATTGGGTTCAATGCAGAGTTTAAAAAAAATAAAGGAGCCAGGGTTGTGGCACAGCAGGTTGAGTTACTGACTGCAATGCTGGCATCCTGGATGGGAGTGCTGGTTCAAGTCCCAGCTGTTCCATTTCTTACCCAACTTCCTGCAAATGCAATAGGGAAGGCTGTAAGGACTTATCCCAATATCCCACCCTGGACCCTGCGCCATTTCTTCTTACAGCTCATGAAATTCGTGCCAGTCCAGCCATCCACCAATCAGATGTAACCTGGCATTCCACCTGAGAATCCCACCCCCAATCTCCCAGCCCCTTCCCCAACCCCGCCTACTCACCAATCATCCCCAGGCATTCACCTGCAGGCACCAATCCCCTTGGGTCTTGACCTCAATCCCTCTGAATCCCCGCCTCCAACACCTTGCCGACAAAAAGGCCCCAGGTGTGGCTCTCTCTCTCTTCCTTTTCACCTCTCTCCTCCTTCTGGCCTTTCTTCCCTCCCTCCCCTTCCCCTTCCCCTGTTCCTGCCCCACTGGAATAAACTTCCCAAGATATGTTGTTTCGTCTGGTATTTTCAGCTCACGGTAAAGAACCAGATTGCAGGAATTAGCTGCACGTAAAGTATCGTAATATCCTATGAACTAGAACTAGAACTCTTCCACCTTTTTAAGTAACTAACAAAGGCAGTGGAAGATGGACCATGTGCCTAGATCTCTACACCCACATGGGAGACCAGATGGGGTTCCGACTCCTGGCTCTGGCCTAGCCTAGCTACATGGGGCGGGGGAAATCTCCTAGCGGCTCAAGTCCTCACCTTGCACACACCGGGATGCCATATGGGACCAGGGCCTGGTGTGGTGACCTAGCGGCTCAGGTCCGCTAGGTGGAAAATCTCTCTTTCTCCATCTCAATATTTTTCAAATAAGTTTTTTTTTTTTTTTAAATAAAAAAAAATCGGGGCTATGGAAAAGGGATTAAAGGAAGATAACTAGCTAAATCAATAAAGTCAGAAATTCAAATGAGCGGAGAGCAGGGAGACAATGCAAACTTAGTCCAATGAATCTAGTGTTGAACAAAAAGGGCGGAGTCAGTGGGGATTATGGAAAATGCAGAGAAACCATCTGCCAGCATGGAAGCCATTCTTGAGCGCCAGGAATTATAGGCAGGACCTTAGGATTGTAGATAAATTGGCCAGAACCCAGATTTTTACATAAGAGCTCCTGCTGTTTTAAATAGTGGCAATTAATTCAGTGGTTTGCAAATACTATGTGTGGGCCAAGTAAGATACAACGAAGCCACAAGGTAGCAGGCTGTGATGGGATCTCAACAATCAGTCGACACAGATGAAAGGATTAAAAGGCGACTGTCGTCTCTGAGAAGGCTTTTGCTACTCTTTGTTTTTTAACTCTGAGTGGTTTTACTTATTTTAGGTCGAAGGGAGGGAAGAGGAAGAGCAAGGCAAACCAGGAGAGGAAAAGAGATCCAGAGAGAGGATACATATATTTTTAATTTATTTGGTTTTTGGAACATCAGATTCACAGAGAGAAGGAGAGACAGAGAGAAATATTTTCTGTCTGCTGGCCCATTCCCCAAGTGGCCTCAACAGCTAGAGGGAGTTGAGTCGATTCAAAGCCAGGAGCCAGGAGCTCTTCCAGGTCTCCCATGTGAGTCCAGGGTCCCAAGACTTTGGGCTGTTTTCGACTGCTTTCCCAGGCCACAAGCAGGGAGCTGGATGGGAAGCGGGGCTGTTGGGGTTAGAACCCGGCATGCAAGGTGAGGATTTTATTCACTGAGTCATGGTGCTGGGTTCAACAGGGAATATCTTATATGTACTAGTTCATTCTTCAAATGTTTGTTGTAGCCAGGGCTGAATCAATTTGATGCCATGACCCAGGAACTCATTCTGGGTCTCCGAAATGGGTGACAGGGGTCTACCACTTGAGTAATCGTCTGCCGCCTGCCAGGATGTGCGTTAGCAGTAAGCTGGAATGGGCTGGAAATGGAGCCAGACTTGAACCAAAGGATTCCTGTTTGGCCTATAGGATATCCCAGTGGCTCCTGTACCACTGCTCCGATCCCCACACCTTACCTACTTTTATTACCAAAGTCTATTACCTAGAGATAACCTAGGTACCATGTCCACTACCTAGAGATGACCTCTACTTTTAACATCTTTTAACATCTTTTTTTTTCTTCTATATAAATCATATTGAAATTCTATCATGTAGTTTTTTTTTTTTAATGTACTTTCCGGGTGCAACACAGTAGCCTAGCAGCTAAAGTACTCTCCTTGCATGCACCGGGATCCCATAAGGCCACCGGTTCATGTCCCAGAGGCCCTGCTACCCATCTAGCTCCCAGCTTGTGTCCTGGGAAATCAGTAGAGGACAGCCCAAAGCCTTGGGACCCTGCACCCACATGGGAGACGTGGAAGAGGCTCTGGGCTCCTGGCTTTGGAGCAGCTCAGCTCTGGCCATTGTGGCTGCTTGGGGAGTGAATCAGCACACAGAAGATCTTTCTTTCTCTGTTTCTCTCTGTATATTTGACTTTACAGTAAAAACATAATAATAGGGCCCAGTGTGATAGCGTAGTGCTTAAAGTCCTCACCTTGCTCGCACTGGGATCCCATATGGGCGCTGGTTCTAATCCCAGCAGCTCCACTTCCCATCCAACTCCCTGCTTGTGACCTGGGAAAGCAGTGGAGACGGCTTAAAGCCTTGGGACCCGGTACCTGCGTGGGAGACCTGGAAGAGCTCCTGGCTCCTGGCTTCAGATTGGCAGTAGCAATGGCCATTGCAGTCACTTGGGGAGTGAATCATCGGACGGAAGATCTTTTTCTCTGTCTCTCCTCCTCTCTGTATGTCTGCCTTTGCAATAAAAATAAATAAATCTTAAAAAAAGGAAACATTCCATGTAAAAAAACATTCTCATTCAGTATTCCAAATATAGGGGGGAAATGTATTTTTTAAAGATTTATTTATTATTATTATTATGTTTTTTTTTTTAAAGATTTTAAATTTTTTATTGGAAAGGTGGATGTACAGAGGAGGAAAGACGGAGAGAAAAATCTTCCATCCAATGATTCACTCCCCAAGTGGCCGCAACGGCTGGTGCTGAGCCAATCTGAAGCCAGGAGCCAGGGGCTTCTTCCCAATCTCCCATATTGGTGCAGGATCCCAAAGCTTTGGGTCGTCCTTGACTACATTCCCAGGCCACAGGAAGGGAGCTGGATGTGAAGTGGAGCTGCCGGGATTAGAATTGGCACCCACATGGGATCCCGGCGTGTTCAAGGTGAGGACCTTAACCGCTACACTATCACACTGGGCCCTACGTGGAATGTTTCTAACGCCCTAAAAATAAGATATGTATGTGTGTCTATGCAAGTGTGTGACACACACATGGAGGGAGGGAGGGAGAGGCAGAGAGAGGAGACTGAGGAAGGCTGGCAGTGAACTTGGAGGCATATAGGGAAGAGGTTTGTGGCTGTGGGTATGTTGCCACGTGGCTCATCTCCACTATCGTTAGTAGGCCGTACCATCTTGAGACGTTGATAAGCATGTGTACAAACAAAGATGGAGAGGAGGTTGTTAAAAATCATGAATACATTTTTTTTTTCTTCCAGAAAATATTTTGGCAGGCAAGAGGTGGCTTCCTAAGGTAGCCAAGTATTTTTAAGATATTCTTGTTGCTTTTGCAGGTTGAGTGGGCCCATCATGTGAATGTTGGCTACTGACAAGGTATAAACATTTTGAAAACATCCCCTTCGCACCAACTGTTCCTTTAGTTAAAATAACTTGAGTATAGAGAGTCTTTGAAAAGACAAATCCTTGTTACACTTTTCTGGGAGAATTTGAAGACTATGAAAACTGTGGGGAGGCCTTTTCCACCTGGGAACAAGAATGGGATGTGCCAGTGTTTCGCACGTGGTGTACCTCGAAAGGAGCCAAGGTTATGGTGATAATCACCAACCTAGGGCCATCTGCATTTATAAACCAGAAGAGGTTAGGTACTTCACTAAAGTATCATTTTTAAATAGAGAGACTGGGTCTTTGAAGTCACAGACTTTCATCTAACGATCAATAAGACCACTCAGGTGAAGCACTCGACATGCCTACAATCTCACTTTTCACAATTCATAAAACCCTCTTCATCTTCATTTGTAGCAAGGCTCTTTATTTTCCTGGAATGCGCGTGTGGAAATTAAAGATGTGGAAGGAATTGTTTGGCTTGAACTTGGCCACAGTCTGTGCCTGTGACAACACATGCAACCCAAAGAGCTAGGAGAAGAGGTCAGGTTTAACAGTCACGGACAAAGTCCCAGGGGCTGGTCCCTGAGCTCTTGCTTTGCCTGCACAGTATCTCTTAATTCTTCCAAAGACTCCACAAGCAGGTGTGATACAAGGAAATATGCCCATTTGGATGGGATCTGAAACTGAATGGACAGACCTTTAGCTGCTATGCCATCTCATAGGATTTTGTCTCTCACCTTAGTAGGATGGATTTTAACAGGAGAGGCAAAGTTCAAGGGAAATCTTCTCTGCCAGACAGTGTTAAAATGGAGATCCCTCGGCCCTGGTGCAACGGCTCAGTGGCTAAATCTTAGCCTTGCACGCACTGGGATCCCATATGGGTGGCGGTTCATGTTCTGGCTGCCCTACTTCCCATCCAGCTTCCTGCTTGTGAGCTGGGAAAGCAGTAAAGGAAGGCCCAAAGCCTTGGGATCCTGCACCTGCATGGGAGGTTGTGAGTCCTGGCTCCTGGAATCTGATGGGATCAGCTGTGGCCATTGTGGACACTTAGGGAGTTAACCAAGGGACAGAGGATCTGTCTCTCTGTCTCTCCTCTCTGTAAATCTGCCTTTGCAATAAAAATAAATAGTCCAAAAACATAAATTGGAGATTACCACCACCATCCTCCAATTCTTGGTGAAGCAGTAATATCTATGTGGGATTTATAAAAGCTAATAATCCTTACACATTTATGTTTATGCATAAGGGATTACCTCCTAAACTACAGTCTACAACTTGGTTTTCACATTTTCATAATGCAATGCAGATAGTATAAAACATGTTTATGGTCAAGTTGGACATGACTCTAAGTCCAACTTCCAACTCATTAAGAATGAGGCTGGCAGATGGTCACAATTTGAAGACACTTCAAAAGTTCATGGAAAAATGAAATTAAAAGATCAGTTTATTTTGGTCTTCCCCCAAACTGAAATCTTTGCATAGCTTTTCCTCATAAATATGCATTTTCAAAAACTTGTTAAAGACTCTTAGTATGCATTAATTTTTGCATTACAGCCTACTTACAAAACTGTGTTTCCCATGAACATTTTGGAAGAGCTATCTTAGGTTCAGGAGGTAAAGGAAGAGAGATAAAACCTACATCTCAAAGAGGAAAAAAGGAAAGACATTCTTTTCCCTTTTGCTTTTAACTAGCAAATGTGCAGAATGTTAAATGCAGTTTGTGTCTCATAAGAAGACAGTTGGCTCCACAGATAAGACTGCTCATCTATTTTATGTAGCTGTCATCTTTTCTTTCCCCAGAGGCAAAGGAGAGCATTTTTTAGGACCAGCGTTGTAAGCCAATGGCCCAGGGGATTTCAGACTGTGATGCAGAAAGTGGACTTTCCTGACACACGGGACCTTGGGTGGAAATCATGAGAAGGGCTATGCAGAGGCAGTGGAGGGACCAACAGAAAGGCCCTGGATTCACTCACAGAGATCTTGGCTTTGATGGCTGCCAGCTTCTCCTGGGCAGCTGTGAGGTCCATGGTGGCTTTACTCAGTGCTTGGCGCTTGGGTTCCACATCACAGAATACCTCGTAGAACCTCACGATGTTGATGACCCATGAGCAGAGGCCCGCAGCCGCGTAGGACTTGGTGGCCACGAACTCGGGATTGAACTCAGGGTCTTGCAGATACGGCCTGATGGCTTTGAGGCAGTTCTCGTGGATGTTCTCTTTGTCGAAGTTGAGGAGGGCATCCAGGAAGCTGTCCACTTTGGCCATGGTGACCTTCGCAGCCTTCCAGCTCCGATCCTTGGGCACCTTGCCCCCAGGGGCCATGAGTGCCATCACTGCGGCACTGACATTGCTGACAGCCTGGGGTGGGGCCCCAAAGGACTTCAGCTCTGTCAGGTTGGTCTAGGGAAACAGAAGGAAGGTCATGAGAAAAAGGTGCATGAGCGTTCCCTGTCCTCGGCCACGGACAGAGTTAGGCTCCAGAGTGAACTGTTGGAAAGGGCTGCTCGGAAGCCTGCAGCCACGTTCTGAATTTTAACTACCATGACTCATCAGAGAAACCAAAGCTACTCCGCAGTGGCTCCAGTCTTTCCTGAATGGTTAGCTGAGACTCAGCTATGTTCTTTCAGCGCTCTGACTCTCAGTCCATTAGAAACACACAATTATTTCACATTCAACTGCAAAATGTAAGGATGCCAACCTACTCTGAAATATGCAGCATGGCATGAATAAAAGATATGGTTATTATAAATTAATTTCCATCTTGGATTGAAGAGAATAGCACTGAAATCCAACTAGTTTCTTTCTTTCTTTTCTTTTCTTTTTTTTTTTTTTTGCCTTTAATTAAACTGCTTTGTTCCATGAGCTCATTCTAACTTCACTTGACTGTCCTGATAGCAAAGTGGCTTTTTTTTTTCTGCCAAGAAATAATTCAGACAGCAAGTGCCAGGTATAGCCTATGAGTCAGCTGCCTCTGCTTGGCCTAAGATTTGTCCTTTGTTCCTAGGCTGCACTTGCTCCAGAAGGATACGGCTGAAAGGTTTGACCCTGGCACATCACTTTGACTTCCCAGGCCTTGGTGTGTTTGCCTACAGATCCGGAGCTGGCGGATCCACAGAGTGTGAAGTCATGTGAAGTTATGCCATGAATGCCTTTGACGTTGATTGAATTCTGGCTGAGAAGTGTACATCTGACATACCACCTGCTTAGGGATCTGGTTTGGTGAGGGGCTTAGTTCTTTTTCCAGATTAACTTCAGGTGCCATGAGCCTAGACATTCATGAGCACAGGGGGATTGTTTCCGGCCCCTAATAGAGGTGTTGAGGGAGATGCCCAAGAACTTGGGTCATTTTCCCTTGCCTTCTCAGGTAGGTATATTACTAGGAAGCTGAATCTGAAGCTAGGACTTGAACCAGATCTCTGATAGGGAATGCAGCAGGATCTCTCTGGTTTTCAGGTCTCCACATTCATGGATTTCTCAGCTGCGCACCAGATTCTGCATGTTGCAAAGCACACAGCCCAACTCTGACCCTGAGACACCTTGTCACCATACTCTAATTGCCTTCCGTCAGGATGTCAACGTGCCAAGCTCATCCCCACCCTAGGGGCAGCTGCCCAGGCCCTTGCACCTAATTCATCTGCTTGACTGATACTTCCTCATTCCCCACCCTCCTCAGAAGGGCTCTACCCACCAACTTCTCTTCCTGAGTGCTTTCCTGTCCTAGCCTCATGATGATTTCTTTCAGAGAAATGACTGCACTTGGAAATGATGATCACTTTTTGCGTGTTGACCTTTTATACAAGTATTTCTCTTCTTTCAGAAAACGGGGAGGGACCCTATCTATATAGTTAACCATGGGGACTCTGGGGCCAAGAACAGAAAGAGACAGAGAGGGCAGGCGTGGAGCCAAATCAACCAACACCTGAGTTGCATTCTCCCTCCCTACAATCACCTCCTGATGCTCACCCTGAGCAAGCTTGTAGGAAGCTGGAGGGCAGAAAGAGCTACGGACACAGTTCCTGCAAGGCAGCCTCCCAGGTCATAGGGAAAGCAGAATGCAGGACACAGAGTGAAGAGAGAGAGGAATAGATGGTTCACTTCCAGTAGAATTAAGGAGAACTTTTTAGTCCATAAAGAAATGCTTGTCCCTTTCCTCCTATGTGGTATTTATTTCTCTGTTAAGTGTTACGATATTTTGTGATCTATAGGTCTAAAGGTTCTTATGGAATCTTTGTTATCCTTTTTCGAAAGCACATTGTTCTTTGTTTCCATGCTTTGAAAGATGTTTTGCCTATGTTAGGATGGGTCTGAATGCTTATGTAAAGCTTTCTGTAAAGAACTGTTCTGTTCTTTCCATTCAATGAGTATATACATACTGGTCAGCATCCAGCAAAAACAAAGATGAAAATGAGACTTGCTCATGATTTTATTAAACACAGATAAACATGGCAAAGATACTTGAAAAAGTTCACTGAATGTAGAATTAAAAAGTTTATTCTGATGTAAAACAATTGTGAAGATAGATGTAATTTTTTTTGGTAATATGCATTGTTCATAAATCTTTGGGGCACCTGTGCATTGATTTCAAAATTTTGTGTGAAATGTAAACTTATCCTTGAATTCCATTTCCTATGAACATTTTGATGAACTCTGGTATTCATATCTTGATGTGGCTCATTCAGGAGCTTTTGTAAAGTCTCTGTTGATGCATTTATATCCAGATATATATGTATATGGTGTATATATACATATGTGCATATATGCATATATACCTATTTACATATGAGAGGTCTTCAGAAAGACCTTGAAAACTGTATGTTATAAAGAAGTTATATATGGATTCCAAATTATTTTTGTTTAAAATTAATTACTCTTAAATTTTAGCTTTCCACAAACTTTTTAAGGTACTCTAATAAATATGTGCATACATCATATACACAAATATATGTACATACACACATATACATATGTACACACACATACATATCAATCCCTGTTACTTTCAAATATTCATTTTCAGTAAAATTGCAGCCTGTTTGCACTTCATTGCTTTTGTAAAGCACAAATTTTAAAAAAGCAATGCACAGTTTTCTCTCATTTGAATGTGTCATAATTTATCTTACTCCATGTTGTTATAAATTTAGGTTATTAATCTTAAATAGTTGGTTAAATTATATGCACTTGAGAAAATTAAGAATCAAAATGGATTTCAGTTAGACTTACATGTAATTGATAAATTTGTGGAGCGACTTCATCTTGAACCAATTAAATCTTCCACTACAAAATCTTGGTTATGAATGATGAATATAGATGCAGATACATACGCAGCTACAAGCTTATTCACTTTTTATGATCTTCAGTAAGATGTGCATCTTTCTTCACAGTTTCAACAAATTTCTTTACACTTATTTGTACCTTATGTTTTGGTTGTTATTTTGAAAATATATTTTCTGCTGTATTATTATGACTATTTGGAAAGTATTGCATTTTGTGATTTTATAATAAATCCTCATCTTTTCCCTTTTATTATATTTTTGTAACATTTGTGAATAATGACAATACATTTATATTCTATTTCACAGCACTCATGTAATTAATATTTTCATCTATTATTGCAATTGGTCAGGAATTTGGGATAACTTTTCAAATAATGGTGAATATTGGGGTTGTTGATTGTACCTTTTTTGTGTTGATGGGGATCTCTTTAGTGTCCCATCTTTTGGTAGGATATGTTCATCTTGGGTTGGGTTTAATGGTCATCTGCTGGCAAAATATCCAAATATTCTTTTATCCCTGCTTTATGACAGGTTTCAACAGTAATGAATTTTGGCATTTCTCAGGGGCTTTCTCCTTTGAAGTAGGTTTGGGCATGGTCGTGTGATTCTACTTGTTAGATCAGTCTAACTAGTTGGTGGAACATTTTTGTCTAAGTAAATATCTGGGTTTCACTTGCTAATATTGTACATAGGTGTTTTACATTATTCCTAAGTTACATTAATCTGCGGTTTTATCTTTTACTATATCTGTCATTTTTAGTATGAATTTACCTTATAGCAGAGGCCCCTGAGAAGTGTTGTAGGAAAGAAGCTTGTCTGTGACTCTAGAATCAATATTTTTTTCCAATGGCATCTATTTTTACGTTACCTTTTAAGTTAAAAATTAAATGACAGATGGAGAGAAAATGCCAACTATATATGCTGAAGAATTAATGGCAAATGCTTATACTTGTCAATCAGTAAGAATATGGGAAACTATCCTATGTCTAATCTCTTTAGAATAAAATCATTTAAAACAAAAGCAAAGCATGTTTTATTTATTCATTGAGTAGAAATGATTGAAATATCTAAGGTTGGCAAAGATGAGGAGTTAGCAGTCCTCCGACCTAGGAATAAGAACTATTTTGGCTAGGAATTTTACAGCACATACTAAAAAAATAAACTACATTGTGTGGCATTCTCCTTTGTCTCGGTAAGAAACACCATCAAAGCAATATATGAAAAACCCAATGACAGCATCATTCTGAACGGGGAAAGACTGGAAGCTTTCCACTAAGATCTGGAACTAAACAAGGATGTCCACTTTCACCACTGCTATTCCATATAGTATTGGAAGTCCTTGCCAGAGCTATTAGGCAAGAAAAACAAATTAAAGAAACTGAAATTGGAACTGAGGAATTAAAATTATTCTTGTTTGCAGATGACATGGTTCTCTACATAGGAGAACCAAATGATTCAATCAAGAGACTACTGGAACTCATAAGAGAATTTGACAAGGTAGCAGGACACAAAATTAATGAACATAAACCGGTGGCACAGAAATAACTCTATGGCTGAGAAATAAATTGAACTATAGGTCCCTTTAAAATAGCAGAGAAGAATCTCAAGTATCTTGGGATTAACCTAACCAAAGATGTGGGAGATCTCTACAATGAAAATTTCAAAACATTAAAAGAAAAAGAATAAGACCTGAGAAGATGGAGAAACCTACCATGTTCCTGGATCAGCAGGATCAACATCATTAAAATGTCTATATTACCAAATGTAATACATGGATTAAACACAATCCCAATCAAAATCCCAGCAACATTCTTCTTAGAAACAGAAAACTTGGCAGAAAAGTTCATCTTGAAACACAAGATACCATGAATAGCCAAAGCTATCCTGAACAATAAAAAATCAAGCTGAAGAAATCACAATTCCAGATCTCAGGACATACTACAGAGCAATGGTCATCAAAACAGTCTGGTACTGATACAGAAACAGAGAAGAAGATCAATGGAACAGAATAGAAGCATCAGGAGGGAGTTTACATATGTACAGCCAATTAATCTTAGACAAGAGAACTGAAAATAATCCATGGAAAAGTCTGGTCTCTTCAACAAATGCTGTAGGGACAATTGGATA